CGTGAACTTGGAGTAGATGTTTTGAACTCTGAATCATCTGATCTTTTGATCTTTTTATATAGTACCCAATAAAATGTATGGTTGATCATCTTGGATAGATCAAACATTTGTCATATCTATGAATTTCTACCGTTTTATCTATAACTAAATGAAACGTACTTGAAACCACGTAGGCACTGTTAGGTAGTTACGTTCGGTCTCTAGTATAGTTAGAGTAGAGAATATAAGAAAACACCCCTTTTCTATCCAATCCACATACATATACTGCATTTTATACAATATCAAGGTCGCCCAGTACAAGAAAGCAACGAAAATTCATATAAAGAAACATGCAAGCCAGACAAATACTGTTCTATAGCTAGCTAGATAGATAGATATACATACAGGGGAGGAGTAGAAGACGAATGATCCATCCTTCTTCAAGTATAAGCCGAAGACACAATACACACACAATTTTAAGGTTCATTCGTAAAAGAGGAGAATTGACAACCAAAAAAAGCAGGAAGAAATATTTTCTTTTTTGGTTGCTAACTGAACTAACTAACTGGCTTCCTACCTAAAACCTGGGTCGTTCGTCTACCATAAGATACGCTAAGGGATTCATCCATGAAGTAAATATAAGGTAAGAAGACAGGGACAAGAACGAAACGAAACCAAATACCAAGTTGTAAAAAAAAGAATTGAAAGGTTGAAAATTGGAAATGGGGCATGCAATATCTAACAAGTTGATGGGTTGTTTGGTTTGGGGACAAAGGTGGTAAAGTATAGTGTGTAGTGGCGTAGGTAAGCGGGAGCCATGTGTAAATGAATATTAGAGGGAGAGGTGGAAAGAACATGGAAGTTTTGTTATGTTCAAAAGAAAAAAGGTATAATTGAATGGATGGGATATTTCTTCCCCGCGCCCCTTCCCACCTATGGTCGTTCTGTTCTCGCTTCTGATTCCACTTGTTTTCTTTTTTTAAGGCTCTGACCAGTCGACTTGTTCTGTTACAGGGTCAGACCCATCCTTTGCGTATGAGATACGGAGACGCAGGCGGAGTTTAGGAGGGAGAGCCTTATATAAGTTGTTAATACGCTTTCTGTAGTGAAAAATAAGGGGGAAAGGCTTACCCCGTTGAGACAGGCGACTTTCAGCATTTGAATGCCTTCCTCACCGGCATCTAGTTCGGCCTTGTTGATGGCGCTGAGTTGAAGCCGCTGGCTCTTAGGCACCGCGGCTTGGAGTCCGACGTTGGCGAAGCGGTTGAAGCCCGACAGGTTACGGAAGCGAGCCTGGATCTGTGCGGTAGATGGGTTACTCCGTTGCACTGCCAGAGTGAGACTGAGGTCGTTCTTATTGAACGCGGCATGTGCAGCGGGTGCCGAGGGCGGGGGAGTGGGAGCTGGAGATGTGCTCGATCCGAGGCTTCCTCCGAGGAGATCGAGGGAAGAACTGGCGGGCTCGGCGGGGCGGGGTGAGGGGGTGTTGTTGCCGTTAGAGCCGAAGAGATCCATGATAGCACTGGTGTTGGTCTGCGCCGGTTGGTGGGGGGCAGGAGGTGGGGAGGAGAGTCCCGAGTCGCCGCCCAGGAGGTCTGCAAGCAGGTCGGCCGTATTCTGCGACGATCCGTTACCAGTCGGGCTGGTCACCGGGGCATCGGAGCCACCCATAAGGTCAAGCAGCATATCCTGCTCGGCCTGCTTGGCAGGCTTCTGCGTCTTCGCCTTGAGGATTTTGCTCTGGCGCTTCTTGGTGGGAGCTCCCAGCACTCTCTGCTCCTCGCGGATCTCGGGTGGCGGCATCCGTTCAAGAACACCACGCCGGATCTGATCGTAGCCGAACAGGTTGTTGTACTCGACAGCCCGCTGTTGAATTTCGACGCTCAGGTCAGCCGTGCGGCTGTTCAGGAAGCGACGCAGACGCTCGACTTGTGAGGGGTCGGTCATGCGCACGGTCAACTTCATCGAGGCGGTGGTGATATATTCAATCACGGTGGGGGTGGCATATGTGCTGTTGAGAATGTTGTTGAATAGATCGACGATGTCGCTGTCCTTGATCTCCTTGACCAGCTCCTCTTCCTCGTACTGACCACCCTCAAGGAGGTTGTCGGCATACTCGCCAATGACCCAAGTAGCGGCAAGTGTAAGCCCCTCCTGCGAGATGTCCTCCTTCAGTGACAGATACAGCTTCTGCACAGAGTAGGTCTGCAATTCCGGGGTTGTGGCAATGAGACGAACAAACGACGACAGGATCTGCTCCTTGACGTAGGCACCAGCCAGTTTAAGGACGCGGAGGATCGTGTCGACGTGCCAGCGCTTGTTTGGTGCGAAGCGGTCGGCCGCGATTCCGATCTGGGTTGTCATCGCCGGCTTGAATTCGTTATCGGCCACTTCCAAGAAGGCGAGCAGCTCTCTAACGAGAATCCGCACGTTGCTCTCATTGACCAACATGAAACTGAGGTCAAGAGCGCGCCGTCTGATACTAATGTCGGGGTCGCGCAGACATTCCAGAATGGTGTTGCGGTGTCGCTGAACGGCGTTGGGCTCGATCGCGACAACCTTGTTCAGCGTGTTGAGGGCGACGTAACGGATGTTGTTGTCCTTATTCGTGAGGAATTTTCCGAGGATGTTGACACCCAGAACCCGCAAGCCGGAATCAGCCTCAATGTCGAGAATCGTGAGGACGGCTTCATAAAGAATAGCGTTGCCGACGTTCTTGGTTGAATCGGTGTTGGTGGCCACCTGGGCCAAAATATCATTGATCAACTCACTAGTCGCCGCATCGCCTCTTCCCAGCACCCGAAGCAGACGCAAGATCTTAACTTGAACGAAAGGATCCGTGATCCCGGAGACGTCGTGCTCCGGGGCGTATCCGGACGTCGTCAGCCCCTTCAAGGCACGGACGAGACCTCCGGCGAGGGGCCGGAACATTTCGATGACGCCCTCCTGACCTTCCTCCGCTTCCTCCGCCTCGCACATGTCGATTACCAGTGTCAACCCGCACAGCAATACACCATGGTTCCGGTCCGACAAGAGCGTCTTCGCCTTCTCAAAGAAATGCTCCTGCAGGTCGGGGACCTTGCGACATATACGCATGGCACAAATTGCGGCCTTTCGTCGAATGTAGGGGTTGGCGGTAGACAGGAGGTTTTCAACTTCGGGGAACAAGTCTCGGGACATCTCGACGGAGGCGATATTACCCAGGGCACACAAAGCGAGCCCGACGATATATTGGTTCGAATGGTTGAGATCACTTCACATGCGGTCAGTCCGCTGTATGACGACACGGAGGGGGTTCATGGGGGGAGTAGCTCACTTTTTTAGTGAATTGGTGACCAGCGTTAATACTTCTTGATTTTCATCCAACAACAGCATTGTACCCAGGTAACCCAACCGCTTGTCGGCGAAACGGTGGGACGCCAGCAGTTTCAGACATTCGATCTGGCCAAAGTGCGTCCGTTCTCCGAGCGTAAATAGGTACAGCAGCTTGGCCACATTGTTTCTCCTGTCCACAAGCATGAGAATCTGGTTTCGGAGGACCATTGAAATGATGGGTGTGGGTGGAATGCTGACCGGATACCCGAATCATGACTTTCTTCCCGGAACGAGGCACGGATGGCGGCACTCTCTTTTTGAATGACGGCGCGCTCGTCGGCGATGGTCTTGGCCGAGCGAACATTTCGAATGAATTGTTTGACTGTTCCATTGCGATGGCAGAGAGGACAAGGCCGACGGTTAGTTGGAGGGCCAGGCGATAGGGGTTGGACAGTGTGGGGGGGAAGACAGAGAGAATGTCAACACGTACGGGATGCCATGGCGGTCACAAGGACCCCCAACGGGGAGACTGAGGGGAAGAAGAGGGGGCAAGGGAGAGGGAAGCGGTAATGAGCGACGCAGGGTCGGAGGCGAAGCAGAGGAGAGCGTCGGCGAGATTGGCAGGTAGGCGGAGATGGCAGAGGCAGATACGTCGTTTACTTGCTTCTCCTTGAGCCTCGTCCGTTGCGACCTGGCCGTCTTGGCATCGGGCCCATTGCGGACTAGCGGCCCCTCGTGCCCAGCCCGAGCGTCTGACACGTGATCCTGATTCACGGCCTGACGCGTCAGGCTGCAAGTGGTGTCGTACTCGTATAGTTTACCCATGCGGGGTCTCCCCTTTTATGGAGTACATACAGTGTATCACTCTAATAATGCTGTAACATAGATGGACGGAGATTTAAAAATAGTAGTCAGAATTTGATAACTACTCAAATGCAAGTCCACCCTTGGAGGGGGGTGGAAAAACAAAAAAGAAATGCTCACACTCGGATTCGAACCGAGGATCTCATGATTACTAGTCATGCGCTTTACCAACTAAGCCATGCGAGCGATTGTGGAAGAACGGCTTTTATTTTGACTTTATGAGGCTAACTCTAAACACCAGGCCATGTTACTCAATCGTCCAATACGACAATAAATCAAGACTCGATCCTCAACCTCCATCGTCCCTCTGGAAACTTCGTATACAGATTACCCATCCCCACCCCTCAAATCGCATCCGCCCCGGTCCGGCGACGGCGCCTCGGCGAGTCGGCGGTTCCGTGTCCGGCATCATGTGCGCCCCATGACGTGGGGAGCGGCTGCTTGTTTACCTTTCGAGAAACCTCCTCGGAGTCTTGACTGGCACTGGCCGAGCCCCTTGGGTTAGACGGGCTGTACGGCAGATCGCCTGCTGCGAAACGTGTCAACCGATATGTCCGCTTCTCCTGCGCCTCTGACAACCTTCCAATCGCATTGTTCCCGCCCAGCTTGGTCATCCCTCATCAGCCTTGTAGGGGTCCACATAGGCGGCACTATTTCCATCCACTTTCCGTCTGTTTCCCCTTGAATGCTGTGCATGCCGAGACAAGCTTTGCCATATATAGCCTTTCTGCTTTCCCCTCCACTTGGTGGGAATCCTCCGATAGGAAATTTTTTTCTTCTGAGGGATCAATGTGAAAACTAAATCTCCCCCGTTCTGGTGCTCTTGACTCTTCGTCGACAGTATGTCTTCTTCAGCCGTCTCGCAACCAAATGGCTCCCCGGCGTTACGACCCCGTACTCTCCTAGCGAGCAAGACCCCCGAAGATGCCACCAACCTACAAACTCTGGAAAAGGTCGGCATGGACTCGAGGTAAGCAAGTTAAACTGTCCTCTCGCAGAGGCAACCACGCAGTCGGTGGCTAACCAACGTTGGGGTGTGTGCCAGTGGTCGCTCGACTCCTATCTCCGAAGATGCCCCCCCTTCTCAGCATTCGCTGTCGACTGCGCGAAAACAAGCCCGCGCTCGCAATCGCCTTTTCTACTCCATCGAATATGTTCCCCGAGTATCTCACTTTGACCCGCAAAGCGATTATCACAACTTCCGCGGGTTCTTCACCCTCTTTTGGATCGCGTTGTTCATCATGGTGGTGACTACGGGACTTCGGAATATCAAGGACACGGGATATCCGCTGAGAGTGAGGGTGTGGAGTATATTATCGGCGAACATCTGGTCCATGGGGTTTAGCGACCTTGCCATGGTGGTCACAAGTATGTTGGTGCTGCCTCTTCATCGGCTGTTCCGGGCCAGTAGCGGCTGGCTGCGCTGGTCGAAAGGTGGCATCGTGGTGCAGAGTATCTTCGAGATGGCCTGGCTTTCCCTCTGGATCAAGTGAGTTTGGATCGTTCCTATTTCTGTCCGGTGTACGGAGCACTAACTGACTCGTGCGTCAGCTGGCCGTTCATGATGCAATGGACCTGGACGGCGCAGGTCTTCTTCACCCTCCACACCTTGACATTCCTCATGAAGATTCACTCGTACGGTTTCTACAATGGACATCTCAGCGAAACGGAGCGCCGGCTTTCGTCGCTCGACCAGCCAGGATCGGTCTCGATGGATGCCGCCGTTCGCTATCCGGAACCAACGACCCGTCGACCCATCACCCGCCGACCAAGCAACCACTCGCGATCTCAGTCCATCGTAGAGCTGCGCGAGGATCTCGCTACCGAGCTGACCTCGCCTCTCGGCCGCGTCACCTACCCTCAGAACCTCACTCTCCCGAATTATATAGACTATATGTTCTGTCCCACTCTTTGCTACGAGCTGGAATACCCGCGGAGCAAGCAGCGGCGATGGACCGAGATTGGATTCAAGACGCTCGCTGTTTTTGGATGCATCTTCTTGCTGACGCTCGTCAGCGAGGAATTTATTCTTCCGGTGCTGAGCGAGGCCAATGTCCAGCTGCACGCCGTGAGCAATGTCACGGAGCAGGCATTGATCCTCGCCGAGTCCATCAGCATGCTGCTATTCCCCTTCATGATCACCTTCCTGCTAGTCTTCTTGGTCATCTTCGAGTACCTGCTGGGCGCATTTGCGGAGATCACTTGTTTCGCCGATCGTCACTTCTACTCCGATTGGTGGAACTCCTGTGACTGGTAAGTCCTACGATGGTTGACCCGCATCGTTGCGAACTGTCTTACTCACATATGCTCTCATCAGGCTTGAATTCTCTCGCGAGTGGAATGTCCCCGTCCACCACTTTCTCCGTCGACATGTCTACTTCAGCTCTCTCTCGCGCTTCTCCAAGCCCGTCGCCATGTTCATCACCTTCCTGGTGAGCTCCGTTGCTCACGAACTGGTCATGAGCTGCATCACCAAGAAGCTCCGTGGCTACGGATTCATCGCCATGATGCTCCAGCTTCCCATCGTAGCCGTGCAGAAGTCCAAATTCTTCCGAGGAAAGACCACTCTTAACGTATGAATCCACTCCCCCCCTCACCCTTTTTCTCACTTCCCACTTAGCATCATCACTAACCTTTCCATCTATGTACTCTACAGAACGTCTTCTTCTGGCTATCTATGATCTTCGGTCTTTCTTGCGTAAGCGGCCCCTTTCATTCCACCCCCCATCTCCATCTATAGTCCATACCCTAACTTTACCTGCTCAGATGTGTGCTCTATACGTTCTCGTCTAGAAAAATCGACAAGAAAACTCTCTACATCGCCACATTGAACTAGACTTTCTGATCCCGTCTTTACTTTATCTTAATCCTGGCTCTCTGTACTATATTACACTCGTCTGTTTTACCTACTTATCTTCCCACTACCTAACATATATATACTTATACCCCCTCCCTGTCCTACTGTGTAGATCACGTTGGATTAGTTTGCTGAGGTGCGGATTACTCGTTTTTCATTGATTGGGAGAGATCGTTCTGCTTGATTTAGATAATATGTGGTTTGTTGGTTGGTTGTTGGAGTTATTTTGGATTTTATGAAATTTTTTTTGAGTTAATTTTGTTTCTTACTGCTTCGGTAGTCTAATATTTTTCTTTTTTTTTTTTATATATATCTATTTCGAGGGTTGTTCTGTATAACTATACGGGAAGACATGACTTACTATGGTTCTTGTCGGTGGTTTCCATTACACTTCATATATATAGTTCGGATGATGCGCACGGGCCCGAATTTACGCCTATAAACTGGCTCTACATGAAGAAAGTAAAAAGAAACAAATGAGACATTTGCCGTGCTTTATACAGACAGAGAACGAAAGACGAACATGCTCTATTCAGTTCAATTTATGTATAACCCTGAGTCAAGTAATATCCAATGGAAAACAAAGTACTGTAGAAAGACCCTGAAGCCAACAGCCATTCATATGCATAGTACGAAAGAGCCTTGCGCCATACCAAACTATGAAAAGATAAAAAAAAAATAACCAAATGAGTCAACATGCCTTGACCTAAGGACCAGAACACAAGGTCCAATAAGGGGGACCGATCTAAAAGCTAAGAGTTGTTGTACGGGTATATCCCTGTTTCTATACAGGTCTCTTACCATCGCTCCAGGTTTCCTTAAATCTAAATGTGCTCGATGGGCTCCTCGGGCAAGAGGACCTCCCGTTCTCTTCTCTGCTGAGGCAGACAGGCCTTCAGAGGGGGGCGAATGATGTCGTTGAACAGGAAAGTTCCGTACACGAGGAGGGCGAAACCGGCAACTTGGAGCCATTTGAAGGATTCCCATCCCAAAGCCAGCGAGACGAGCCAGATGAAGAGAGTCCGGCAGGTATCGATGGTGCTGCGAGACGTGGCCGAGACAGTTCGGGTGACAGACAACCCGAAGAAGTTGAATCCACTGAGAACCAAGTTAGTTTCTGGTGGTTGACACGATGGGGAGAAGAAGAGACAGGGTATACCCAATGCTGATCATGATTAAAATACTGGAGACAGTAACGGCGCGGTTGTTAATCATCTGGTGCCATCCCTCCTTCGCATCGAAGTAGCCATAGCGACCGGCCGGGGTTTGTCCAACGGAGAAATATAAGACAATCATTCCGGCCACGGTCACACAGAACCCGAAGATACCTTCCCATCCAACAACCTGCAGGGGGTCCATCTCATAGTTTTCCAAAATCCATTCCTCCAGAACGAATTGGGATGCGGTGAATATCTGGGCTGCCGCGATCATAAGCACTCCGATGATGGCCTGCACCGCCTCGGGAGTTCGAGCAGCGGCCCGCGCTTGAAGAGCAGCATTCATGACGACATTTTCCTGTGTAACGTCGTGCTCCTGATTATCGAAGAGCGCGCCCGCAAGTCCGACCAGCGCGACACCAAGAACCACCACGCAAAGCGAAAGCCACTGGTAAAGATACAATTTTCGGCGAAGAAAGATAACGCTGAAAAGACCCACGAAGAGCACCAGTGCTCCTCGGGTCATCTGATAGATACTAGCGGCAACAAAGAGCAGACCAACGTTCATCAGAGTCGTAGCGGTAATATCGCAGCAGGCAGGCGCTGCAAGCATAAAGATCCTGCGACCATTTAGGGGGATGCGTTGTTCATCTAAGTGATCCGGCTTGGAGGGATCGTCGGAGTAACGGGCTCCATTGACCGTACCGTCCTCATCGTCCTCATCAATGCCATCGTTCGCACCGACAGGGTGATATCCTCCTGCCAAAAGAGGTGACGAGCTATTGCGGGATAATCGAGGAGAGATGTAGCGTTGGTAGAGGACGTTGAGAAGGACAACTATCCAGCTCCCCATTTCACCGACAAACATCTGCGCTCTAATATAGGCGGACACCAGGAGCAGTCAGCGAGAATGCACTAATCGAAGAATCCGTTAGAGTATGGCAGGGCAAAACCTACGTCTGAATCACAGGCTGCTCGAACGTGTGACGCTCCTTGGGGTCTGGGGAGTCGCAGTTTCGGACGCATTGCATGTCCTTTCCAGGGGTTAACAATTTCGGTGAACGCCAGGGAGGACAGTTTGAATCTAACCTGATATTTATTGAGAATTGTATTGCACACTCCGGTCACGAGCATCATCGTGACCAGGAAGGGAATCAACGCCTTGTTCGCCATGGTCGAGTCGCTCGGAATGGATAAGAATAAGATAGTTGAGATAAGACAGACTGCGGTCTACCTGATCCTTCACGGAGTCCAGGTCGGATATTGAGCAATGAAGAAGAAGAAAAAAAGAACAGATAGACAGAAAAGAAAAAGTCTACTTAGTATAAGATCGAGGGGGGTTCTATTGAGAGCCCATCGCGGACAAAGAGGACGGGAGAGGGGAAAGTCAGGAAGGAGACGGGGAAACTCTCCAACGGGACTGGGGCGAGCTTATCAGCAGCTGATCGGATCACCCGCGGCTTGGCGTGTTTGGGCGGTATGACTATTGACTAGCGTGACTCCCGTTCTATAGAGTGATCTACGTGTTCAGTGTAAGGTGTACTCCGTAGGGAAGGTCTTTTGAGTTGTTCCAACCAGGATGAGACGCGAACTTCAAAACCTTGTACGGAGTTTACTTTCAATCACCCCTGGATCCCAGAACTCAGAAACTCAGAAGAACGCCTACATGGTACTCGATACATCCGAGGTACACTGACACAGTATACAGTACATACTCCGTACACAGAGACAAGTCACGTCAATGACGCCATAACCATTGATTAGTTTGTGGCTACCATTCCTTCAACGCTCCGTCTTCCTTTCGCCTTGCCCCATAAAACGCCGCGGCTAATCCAACGAGATCGACTGAAAATCACGGAAACCAAGCCACAATAGTAGTGGGTCAAAAATTAGAGGGAAAAAAGTAATGAGCACCAATCCTAGTAACGGAGGAGCAGGCCATCCGCACTCGTCTGACTGGGCCAGATCTTTAATATACATGAATTCATTATTGCATATATATGTTTCACAACACGCCGTGCGCCCGCTGAGAGAGATAGATCATTCAAACAGTCGCCAGGAAAATCGCCTCGCAAATATTGGCCCTTCCTTTTTGTTACATAGCACAGATAGCAATTCCGCTGTCGTCCACATTCATAGATGTGTCTTTGCGATCAAATGTGTCCCAATCGATTTCCTCCCACGAGTCATTCATCAGAAGCCCGTCTTCGAATCGCCCGGGCAGATTGAACCAATCCACAGGAATCCAATTGTCATCGGCACCCTCACCGCTTTTGGCATTCATGTCGTCGGTGGTAGGTATGTCGCCATCCTTGGGGGTTTGCGTGACAACCGCAGTTTCAATCGAATCCGGGGTGTCCTTAGACTGGGTGTTGGTAAACATGTCGGGATTGAGGAATTCGTCCATCGCGCCGAACCCGAGCCCGCCGTCATCGCCAAACGTGAATGTGTCATGAATAGTTTCGAGAGAAATGGCGCTGTTTGCCCACGGGTCTTGCACTTGCACGGGCGGCTCTTGCTCTGCAGATTTGCTGAGATCCTTCTTATCGTCCTTGCCTTTGGCAGGCTTAGCCGTCGATGCAGATGTCTTTGTCGAACCCCCGCGGGGCGTGAGGTGCTGGTTCGAGGCCGGCGAAGCAGCCTTAGGACCAAACTGGCTTGGTACTCGTCCCATCGGGGTGGTACCCGCCGTGATGGGCGTGGTTCCTTCCAACTTCGGCACCTGCGGAGCCTCCATTGTAGCCCCCTTTTGAGCGCCCTGGGCCCCGGATTTGTCCTCGTTTGTGATGAGGGTGCTACGGAAGCTTTCCAGAGCAAACTCAAGAGGGTTTTCAATCGACTCTTCAACCTTATGACTCTCTTCCACGTGCTTGTCCAGCGCAATCTGATTAGGAAATCCATGGTAGTGATACTGGCATTCGGCAACACTGCATTTGAAGGCACCAAGTAAAGCAGCTGTTGTGGGTTTGGCCGCCTCGACTCCGGCCTGTTTGCCCGTCGCAGCCTTGGCACCCGGCGTGCCAGTGGTGGGAGTGGCGCCGGCATGCGACTGCTTTCTCTTTTTCGGTGGAGGTAGCTTGAGTTCTTGCGGTGGTATACTTCCGGGTCCATACGCATGTGGAACGCCCTGTGGAGATGGCGCTCCAAATGGCGCCGGCGGAACCACAGAGGTAGCCGAAACGGCAGTCTGGCTCGAGGCCCTTCGCGCTCGCTGGAGAGCCTCTTGTTCTTGCTGAAGCTGCTGGAGATTGTTTGCATTCAAGGCAGGCATGTTCGGGGCGGCCGCTTGTCCATTCGGAGGACTCTGCGATGCGCCGGATCGTTGCTGTTGGCTTACGTGGGTGATCATACCTTGGAACAACCTCTTCACGTATTGGATGCTCTTGTTGAGGTTCTCGGGAGAAAGGGTAAAATGGTCGGCCACAGCCCAATGAGGCCCACTCTTGAATTGTCGCATTAATTGTATACGCTGCAGGTTTGATTGGTTAGATTATGAGCTGGAGGGCTTGCTTTGTTAGACTTACCATGACCAGTAAGCTTCGCACACATTTTTCCTGGCCAGGAACCTTCATGAACCACTGGACTAAGGCATCCATTCTTCCCAGCATATCGGTACATTCACGGAGTTGCTGGGTCATGGCGGCCTTCTGTTCCGGCGTAACGGCCACAGGATCCGCAATGGGTGCTTGTCTCACCGCTTCATTATACAACTGTCGGAGCTTCTCTGGTAGGTTGTTCCATGCTTCGTCGGCGGCCGCTCTGGTGATGGGGACACGACCTTGTCCTTGCTGTCGGCGCAAGTGTGCCTCTAATTGGGCGCGTTGCTGCGGCGTCATGGCAGCCATCTGCTCCCGAGTAAGTGACATATTGGGTCTAGCTGGTGCGGGTGCCGGCACCCCTTGGGTAGCTGGCGGCTGTGTCGATGTTTGCGCTGCGGGGTTTTGCGGTTCCGTAGATTCCTCTTGCTGCATTTTCCTCTTGGGCGGCGGTTTAGCGACAGGCCCTTTTGCGCCCTTGCCAGGGGCTGCCGTCGGAGCTTTGATCGGCTGGGCTGGTTGGGCTGGCTGAGACGTCGGTTGTGGTGCTTGGGGCTCCTGTTTTATCTTGGGGGTGGACATGGGTGCGGTGATAGGGGGTTGCTGGGCTGGCTGATTCTGTTGACCTTGTTGTTGGCCTTGTTGGCCTTGTTGGCCCTGTTGGTTGGCGAGAGCACGCGCCTGAGCCACCTGAATGTATTGCTTTTGCCTATTTCTATGGAGTAGCTCTCGAAGTTGATCGTCGTTGAAGCCCGCGACTTGTTGACCTAATCTCTGGCGAGCCATCTGGATATCTGCAGCGGTCACCGGTCGAATAGGAGGCATGTTATTTCCAGCCTGTTGCTGGCCAGCTGGGAACGGCTGAGGGTTCCCGAACGGCTGCGGCTGCCCTTGGAAAGGCGCCGGCGGCATCCATGCGCCCTGACCACCTTGATTCGGATTTCGTCCACCGTCTCTGTTTTGACTTTGGGACATTATCTGAGCCAAGTGAAATTTTTGCATTGTCATCAATTTTGCAAGGTCCATTCCTCCGAGAGCCTGATGATTGGCGGCTGCCCACTGCTTAAGTTGGCCCCAGGTCTTTATGTGCTTGGGAACCGGCGAAACCATGTTCGGGTTGTTGCTGAAGAGCGCTGGGGGGAAGTGTAGGCGGTCCATCTCCTTGACTTGGTCGGGCGACATTTCTATTCCTCCACTTTGTTGACGAAGAAGTTGTAGTTTATAAAGCTCCTGCTGACGTTGTTGTTGCTGGCGCTGCTGAACAGACATCTGTTGCCCCTGCATCATTTGGTTCGGCTGCGGCTGAGCGCCACCCATTCCGGCAAGTTGCTGCTGCAAATTTAAAGACGCCCTCATGTTCTGATTGTTACTCATCTGACCGTTGGTCATTTGCTGACCCTGACCGGACTGCGACATATTTGGCTGCATGGGCATCCCTTGTTGTGTAGCGCCTGCCCGAGCCATTGCTTGAGCACGACGTTGTTGATTGACAAAATTATTGATCTGTTCTGGGCTCATTTGAGACAAGTGCTCTTGAAGCCCCTGCGGAAGATTAGCGGGAAGTTGCGGCCGGCCCTGCATCGTTGGTTGCCCCCCCGAAGGCTGGACACCATTCGGTTGCTGTCCCATTCCAGGAGTGCGCGACGGAGGCCGAACCTGAGCAGCCACTTGAGCGGGCGACATTTGACCCGGGGCCATAGGGCGGTTTAACATTGGCATGGCAGAATTTTGTGACATCTGCTGCTGCATGTGTGGGTTGGCTTGTCCAGCCTGCGATATGGCTATCTGCGCCTTCTGGGCGGCTTGCGCGCGCGCTTGGGCCTGCGTCTGAGCCTGCGTCTGAGGGGGGAATTGAGGAGCCTGTTGGGTTCGGTCCGGCTGAACGGCTTGGGAATTCTGTAGTTGTTGTTGTTGTTGTTGTGAGAAGAATTGTTGCGGATTCATCCCTCCCCCATTCATGTTGTTCTGTCCATTTTGACCCAATTGCTGGAACATGTTCTGGGGAGTAAAGAGCTGCTGGTTCATCTGAGAAGAGCTGGCCGGAACCACTAACTGGCCGGCTTCCTGCGAGCGTAACCCATCCGCCTGTTGTCCTTGAATATTCTCAACATTGCCGATGAACGACGATGGGTCTAGATGTTGTTGGTTGTTGGCCATGTTGAACGCCGAATTGCGCTGAAGATTCATCATGTTTTGCAGCGCTTGGCGCTGCTGATTGTTCACCATCGGATCGTTCATCATCGCAGCTGGGTCGACACCGGCATTCTGCGCGCGATTCAACTCCATCCGATGGCGCTTGTGTCGCCTCAACTGTGTCAAGGCCTGCGAGCGGAAGAAATAGGTGACCGGGTCAATGTCTTTCCTTAACAGGTATGTTTTCTGCTCGGGAGTCATGTTCTGCAAGTTCATCTTGATTTTTTCTATATCCTCCGGAGATGTCTTTGTAATAATTTGGTCGGCAATCCGGCATACATGGTCAAATTCTTGGGCATTGAGAGAGTTGAGGTCATCCGTTAGCGAAGTAGACCCGTTAGGCCTTTGCTGTTGTCTTTGCTGCTGCTGCTGCTGTTGTTGTTGCTGTTGTAGCATGGCTTGCTGCTGCGGCTGCGGCTGCGAGGGTTGACGAGACTGCATCGACACCTGCTGTGTTGGATCGTTCATATTCATGGACATCTGCTGCTGTCCAGCCATCGGAGAGGCCTGTACCTGGCGATTCATCTGTTGAGGGAATGGAGACTGTCCGACTCCAGGCATCCCGGCGCCCGGTCCCGCTTGAGGGATCATCCCATTCTGCATGACGGCGGCCTGCCGAGCACGCGTGTCGCGAATATGTATGAGCTTCTCGTTACACTCCTTGTCGTAATCGACCTGAAGGAAAGCTGAGGTCAGATTGAATTCGTCCGTACGCCACCCGAAAGCCGACGCCTACCTTTTCCCGGGCTTCTTTGAAGGCCTTTTGCTCGAAACTTAAAGCCGCCTGGGCTGCGTTCTGGAGATCGACACGCGGTTGAATTAAACGAAGGGAAGTGAGCCTGAAGGGTTGAAACCGGTGTCAGTTGGGTGTGGTGGTGAAGAAAGGGAGCAGAGAAAAACCGGAGACAAAGAGGTTCAAGGTAAGACCAAAGCGGTCAACTACCCGGGAACCTTAAGACGGGGGCCACTCACATTTGATATACCTTGACGGCCCGATCCTTCACAGGAACTTCGGACCTCCATCCAGTGAATGGACCTTGAGACTGTAATGCCTGGGCGACGTAATTCATCATCGCCTGGCTATTGTTGTCGTTCTTCTGCGGCGCTTGCATCTGTCCATGCGCCTTGGCGCCACCCAACGCCCCCCCACCATTGTTGTAAGTTGCGGGATTCATGTCAACAACCCCCCGCGCTCAATGGGGATCGAGGAGCAGTCCGCGCAAGCTTCCTTTGAGGGTCAGCATTCGCTGATGGGAATGCTAACCTTCGACCCGTCCCAGTGCGTGATCGTCGAAGGGGGGGAACGAGAGTGCAACAGGTCTGCGTTCTGCCCTGTCTCTTGCTTTCTTTTTTCCTTCGCAGGGTGTCCTGAATGACGTGGCGGGGAAAGAGCGAAAATCAAAAAATGACAAGTGACGGCGGACGATAAACGGAAGGGGAGGAAATAGGTACTAGTGCAGACGAGGTCGTCAAGTAAATCGCGATAAGACCCGGGGCGGGGACGAGGTCAAGTCTTGCGGAGACGCAGGAGACTCCAGCGAGTACAATGTAGGAGATAGTATGGAAGAGAGATGGGCAAGGGGGAGAGAAAGCGGAAGGGGAAAAGCAAAGCGTATGGGAGACCAACGCAGCAGGGAAAACAAGGCGTTCGGGCACCAGAGTGCAATCAAGGCGGTTTCGTTGGCAGAGGAGCCGGAGGAGTGGCTTGGGGGGAGACTAAGCAGGAGGGTCGCGGCGAAGGTTGGATCAGTAACAGGGATGTTGCAACTGACGCCAGTCACGCTGATCCAGTGATTTGCAGAAAACGGTCGAATCGACGATGGGGTCTCGGGGGCGATGGCGATGCCAGATCGGAGAATGGAGGTGGGAACGAGAAAGGTTCAAAGAAAAGGAAATGGGGGAGGGAACGGAAAGGAAAGGAACGAAAGTCAAAAAAAGGGAAAACAGGAAAAGAAAATCTGCGAGTGTTGAAATTCTTTGGGTTAGAGCAATTTCACGATGTGGATGCGATTTGATCCGTGCGGGAAACGGTAGGGGGAGTAATTAGAAAATAGAAAATAGAAAATACTAAATAAAATACCAGGTCACGATGGACCGGTTTTCGCGGCAGTATTATCCGCGACACTAGTGGTGAATTGCAGGGGGAGGGGAACAGAAGGGAATGAAGGAAGATAAGATGGAGAGGTGGTTGAGGTGTGTGCTTACCAAACAAGTTAATGAGCGCAGAGACTCTTTTCGGGGAAGAAAGGAGGGAGAGGAAAGAGGATGGTGGAGGTGGAGTGAAAGTCAAGGGTTAAGGAGGGGGAGAGAGAGAAGGAAAGAGAGAAAGAGAAAGAGAGAGAGAGAGAGAGGACGGAATGGAATGGTCAGAGAGAACGAGAGACTAAGAAGATGAGACCGGGCGAAAATGAGGAGGTTCCAAGGAAGAGTAAGAATTGGAATAAATTCAACCCAAAATCCAATAATAATAATAATAATAATAATAATAATAATAATAATAAAATATTAATGAAGTGGTGGATGGGGATTGACTTGGTCAAAGGGAGTGGGAAAAAAGAAAAAGAGAGAAAAAAAGAAAAAGGATGGAATCCAAAATTAAAAATCTAAGAATAATAAAATCGATACAAAAGAAAAACTGACTTGAGACCTGAAAAGTGAGCCAGAGATCATAACAACAACAATAATAATTAAGAAGGATAAATGGTACGGAAGTAATAATAAATAATAGCGACAGGCCAAACAAGGGGAGCAAGTTCAAGCAACCACTCGATTCCACAGGGGAAAGGAAGTAATAACGGCGACAAAAGAAAGAGAACCGCAATGAATAATAAGGGCAAATGGTGATGGAGATTTCCGATTTTCATTCCTGATGAAATAACAGGACGAAACGAGAGACTCCAGAAGGTGAAGATCCCGGCGGGAGGCGGGCACAGAAAAGGCGAGGACGGAGGAACAGAAAAGGTGGGCGACCTTTTTTTTCTTTTTTTTCTTTTTTCTTGCTGAATCGACCTGTTGGTCGTCGTCAGTCTAAGTTAGTGACGGGAGCGGATGGAGACCAAAGCGGGCCATCGTCAGGTTACTGGAGGTTTAGTCTTTAGACCTTGACGGTCTTGACCTCTCTGCCTACCTACGGAGTACTTGCCTAGTAGTACCTACTGCTACTCCGTCTGCGACTGAGTGAAGACCGTCTACAGTCTATCCAGTGTACTCCTTACACAGTACGGTCGACTGACAGACCCTCGGGTCCAGCTAGCCGACTAGTCGCGGCGTCGTGTACCTTTCGAGCCCTCCGCGCTGAACTAAAGTCCTACTAGTCACCGTCTTTTGCGATGATTATTGGCTTGGAGGGGAGGAAGGGGACGCAAGGTCTTGCAGGCCAAGACCCGAGTGGTTTCGCAGGATAACCTCAAATCGTTCATACACAGTACCTAACATACTCCATACATACCTGAGAACCTGACCTGGCCTGGCCTGAACCGACGGAATCCCCTCCGTACCAACTTCTGGGATTCTGGCTGGTGCCGGATTTAGAGTTCTCCGGCACTTGGACGGGACTGGGATTTGAGGACGCAGCATGACTCAGACTTACGGTACCGTCCGCCATGATTAATGGATTCTCTCCCCAGCACTCGGAGTGTATCGAGGAGATCCCAAAGATCGAATCGAATCAAATCCAATCACTCCCTATACAATCAGAAAAATAATATAACAGCATGACGGCCCCCTCTTAAGGCGGACTAGGGATGGACCATTTGGGGATATTGATCTATTTCTAACTCTAATGAGTATGACGATCCTTTCTGCTTTCCCTGGTTGGAGGGAAGTAAGACACTTTCGACCCAATCAGCGTCCCTCTGGCGCACTAAACGGCCTTGGAAAGATCCACAGGGTTCTAGATACAGCGACGTACTTTTTTGAGGTGGTGTCACCCCCCCTCCTCAAGGAACCGTATTCACTTATTCACCCTGTCCCTTCCACCTGGTGGTGTACTCCCGGGCTGCGATGCTTCGGTTCTGATCCGCCTAGGAAAATCCGGGAAAGCAGCGAGGTCCGAGGAATGGAGGGCGAGCGATTGTCAGGCACTCGGAATCTTTCTCAATGACACCTACTGTACTAGTAAGTCTAGGTGGTAGGTAGTCGGTACCTGCTGAGTACTTCCAACTCTACCTAGAGTCCTACCTAGAGTCCTAGACTCTCTATCGTAGGGAGTTTTAGTGCGACCGTACTAGTGGTATTTGCGTTACCCGCCCACAGTACATCGACCCGCGCCTCCCTCGTCTCCCTCTCGCTCGCTCTTTCCCTCTCTCTCTTTCTCTGGACAATTCCAGAAGTTCACTCGGTTAGGCAGTGGACATTCAGAGACCTTGAGAAATTAATCACAAGGAATTAAAATAGAGTCCACAGGAATAAGGGGGACAATTAACAAACAAATCAAAGGAGATCATTCTAGCTTTAACTCCGTCAAGATGATCGCTCTCCAGGGCATCTAATTAGACAGCTTGGCAAGCGTCGAGTTTATTTTCCTGGCCACAGCCAGGACTTTCCCCATCCACACGGGCGGAATCCAATCCCATCCTGCAGCTCCTCATGACTCTCTACACTGTACGAAGTACGCGGACGGTTGTTGCTTGTATAATAGGGCTCTTGATTCTTGTATTTCTGCTGCCGGACTGTTGCGCCCTGCTGCAAGCCCCGTTCCCCGCCTGCTACCCTTTCCAAGTTAAGATCTAAGGATAGTGTTGTACGTACCAAGTACGGAGTGTCGGAGTACCAACCCTTACCATCTGCTGTGGAGCCCTCATTTCGTACTTGATGTTGAGCGCCAAGAACGCGACCCCATACTAAAGGCAGCTCTACGCGTTGTTAGACAGAATCGGCGGACAGCGGTCAAGCCATTTTTAAATTCGCTTGATCCGTTCCACAGCCTCGGTCCTCTTCTTCTTTGCTTTTTCTTCTTTCTTTTATTTTTTCTCTTAATTTTTGGTCCTCGTTCAGGTGGCGTGATTCAGATTCGTTGCGGCAAAGTAGGTACATGTTCAATACTTAATGGCTGGGTTTCCTGCCACCAGGAAGGTATGTATTGAAGGTTAACGGCTGGCAAGGAAACCTACCGAGGGCGGATGCTTGAATCATGATTTATGAAAAGTCGGTGGGCCGATTTCAGACTACCTGGAGGCTCCTTGGACACACGGTTCCACCGCTTCTAACGATGATGATCGCAATCAGGCCCGATCGTTTATAGGTAGCTTTGCCCGGTAATTCTCCCTAATGCCTAACCCCCAACTGAAACGAACACTGGTCACCAAAGTTATTGTTCCTGTCACTAGCCGATTGCCTTCTTTGATGAAAGAGCAACAGCGATAGACAAGTGCCCTTGTCCCTCGTGTCTGGGGGGTGGTTAGTCAATGGCGGGAATACACGGCTGGCATGTCACAGGAAAACCGGCGCCAACATGGCCAGTGTCCAGAATCCCGCGATTGGATAAATAAGCCCTCGTACGATTTGGACGGACAGCAAACAGAAAGCTAGACAATCTATCGTCCAGTCCGATAGAGCTCCGGGAACCATAATGTCGCCGTCTAGTGCCCTATAAGTCTGGGTGCTGTTCCCTCTCCGCTTTGCTACGTGTGATTCCATATTATCAACTGTCATGTGGTGGAAGATGTCGCGCATCGGCCAAGCGGGATGGGTACACCAGCATAACCAAACAACAACCTGCGCATGAAGGGCTTGTTAACAAGCTCAAATAAACAACCCGCTCCCCTCCCGAAAGGAAAAGATGATAACGGCTGTTAAGCATATCCTTGACAGGCTTGATGGTTTGCTAGCCATACGTGGTGGCTTTTAACTTTGTGGCTAGCATGCGCCTCGTAGGAAATGAATTGAATCTATAAAAAGCTTCTCAGATAGTTGAGCGAGGTATTCAATGTCAAGGGATCGATCTCGAAGCGACCCCGGGCAGCGTTCAAACCTACAAACCCCCCTCGACAGAACCAATACGAGACATTTCTTCATGTTGGTTGTCTATTTTTTACGTGTAGGTAGTATGCGCGTAAATCATCGGCCAATGCCCTAAGTGCAAACACGTCGGTATATTGCGCTGATCCCGCTCGGTAGAATGAGAATCGCATTGCCTGATCAAGTGTGGTTCCTGCCACTTGCATATGCTGTAGACCTCATATAAGGTTGCATGTCGTTGGTCCTGTTTCATCCCAGTGTGCGACATGGGTTGAATGGCTTCGGCAAGAATTCCAATCAAGGGCCTGTTGTTTTTGCAGTGGTTAAATATAGAACATGGCTGGTCATGAGGGCGCATAATCTATTTCGGAACCATTGGGAATTTTCTAGTAGGGAAGGCATTTTCAGCGCAGTGGCTTAGTATTATTGAAGAGAAGATGAAGAACGGTCGCAATGTAAATCTTCTAATACGAAGGGGATGAGCCAGGGACAACAAGTGAAACTTGTTGGTGGTACATACTGTACAAAGTACAAACACCAATTTAACCTAGGGTGGTTATTTGGAAGGGTTCATATTTCGACAAGGATTTATTGCAAGATCGTCGGATCATTGGCCCTTAAGAGTCTGATCTAGGTGCATAGTACCTAGTTGCTGCTACGATCACTAGTAAGTAGTAGCGAATACCGCCCGGATGGTAGTGCTCGCCAGGGTTTGCGGTGCCAAGCGCCCCCCGAGCCTTGCTGCAATCTGGAGAAGCGACGCTGGAGGGCTATTCCGCTTCGGGCAATCCTTCTTGCGACACGTGGGGCCAGGCTAGCAGCATGCCGCCCTGCACTCCGGTCTGGCCCTCTGGCCCTCTGGCCCTCTAGCTAGCCGCTGACTACTCCGAACGAAGCAGTCATTTAATTATTTAACTAATGGACTAGCTCTCTCGATAGAATCCCAAGTTGACGTTAACGGGTACATATGAATGGAACCGATCGACGACAACGAAGCTGAAACGGCGCGGGTCAATCAAGGCCTCGAAAACGAGAGCGTCGCAAGTCGCCAGCCGCAAATGAGTTCCTGACAATCACTGTCCTGGTCTCCCCCCCACCCTAAACCCGACGGGGGCAAGGCTGACTGTTTCTTTTTCTGGAACCGGCAGCCCATCACGTGGTATCACCTGACGCGGCTGCTGTCGTCACCAGGACCCTTGCGGTCCCGTTATCTCCTGTCACGGAATGGACCAAGTTCCAAGTCCTCGCCTTCGATAAATTGCCCTCCAACGCAATCTGCGGATCCCAGTCCCGTTTCTACGCATCGTCGACATCGCCCGCTCTATCCTTCTCCATCTCTCTCTCTCTCTCTCTCTCTTTCCTCCTCTCCCTCTCCCTCTCCTCTTCTCTCCCTCCCTCTCTTTAACGGAGTATCCGGCAGATTTCTCTCTCCCCGTCATGATCACTCTGGACCGATCCGGACCCTGAATTTCTCTTGCGCTCGCTCAATCTCCACCTCCCGGTCAATCCCCAGCCATACCACCCCGACCGCTATGGTTTCAGCATCGCCTATTCCCGTTGGATCTAGCATCTTCTTCTCTTTTACGCTCTTCACGATCTCCGTCCTCGTATTATTACTGCTTCGACGCTTCTTAACGCTGCGGGCCACCCCGGCTTACCTGATCACCCCCGTTTTTCTCGCCCTTGCGCTTCCTGCGAGTGTCGTGCTTCTGGTCCCCATTGACTTGGCTTCAAGCTCGCGTGATGGTGAGGGGCCTCGTGCGATTTGGCTCCCCGATCGGTTGATTTTGGTGTCCTGGCGCATTGCCTACTGGCTGATTTTCGTGCTAACATGGTGAGTTCGCGCGATCGGATGGCTGTTTTCGGTCACGCCTTTCCACACCAGAGGACTAATCAGTTTCGTTTTCTTCAATCTCAATAGGGCCATCCTTCCGTTGCTCGGAGAATACATCGATTCGGGTTATCGCGATGCCAAGGGTCGCATTCAGTATTCGATTCGATCTAACGCCCGCTACCAATTGCTTGTTCTGGGCTGTGCCCTGGTCGGGTTGATCTACATTTCCATTCAGAATGGCTTTGAATTCCGATCAATCAAGACGCTTGTCATGGCCCTTGCTTACGTCTGGGGTTTGGTTCTCGCCATCTACTTGATGGGCCACGGCCTCGTTTCCATACCTCGCACGTTATTCCGTAATGCCAGCGTCAGCGGTCGGCTACGGAGACTGCAGTCCCATGCTCCACGACTGCATGACCGTCTTATGGATGCGGTCAATGAACTTGAAAGCCTTGAATCGCAGGTGAAACAGCTACAACGTCGCAAAACCGGATCTGCGCGCGACTTCCAAGAATGGATCGAAGAGCTGGGCGAGGGATCCAGTTCCCCGGAAGCACAGGCTCTTCTCCAACCCGCAGAAGGATCAGATTCGGTGCCAGCCGTCATCACGGAGCGTTACATGGCCGACTTGACCCGACGCCTGCAGCGCGCTCGACACCAGAAGGCTCGCTTTGTTGACGAGTGGGATCGTCTGGTGCTGTCCGCGGCAGATTTGCAAGCAATCATCAATTCTTCTGCGTCGAAGAAGTTGGAGTTTAATCATTCCACCAACCGCGCGTCGTTCCTCCCCCGCGTGAAACTCTTGACTCCTTATCTGCGGTATCATGCCTACGTCCACATTGTCCCCAATATCCGGCTTTTTCTGGGAGCGTTGTTCTCGGCCGCGTCCATCTGTATCGTCTGGTCTGAGTGCATCAAGTCTATAGCCCCCCGACTATCGATCGTGACACTCTCAGTAGTCTCATACCACGAAAACCCGGCGCCTGTCAATTTCTGGCGGCAGGTGGCTGCCTCAGTATGGCTGCTGTACATGTGTTGGGCGGCACTGGTGGGAGTCAATGATGCCAAAGTGTGGGGAAACCGGGCGTTGGTGCGGCGCAACACCTACGGCGAGAGTGCCTGCTGGTACGCCGGCCTGGTCGCTCGGCTCACGGTGCCTATCGCCTACAACTTCCTGACATTCCTTCCCGAGGTGGTCCGTGTTGAGACTACATTCTATAAACTCCTCGGCCAGTACATCGACCTCACGCCGCTCGGAAAAGGATTTGACTACTTCTTCCCAGTCTTTATTCTGCTCCCCATCTGCGCCACGCTGTTCAACCTCTACGGCCGCGTAAAGAACGTCTGCGGATTTGGCCTGTTGGAGGAGGACGAGGAAGACCTCGAGAACAACCCTGGCGGCTACGGCATCGGCGGATGGCGTGAAGGGCGTGACCTAATCGACCGCGAGCTAAACGGCCTCGGATCGCTCACTCTGTCCACCCGCAGTGGTCAGTCGCCCCGACCCACGAACCGCGTGGAGGAAGGTACCCGGGGGTTCTCGTCCTCGCGCACCTCTGGAAGCGAAGCGATCCGCCCCTCTCGGTCTCCGCGAGGAACGGCCCCCGCGACAGCTGCTCTGGAAGAGAACGAGGACGAGGAGAACTTTTTCCAATCGTTCGCCCATCGGGTACGGAACACCTTCGAAACAGCCAGTAAGCCGGAATGGCTGCAGGGCGACGCCTTTCGACTGCCTAGATGGATGGGCAACGAAGCCAACGAAGCCAACGGGGGCCTTGCCCGGTGGTTTGGAGGTCGACCCGAGCCTGGTGGAGTCAGACTTTAGATGATTATTTTCTTTTTTCTTCCCTCAGGCTCTGGGTGATGCATGACTGAAAGGCGCTTTGCTTTCTTCCTTTTTGACGAATAGATATGTGATAATTCACTTTGTATGATATAACACCACCACTAGGATAATCGGTATATAAACACCACACCTGGTTTACAGCGAGAGTTGTGGGATGATCTGCGTAGAGTTAGATCGGATGAAAGCATTCGGAGCCTTGGAGGAGGAAGTGATTACTGCCTTTCACGCAGGCAGACAGCCAAGCCGCATAGTTATGCGTCTTGCCTGCGCCAGGACAAGAACTTTCTTTCATGCCAGCCAGTAGGATATCTTAAAGTAAAGCAAAAGAAAAGAAAGTAAAATCAAACTAAAGAAAAGGAAAGTCACGTAGACCGCTAGAAGGTGTTGGCCGTAAGCCACTCCCCGCCAATTGCTCCGTAGTTCTCGTCCCATCGAGGGATTTCCAGATGGTCCACCCCAAGTGAAGTGGCGGTCTCTCCTCCGTACGGAGTAGGCATTCTTTTAGTCACTGGAAGCCGGAAGGAGGCTCTCTCCGCCTTGTTTGCCCCCGTCCGTTGCGGCCAGCGTTTCCATGACCTCAGCAGAAAAAAAAAAAAAAAAGGAACCTCCGCAGTTCGGATCCCATTTTCTTCTCCCTTCCTTTCTTTTCTTTTTATTCCCCCCCAACCACCCATCCCTCCTCTTCCTCTCCCTTCCCCAAATCCATGACCCATTTATTAACACAGGTCTCGCAGTCCTCTCTGGGCGAGACGTGTGCCTTCTATTTGGATTACATTACTGGCAACGTGCCCCCGTCCCTACGCTCGCTGCAGCACAAATTTGTCACCAACACTCTAACCTTGCGCGCCCTTGCTCCCCGCCCGCACTGGATCGCGGATCTTCATCACGTCTTCGCCGCTGACCAACAGCGCACTACTACTACCCTCGTCGCCGTCACTCTTGTTCTCGCTGCTGCGATCGCCGTTGTGATCATCATGTCTTGGCGCAGCCGCTTCACCAATCTCTGGCCGCCTCGGTCCCCTTACTACTCGGGCGTCTCGAACCCGCCGCACGTCAGCGAAAGCGACTACAGCTACATCTCGCCGGATCAGATTGTCGAGCCGCCCTCTCGCACCTACGACGACCAGGACAACGAGCCCGATATCCTGCTGCTTAAACATCGCAAGAACACCTACGAGCTGCGGTTCCCCGCGTACGCGATCAATGACGGCGTGCTCAGCGTGGGCCAGCTGAGACGACGGGCCGCGGAAGTGACGCAGGCCCCGGACCCGAAACGAATCAAATTGCTCTACAAGGGAAAGCTGCTGGACGACGATTCGCTGCCCTGCCGCGCGGAGGGACTCAAGCAGGATTCCGAAGTGTTCTGCGTCGTGTCGGAGGTGCGCCCGGGTGAGAGCACGCCCAGCGACGTGTCTGACGCCGAGATCGAGAAGTCGTCACCGGCGGGAGGCGCCGAGAAGAGGAAGCGCAATCGCACTAGGAATAAGAACAAGAAGGGCAAGGGCAAGAACAAGGATAAGCGTGCCGACGAGTCCGGCCCCGTTCCCCCGCCCGCTGTCGACCGGCCGAAACCGACGTCCGCGGGCATGCCCGCTCCGGCTCCCAACTTGAAGACCCTCCCTACCTCGATCGAGCAGGTCTCGGCGCTGGCCGGGTACTTCTACACGGAGCTGGCTCCCCTGTGCGAGGCCTACATTGCCAGCCCGCCGACGGACCCCAAGGCGCGCGATTTCGAGCACAAGAAGCTGAGCGAAACCATCATGGCGCAAGTGTTGTTGAAGGCGGACGGCATTGAGCCCGACGGGCAGGAAGAGACTCGCAATGCGCGCAAGGCGCTGATCAAGGAAACGCAATCGGTCCTCGGAAGACTTGATCAGGCGGTGAAATCATAAACATCAACGGGACCATAATATGATAGACCTATTGACATGAAACCGATATCTTTGGTATCATGTGTCCACTGTACATTTCCAAAGAATATATGCCTGGAGTTCTTTTGCTCTTCCTTTGCGTTTATCCTGTTTGTAATACTGAGAGAAAGCGACTTGCATTTCAGCAAAAGATAACACGGAGTCTTCGCGTTGGGAGTCTTATTGTATTCAAGACATTGACAGTGGCTGATTCACACGTGGCAGAACGCACATCCATCACCGATCCACGGGTCCTGTCAACCAAAGCATGGTCACGGCGTCCAGCATCTGTTCTGTACCCGCGATCTGCTGCATGAGCTCTGGGGGGACGTCGCACAGTATTACGTAGATCGGTTTCACGCCAGCTGGTATCGAAATATGGGCCGATCTGGGAGTTTGACATGATGGCGTGGACTGTCGACGTAGTCATATAATTACTCTCTGCGCATAGAACTACATATACATACAGAGTCTGCTGTGCTCTGTATGTAGTTAGATAACTAATTCATGCCCTGCATGACATGTACACCTACAATATGAATAGTGAATCCTTAAGCTCCAAAAATGGCAAAAACAAGAGGGTCGGAGTGGGTCCTTAGGTAGGTAATTAAGTTCGAACGGAAATGTCCAGGGGAACGAAGACTGGGTGATATATCCAATCCAATGTAGTACATATAATTCAATCGTTTCAGCGGATTGAAGAGAAAATAGGTCCAGGTTAGTTTTAAATGAGCATTGCCGAGGCAGGAGCACTGTACGGCTGATGGACAGATCACATCGGCCATGAGGCGGAGGAGAAGCGACTCATGTCATTTTGGACGGATCGACCGGCGTTGGACGAAATCGTCATGCAGGAATCGGCGCCCAAGCGATGGGCAGGGCTTAGATGGCCTAGCTGGGCAATGAGCGGCAGTCCAGACTCCAGGGGGAGATGGGAGGTGCTGTGAGACATAATGGCACATCGTGTATGGTGTAAGCTCTGCGTGTACACACATAGTAGGAGTACTCCGTAAGTAAGTAGTACGTTAGTGACTACTACTAACCACTCACTAGAAGTAGGGTCATTCGGTGAGAAGCGAGGAATGACGACGAGGTAGAACCGGGAAAAGCGTTCTAGGCTGTCCCCACCACTAGTGCTGCTGTCTAACTGAGATCGCGGAAAACTAGCGGCGCCCCCGTGTCTCTCTCTGGCTTCTCGGTTTCTTCCCTTTTCTTCCCTCTCTTCCTTTCCCTTTCCTTTTCATCCTTTTCCCTTCCACCCTCAACAGAGAGAGGAAAACTCCGCGAGAGACAGGAGACGGGACTGATTCATTGGATTAATTGATTGATTTACTCGATTGAATCTCTTTTTCCTCGAATCGTTTTAGCCCGTCTCTGACCCGACCAGCGTCTATTTCTTCCTGTTCCACTCCTTTTTTCTCTCCAATTTTCTCTTCCCCTCTTCTTCTTCACCCTCCCCTTTATCTCCGTCACTCTCTTAATTCTTCTAATTTAGTCTGTACCCTTTGTTCTCTTCTCGTCCCCCCTCTAACCGCTTATTATTTCTTTCCCCCCCCCTTTTTATCCCAAAACTACCATCGGCTATTGAGGTCCTCTCCACCTTTCACTTTCTAGTGCCTAGCCCCAGACACTCCCCTGCTAGGTAAAACGTCTGCCGGACCTGAAGCACATCCACGGTACCGTGTCCGCGACTGAACCAAGAACCCTTTCGCGCACCGCCAGCAAACCGCAATAATCCTAAATCAACAGCTGCCGGAACCAAAACAAGCTAATCTCCACTTGGTTCCTATTTACAATTTACTCTTTCGGGCCGACCTCACGTCCTTGCTTCCCTCCACCCCTTTTCTTTCCGACAATAAAGCTCCGCCGACTATCGTCAGAGAATTCTCTCCCCCCCCCCCCTCTCTACCTCCCTTGGGTCCTGACCTCGACACCTTTTCGCCTATACCGCCGATTTAATTTCCTGCTCAGTGACAGACAAGACAAAAAAAATTGCTGGGTGGTCCGTAGTGCCCTGCTGGGATGGCCTGATCGGCAAGATCTCTAGTCAATCTATTTTCCCTAAAAAATTTTGCCCTTCACCATCCCCTCCGCCAACCAACGGCCTCTAACCGTCATTACATTCGACCAAAGGTTTCAGCTGGACTGACCTTGACTTTCGCTGAATCATCGTTACGCACGCTGGAATGGCGGGGACAACAACTGCAGCGTATACCGCAGATCTTTGGACGTCGCCCAGTACTGTAGACGGGAGCCAGAACCAGTGGGAATATGCCGTCCCAGTTAGACAGAATGTAAGTTTCTCTCGCCCGATGCTCTTCCCTGCCTTGTCCGGATTGATGGAGTATGGTGACGGTGCTCCGCCCTGTTTGCCTGGTGCCGTGGAATTGAGTAGGTGGAGGACAACTCAATACCGGTGATTGTGCTGACAGGTTGCTTGCTGTAGAGTTCCGTTCGTCGCCCCAAATCTCGATCGTCTCACGATCCTGCCCACGCTCGCTCACGAGGATCTCGTAGCTCGTCCATGTCTAGACATGCCTACGCACATGACACAACGTATTCGAATTATCGTGGTCGACACGACCCGAGCCTGAGTCGCCATGGAAGTGAAGCGGGGAGCCTGCGGGCCAACTATAGCTCGGGAAACCTGAGAGGGTCGGCAAATGCGTCTCACGATGCCCTGGGACGGGGTGACATGAAGGATGGAATTGGACCCTACATGAATGGATTCGAGCATGAGAATTGGATCCACAGAGACAAGCTGGCCAAGATCGAAAGCGAGGAGCTGCAGCAAGCTGCGATCTTCTTCCAACGCCGAGGAGGACTGGAGCACAGCCGATCACAACGTGGAAGGAATCATGATTCGAATCACACCCCTCGTGGCGGGTCTACTGTGACCACGCCGCCGACGAATGAGTCAATGGAACCTTGGCCGACAATGCAGGACGACTCGCGGGATATCACGAGCTCTCCGACTTCTTTTGTGCAGGGTACCGGGGAAGATCGCCATAATTGGGACCTCCGTCGACCGGAGGAGATTGCCGCCGATACCAATGCCGCGAATTTCTACCAGAATCCCGGGGGGCGCAAGAGCTCGTCTCGGATACCCATCCCGACCTCTAGTCCGGCTCCCATTTCACCGGACCAACTTGGTCGCGAGTTCCCCAGGCAACGCGCGCGGGGGCTTACCAATGGAGAGGACGAGGCGTTGGCATATGGCAAACCGCGCAGGGCCAGCGAGCCTATCACCGTGGAAAATTTGGAGGGCTCTACTCCCCCAGGTGCCAGCAGTCGACCTGGGAGTCGTGGGTTCCCAAGCGGGCAAAATACGGGCAGGAAAACCACCGGTAAAGGTGCGACAGCAACAGGTACCCGAAAGTCGTCTGCGCCTCCCGCCACGCGTAAGACAACCCCGCGGAGTCGAGCTACGTCCGGAAATCAGCGTCCGACTACACGATCGGGCGAAGGTCGTGCCCCTCACCCCGTCAACCGCCCCGAGGGTGATCCGCCATGGCTGGCAACCATGTATAAGCCGGACCCGCGTCTTCCTCCGGAGGAGCAGATGCTTCCGACCCACGCCCGACGGATCCAGCAACAGATGTGGGAGCAAGAGGGTCGGACGCCGACGATGTATGATCGCCAATTTGCACCGCTAGCCGTTGGCCCCGACGGTGGCCCACGTCCGGTTGAAGTGAAGAAAGAAGAGCCGCCGAAACAGCCCCCGTCACCAGTATCGCCGCTACCGCCGCCGCAGCCTTCGCCAAAACCGGAGATTCGAGCCCCAGAGATCTTGCCCACGCCCAAGAGTCCCGATCCCAGCACTCGACCCAGTACGGGAACCGGCTACAGCACCATGCCCAAGGTGCAGCAGGAACCTCCTTCTGCGGGACTGACACCCAAGTGGAGCCCACCGGTTGTCACTGCGCAGGAGCCCCCTAAAAAGGAAAAGGGATGCGGATGCTGCATTGTTATGTGATTTTGTTCTTCTTCACTGGTCGAGTATATGTCTCGAATTTGATATCGCATTTCGTTTATCGGTCATTTGAAAGATACCTATCCCGAACTTCTACTTTGCGACGTCGACCCCTTTCTTTTCTCTCTCTCTCTATTTCTGTCTATCTCTGTCTACCTCTTGTCTCTTCCTTTCTTGCACGCTCACTCTTTCCACCATTTCTTTTACTATCATATCCCATTTTATTATTGGCTTGTTTATTCAGCGTGCCAGGTTGGCTGGCTTGGTGTTTGTGATCTTGATAACTTTCTTAGGAAATTCTTAATTCTGTCATTTATTTCTAGTTCATTCAATCCGTCGCATTTGTTTGGCTTGTTGAATTTCCTTGCAGTCGTGGCAATTTGTCGTTCCTTGCAAGATTCCCCTACATTGAACATTGCCAATTTCTTATCCACTGTTGCTTTGATCCCTTCTTTTTTTTCTTCCCCCAAGACTGGTCGAATTAATTTGGCTCCCAGACACCTGATCGGGTCCAAGATGGCATATCGCTGCTGAGTAGCAGTGGCTGGGGGACCAACTTTACGACTTTCACGATGTACTTTCTTCGCGATCCTCTTATCGATCTTGGTTGACTTGTTGTCTGGGTTGCATGTGATCTTTAAAGGACGGAAGTAAGATTGATGTCAGCGGATTTATATAAGCAGTTTCATATAGCATATCGCGAAGCAATGAAGTATTAGACTTCCACTTAGCACAGGCTGTACCTGGACCATAGTTCACTGTACCTAGTCCACTAGTATTAGATATGACGTCATTTCAATCACCGAGCAACGTTACTAAGCCAGATCACATGACATCATCACGTCAACCTCCGGCCGGCTTTTGACATTCGCCGTCCGTCCCCTCCTTTTGTCCCACCACCCTATTCATTTCCCCCCGATTTCCTTCTTTTCTTTCTTCTTCTTCTTTCCTCCGCCAGGAGCCCCGTTGCCCATCATAGCTTCCATCTTCCGCCGTCTCTTCGGGTCGTTTGCCCCTCCCACCGCCGTCGAAATGTCTGCCGCAAAGACCAAGGCTCAGTCCTACATCAACGAGAATGGCGTTGGTGAGTTTGCGATTCTCGAGCTTGCTTACTAGCCCAAGATTCTTCCAAGATCTTAGGGGAAGTCGCAATGAAATGAAATGAATATCGGCTTATACATTGAATTTTCTAGTCGTCTTTTCGAAATCTTACTGCCCTTACTGCCACGCCAGCAAGAAGTTGTTGAATGAGCTCGGCGCGAAGTTCGCGGTCGTCGAGTTGAACGAGTTGTGTATGTCTTCTTCCTCCCTTATCCCCTTATTTCCGTCTTATATCTATACATGCTGGTATACGTGCCGGTTGAATACGACCCTCTCACTACATGTATACACCGTTGTATTCAAAAGAACAAACACTAACTTTATGTGACTAAATAACAGCCGACGGCTCCGCCATCCAAGACGCCCTCGAGGAAATCAGCAGCCAGCGCACCGTTCCGAACATCTTCATCCAGCAGAAGCATTTGGGTGGAAACTCGGATCTGCAGGCCAAGAAGGCCCAGTTGCCGCAGTTGTTGAAGGATGCTGGTGCTTTGTAAACTGGCGCGTGCGCGCGTGTGGATAACTATGGATATATGACTTGTTTATTAAGATAGGGTTGGGGGTTGAGAGATAATATAATGCATATTTCTTTGCATGGTCTTTATCTTTTGGTAAAGGGGAATAGCTATGTTTAAGGGATATGATTATGTGAGAGTGAGAGAGATGCCCCGCAACGAAGTAAGCATGGAGGAGCGTGCGTTCTCTGATTTGATTGATTAATTGATTGGACGGAGATGTAGGTGTCTCAGTCTACTGAAGAAGCCAATCATGCTTACATCCTATGTGTAGTTGCAAGAATGGCAGTATTTGTCTGTAGAGTAAAGTACATTCTTATATTCATACATATACTATATTAAAACAATCAAACCACCTTCTGCACCACCGTGCCCACCGGTCGTTCCACAATGCCCATCACCCCGTCCACCACGCTCTGCCGCGCTCCCTCGCTCGACACGTTCTTCCCCGCCAGATAGTTCAACCACACCAGCCGGCTGATGCGCTCGTCCTGCACCCGGCCTAGGAACCGCGCCGGCTTCTTCGCCTCCGGGTAGAACAGCGCATCCAGCTGCCCTTGCGCGTTCCGCACCAGAAGAAGCGTCTGCCCCTTGGGCACATTCTTGCGCTGTCCACCGCCAAACAGACCCTTGAACTCGTTCATCGCCGCGCCGAAGGTCTCGTCCTCGAATTCGCCCGGCTTCTGCTGCGTCTTCTGGCCCCCTTGTTGCTGCTGCTGTTGCTGCTGGGCCTCGCGCGCCTTCGCGCTCGCCTGCTGCGCCCGGCCCGTGATGCCGCGCACCCATCCATCCCGCAGGTGCAGGAAGTCAGTGTTGCGCGTGGGCACGATCCGGAACGCCGTGCGCAGACCGTCCGTCTTCAAGATGGCATCCCACGCAGCGTCACCACGCTCGGGGTCCAGCAACAACTCGCGCAGCTGCTGCCGTTCCGTCGAAACCAGCGACGTGGCGGACGTAGCGCCAGGGACATCAATGATCTGGGCCTCGCCGGGCGGCTTCACAGCCGTCTTTACCAATCGCTGCTGCAACTCCGGCAGATCCGACGTCGCCACATACATGCCCACCACGTACACCTGAATCCGCAGGAACGACACCGTCCGGATCCCCAGCCCAAGCAGCTGATACGTCTCTTCCCCTTTCTCCTCCTCCGCGCCGTCGTCCGCGATAACGGGCGTGCCCTCCACGGGAACCTCATCGCCGGGTTTCAGCGCCTTCGCATCCAGCCTCTTCGGCAACCGAATCGTGCTTGGGAACTGCGGTACAGAACTCGTCCCCGTCTCGACCTGCTCTACTCCATCTTGTCCCTGGATCCGGATCACCGATGGAGTACCCGTGAATCCATCCGGTCCGTCGAGCTTCATGGCTCCAGATTGTGTCTGCGTCTGCGTCTGCGTTTCCCCCTCCTGCCCCGATCCGTCTACCGCTCCCACCCCGAACAAGTCCAGCTGGATGACACCGTACATGGCGACCGCGCACGCGGCGATCCCGGCTGCTGAGAGCGTCATCGATCGTCGGGCCTGCGTGAACTGTTCCTTTTGCATGGGACCGGGCCCGGCGCTGCGGAGGGGGTTGGGCTTTGCGGCGGCATTGCGGAGAGGTCGGGCGGTGCTGAGGAAGCGGGTTACGGTTGTCGTCGGCCGGAGGGTGGTTCGGCGCATTGTGCATTGTCCGCAGCTACGCCGGGATAGATGCATCGTGCGCTGGATTGTAGGTGGTAATGTCATGTTGTTTTGTTCTTTTTGCTGACGATTGGGTTCGGTTTGGTTGGTTGGTGGTGGATTGGAGTGGATGGAGTTGGCCGGGCGGGAAAGCTGGGATGGGATGGGATGATGTTCCGGTGGAGCTCCGTGCACGTGATCGGATCTGCCCTGGTTCTTTTTGGTTTACTTTTGGCTGATCGTTTGGGGAGTAATTATGGGGTTTATTATTTCTAGAGGTGGTGCTATTGTTGGAGGTTTGCTAGGGTTGGATAATTGGATTGCTTATTGTGAGGGCTAAGATTGGCTGATGAACTAGTACTTTCTGACGTGCCTAACGGTATAGGACCGTGTTTACTCCGTACTAGGTGACTAGATTTGAATCCGACAAGGATTGAAAAGAATTGGACTCTTTTGTACGGAAGACGATAACGACCGTGAGTATCTAAGTGTAAGTATTAATTCACCACCACCTTATGCGATCCACCTCCACTTACTCGAACAGACGCCGTGCCATCCGTATAGTTCACACCCCTCGAGACATCATTCCCATCGATCGTGATCGACGGTCTCTCACCACGTCTGACAAACGGCAGCGCCAGATCCCCGCGGGTGCCCTCCGGCACCGAGAAATGCAGCGTATACTCATCCGGCTTCCGCTTCCACGCCACCTGGAACTTGCCGAGCGAGGTGCTGAACCCGCCCTCCACCGTGCTCAGGTCGCCGAAATGCGGCGCAATCTTCCACGTCAGACCCAACGGCGACGTGATGCTGAGACCGAGAACGTAGTTCGTCAGCGCGGACGTCGGGCCCGCGGACCATCCGTGCGCATGCGACACGTACGACTCGTCGTGCGAGTACCCCCGATCAGACCGGTACCCAAACGTGCCGTCCGCCAGGTATCCCTCGATCACGGTGCTCTCGGTGTCGTTGGGATTGTTCAGGTACCAGCCCCAGCTGCGGCGGATGAGTTCCAAGGCTCGATCGGAGCGATCGGCTTCGAAATGGCCCTGGATCTCAAACGACGAGATGAATGGGGAGATGTTCCCGGGCAGCTCGGGCGTGACAGCCCCGATGGGAGTCCAGTTCTTCGTGAGTCGGTTCGAGATCTTCTCTGCGCGCTCCTGGTTGGTGATTCTGTAGAGTAGTGCCATGCTGTTGGCGTCTTGTGGGTAGAGGCTCGTATCCGTGGCGTTGTCCTTGAAGGCGCCGTACCCGTCATCCCAGCAGTGCTTGTTGATTGCTTTCCGTAGGTCGTCGGCCTGATCGTTCCATTTGGTGGCGAGAGGTGTCGAGTTCGCTGCCCAATAGGCAACCTGTGCGCCGGTCTTCAAGGTATGGTACAAACTGCCTCGGAGTTAGTATAAGTGAAGGCAGATCCATGATGCACTCGCACTCACATCATCTGTGCCTGAGTGTTGTTGTATCCCTGCTGCCATCGGGCCCAATCGCGCGTGCCAGTCACGTTCAGCAGGCCGCTGGATTTGTCCACCTTCTTGTAGACATAGTCCATGGCCTTCTGGTATCCCTCCCAGTTGTCTAACAGGAATTCGGTGTCGTTCGTGTAGAGAAAGTAATTGTATGTTCCGATCATCGACCACATGTGGTAGGTGTCCGAGTTCTTCTGGCTCAGGGGTGGGCCGGATTCGTCGAACGCCCCATTGCTCGCCTATATTGACGATCAGATCGCTGTACTCAGATCGATATGCCCAAAGAACTTACCTGCTTATCGTACATCACCTGCAGCGCATTCTTCACGCTCTCCAGATCTCCCGTGCTGACGAACGAGGCGGGCACGGCAATGCCCATATCACCTGGCCACACGGCACGGTCTCGCTTCGCCCCGTCCATGAGAATGGTATCGCCCGGTCCCATGGTGGCATTATTGGCCCAGCCTTCTTTAAGCATGGGAACTTGACGACCGGTCTTCACGGGTGCCGCATTGGTTTGCAGGGTATAGGCGCCGCTGTACCAGATCCGATTGAGGAGCTCGTCATCTGAGTGGAAATACCCCTGGTAGGCTTGAAGATTCGCCCACGTAGGCTGGAACCCTATCTCCAGGCTCACATCCTCAATATTGACAGTGGAGTCGTCCTCCGCGAGTAGAAAAACGGTCAAATATCGGAACCCTCCGCGGAGGTACTTATCGGGCATGACGTAGGAATCATTTCCGGGGTTAGAGAAGGAGGCATAGAGCGCGCCATCGGGACCTTGGAAGGCGCCATCCGATGAATCAGACCATTCCCCGATCCATTTCTTGGATTCGGTGAAGGCCAATCCCAGGATACCTTTGTCCGACGACGAATAATTCAGAGTGACAATGCCGCCGACCTCGATACCGAAATCGAAAACAACGCTCGAGCCATTCCCCGACAAAGAGAACGGGATGGAATCGTTGTACTTGGTGGACTTGGTTGGCGTGGATACCGACAGGACTTTTTTGGGGCTGACGGTTCGCGATGACGGCGCATAGATGTTTTTCTCCCAGGGGCCGGAAAAAGCACTGTTTTTGGGACCAGAACAAACGGTATTTCTCCAGCAGGTCTGCGCCGACGACAAAGAGACCAGAGCGAGGAGGCTCACAAAGCCAAAAAGCCAACTTGGGATCGCCATTTGCCAACCAGGTACGCACGCTCGCGGGAGGGGCACCCGGAGAAGGAACGCATCGTCACATCTGGCGTTAGCTGTCTATATAGCTGCTTCGGCATGACTAGTGCGGGAGCCAATGATAGCCTGTGTCAGGTTGGTGTAGGAAGGGAGCCAAAGAGGGGTCGGTTTGTTAGTTTATTTTATTAAATTTTTTCCTTGTGCTCACGCCGGACTTCTCGGGGGTCGCCCACGATGCTTGTCCGGCCACCAACGGCGTCATTCGGGCGATGTTTAGACGAGGTGACAGGGGGACATTAGGCCCACTTGGAAAGCCCAACGGCGCAAGGGAAATGGTCAAATAGAATTCCCTAGTCGATACGCCAAGTTTTTAAATTGTTCACGCCAATTGAGGGGCCCGGTCAGAAGGGCAAACGGGTCGGGAAACTGGAAACTTGGAAACCGCAGGAACCTGCACAGCACGAGAAATCAATAGTGCTGAAGAAGAGGATACTCCGAACTGAAACGATGTGGGCTACTGGAGCAGCGAGCACCATTGGCGGGAATTTTCACCCAAGCATTCCCTTTAGACCGCCCCATAAGGCAGCGATTGGCAGTACGGAGTATGGTTGTCTTCTTGTCATCACTCAACCGGATCAAGTCCTCGAGCCCCTTTATTTTCCTCCAGGGTGCTGTGAGGTATGAAGACGGAAGCATTGTGAAGTAGATCTCGGTCAAATTGCTACCGAAGGATGGCTCTTTGCGAAGATCGGTAAAATGCGTATCGGGTATTAATCAAATATAAGCTAGACGGATTTTGGATGTCTGAAATCTTAAAAGGGTGTTAGAAATACTTCTCACTAAGAAAAGACCAGGACTATGCACAGACGCTGGTTGGATCTTTTGGCATCCCATCAATGTCGCAGTGGAGGGGAAATTCTCTTTTCAGCGGACTAGTTATACTGAATTGCAGCGAGGTTGAATTCAATGTTGCATGATGGGTCGATTCAATGAGGGAAAGGAACGATGGAAATGAACGACGAGGCTTCCTTTCCTGAAGGTTTCCAGTTCTCGGACGACCTGAACTAGTACTGGCGTAGTTTATCTTAATATGTACTGACTCCGCCACTTGGAGCGTGCGGTATACAGGTGAAGCAGACAAATTTCTACCGGGTAAGTCTCTGCGCCTAGTACCTCAAAGTGGATCGATCTATCTGGGCTACGATCGGTAGTATACCGAGGCAAATCTGGTAGGATGCCGGTGAAACGACTTGATTGGTATGTAGCAATCTTTTCATTAGCAACATATCTTCGAGATGTGCAACACATAGCATCCAGCAATGATGACTGATTTGCAATAAGAAGCATTATCGCCTAATTAGCTAATCGTGCTGCAGAAACTACAACCTGTGCGCTGGGCGTCAATGGCGCGAACCATGATGTCGGAATATTCTAAACGCACCGTTGGCTGCTGCACAATGAGGACCAGAGCCAATATTGATGCGAGCCACTCTTCCTGGCTTCCCTGACCATTCTTTCAATCTCCAGCATATGGCTTGGAGAAAGGTATCAAAGGAACCATAATCACAACGCTGACTTGATCATCATTGTCGGTTAACCGCCAGCGTGCAGTATTGTGGAGACTCTGGATGCTTTGACTTTTCCGCATTCAATATTCAAGGGTGTCTAGTCGGAAATCAACCGATATTAGAGGATCGGCTTATGCGCAGGGTCACTTCGTTTCGATTTTGAATCACCACGCTTCATCAGACTGCCCATCGGTTGAATACTATCTGCCGGGGCTTGCCATATTTCGAAGCACAACCCTTGGTGGGCTCCAGGGGCATTGGCTTTGTAACCAGCCTTTTACTTTCTGCGTCATAGGAAAGCGGATACCTAAATAGTACATTTTTATCAATGAACTCGAAAACATCTTCTAGTACACCCATTATATTGAAATACTGGCAAAGATATGTCCGTTTGTGCGCTTTTTTTTTCTCTCCCAAACTGTCTAGATCTCGTGATTTTTCGTTAAAATGCCAAACATTGGACTCTGGGGTACAATGACGGAGAGAGTGATTGATGTTGCGTTAGTTCAATCAGATACATTGAGACTCTGATATAGCTATGGGTTGAATATCACACCTAGATTTTTCCTGTTAAATGCCAATCATTCTCAGCCCTACAAATATTCTTTCACCAGCCAACTCTCTTCTATCTAAGCAGATTTACGCAAAAGCAATAAATCGGGAAAGCAGCGTACGGGGTCTAGAGGGTTTAGGGCTAGGATTTGTGCAGATCATGCGTGGAGGATATAGACTGATGATTTTATAGTTCCACCTACGTATCCCAATTCTTTGATTCTTTGGCAGAAGAATCATTATTATAGGCCATTAAGTATAACGATAGCCTTGTGTGGATCGTTCTGGAGCGCAGGCATCTAAAACACAAGCACATATGCCGTACTAATTATTTAGCTCAATTGTCACCCGAAGGGCGCGAATGGAATTCGCCACGTGGGGAAGATAACAACTATTTAAGCTGTCAAAAAACGCATTGTACTTGAGTTAAGCAGTCTCGACTATATTTTTTGCTTGGAACAAATTAATAGACATACTGCCATTACACTCACTTCCCTCTGTTACTTTGGATATTCTCGATTTAGACCACCATGAGGAATCCTTGGATCGAAACCCCCTTGATCGAATCCGCGGCTTTATCGAAGACAGCCGGATGGTACGGAAACTGATTTGTTTCCCCGAGTCATCTAAAGCTAATTGCATCTCTGTAGTAAAGTCTTCTTGAAACTAGAACTTCTACAACCATCGGGGTCTTTCAAATCGAGGTAATTCCGCCGAAACATAGAGCATGACGAACGACATCGCTAACGCACCCATAGAGGAATCGGTTTTCTGATCCTCCACAGCCGTCTTGACCCAGAAAACGATGGCAAGGACCTCCACTTCTACATCGCTTCAGGAGGCAACGCAGGACTCGCGGCCGTCCTCGCAGCTCGAGACATCGAAGTTCCATGCACGGTGGTCGTACCGCATAGCACAAAACCGGCCATGATCACCAAGCTGCGTGCGATCGGCGCTACGGACGTGCTTCAGCACGGTAGTAGCTGGTTCGAGGCCGACACCTACTTACGACAAAATTTCATCGACAACCAAGATCGACAGCCCGACGCGGCAAAGCGAAAGAACATCCACCTGCCGCCTTTCGATCACCCGAAGGTCTGGGAGGGTGCGGCGACCATGGTGGAGGAAATTGCACGCCAATTGCCCCCGCCTGAAGACTCTACGAGCGAAGCCTTCCCGGCCGATGCCATTGTGTGTAGTGTGGGCGGCGGGGGTTTGTTTAATGGCGTCGTCGGAGGGCTGGAAACGTGTTTGCAGTCTCGGAAGACGGCGGCGGGGAAAGATGTCTACGTTGTGGCCACCGAGACCGAGGGGGCCCATTCCCTGGCGCATTCGATCCAACACAGAAGCCTGCAGTCGCTCCCGGCAATCACATCCCAAGCCACCTCGCTAGGGGCGTTGTGCGTAGCTCCCCGAACCTTGCAGTATGCGCAGGCACCGCCGGCCGGCGTGAAGGTTGTCAGCGCCGTGGGGTCGGACGCCGACGCTGCGCAAGGCGTGGTGCGTTTAGCGGATGAGCACCGATTGCAGGTGGAGTTGGCGTGCGGGATCAGTGTCCATATTGGCGCCATGGGGAGAATGCGAGAGCTGGTGCCGGATCTGAGGCCGGAGAGTCGCGTGGTGGTGGTTGTCTGCGGGGGGAGCAACGTGACGGCGGAGACGATTGCGGAGTATCGGCGACAGCTGAGTGCGGGATGGACATAACTAACTAGTTAGTTATGCATGGTTATATAATTATACAGAAAAGATGACTCAGTCACACGGACCAACGACGGGCCGGGCGGGACGACGATTTCTCTGCTGCGTTCACATCATTCCGGACTCGAGAATACACGGCGGTCCCCGAAGTGCCCTCACCAGCGCCTGAACATTACGATTTTCCAAGGTAAGAGGATTATTAAGAGGGAAGAAGGAAGCCTGCAGATGCCCTGTTTGTTCTCTTTAGGGTTGCTCTCCTGTACAAATGAATGAATGAATGTCTCGTAGACGGGCCTCAGCCCCCGTTGTCCCCTTCTCCGCCCATTTTCTCTCGCTTTCGCTCTCCCCTTCCATGCTGGTCCGCCCGTTGCGCAGTGTGACTAATATGGCAAACAGTCTCGTGACCGGCGCTGCCCGGCTTAGGGCTTCACTATGCCCGCTGTCCATGAGGATCTGGCCTCCGCGGTATTCCCTACCGACACGGACTTTTCCCCGGAGATCTTTCCTCGCCAGGTTACCCTGAGGGATCGTGTCACCGTCGCGACCCTGGTGCCCATCTCGCCATGTGACGACATCCCCCGGTCCCTGCTGGCCTACCTATCCGACCAACTGAACAAGGAAATCGAGAAAGGCGACACCTATGCCATGATCGATGCCATCCCCTTGAGTCAGTTCCAATCCTATTGGTTCTCCAACTTCGGTGCCATCATGCTGCTGGGCGACTTCAAGAGCGTCCTGGACATCCAGGCCATGGATCGAGCCGGCGCCAATTGGACCAAGATCTGCCTGGGGAGTTTCAACGTGAGACCCAATTACCCCGGCCGCAGTAGTCATGTATGCAATGGCATGTTCCTGGTGACCGATGCGGCCCGAAATCGAGGTGTGGGTAGATTGATGGGTGAAGGGTATTTGGACTGGGCCCCGAGATTGGTCAGTATCCATCCTACCTTGCGTGGTGGCGTTTTCGAGTTCCTTTGTGATGCATGGCCCTTGTTGCACAGGGCGACGTGGAGGGGATGAGGGGCTGTTGCAAGCTTCGAACCAACCGCGCAGATCATGTTCAATGCGGCTCTCTAACTTTCCCCGTAGGGTTATACGTACGCGGTCTTCAACCTGGTCTACGAGAGCAACGTTGCTTCTTGTCGTATCTGGGATGCTCTAGGGTTCAAGAGAATCGGCAAAGTTCCGGGAGGAGGCCGACTTCTATCAAATCCGGGGCAATATGTCGACGCGATCATCTACGGGCGGGATCTTGGTCCCGAGGGAGAAGATTCCGTCACGCAAGATCGCTTCGACAAGATCCGATATTATTTGAAACACTCTAAATACCCCAGAGGAGCTGATCGCGCCGAGAAGAGTCGGCTGCGGAGTGCAGCAACGCATTACAAGCTGATCGGAGGCAATGATGGGGATAACGAGAAATTGATGTTGAAAGACAAGGAGGTGGTGTCAGACCCTCAGCAGCAATATGAAATCGCGCGAGATATGCACGTTCAGCAGCATGCGGGAATCAACAAGACCACTGCGGCCATCGCCGTGAAATATCATTGGGTCAGGATCAAGGAAACCGTCAGTCGAGTCATCAGAGATTGTCCCCAGTGCAAGGAGACGCTCAAGTCACCTTTGGCCAACGGCCTTTTCCGGACGGAAGACCAACTGGACAATGATGATCAGCCCGGCACTCACGAGAGTGACATGAGCAACGACAACGACATGGATCAAGAGGGCCTGAGCCACGACATCGAGCACGACATCAACCATGACATCAGTCATGACTTAAACCACGAGATAAGCCATAGTATGAATCATGACTTGAGCCATGAGAGTGACATGAACCACGCCGGCGATCTGAACCATGACGCCGACCTGAATCTGGCGTCCAGCGCAGCCATGAGCACCAATCCGCTATTGGACCATAGCTCGCTGGACGTTCACCAGGGTCACAATTCATTATTCACCCCCCATCCGTCCGTCGTGCAAGGGTCTTTGGATGCCATCGGCGACTACACGACCATACCTCTGGACCCTCAAATCATTGACATTCATCATCAACTCCCTCGATTCCAGCCCCACGATGCCATGGCCGACCCATATGCACATGATACTCATGGATTGTCAAGTACAAACTTCGACGACGACGTACGACATCATGCAGCCCATGATTACCATATGATGGTAGATGATACAACGGACCCGGGAGGGACGCTGCATCAGGACGCGCTGGGGCTGGTGCATTCGCAAGCCAGCGACGTACATCACGAGCAAATACTAGCCAAATATCAATATGTCGGACCGACAGATGATGATTTGGACTTTACATAGATTTGCTTCTTTTTCTTTTCTTTTCTCTCTCTTATTTTTCCAGCATGACGGGCGTTGAGCGTTTCGGGTTATGCCTGCATTACTACCTATTACCTAGTCTTAAATGGTGGAGGGAGGGCCTGTGTAATTTATACTGCAGACACATATAGAAGGAATATGCTTGTAGACCAAGCATACCAATACAGACGCATAATCATTACTCAGAATATTAAAATAAATGGTGGACTGTCAAGAGCATAGGCAGTAGTAACTGAAGTAAGAGGGGCTGAAATGTAGGGTTGCGGAGGGCGGCATGATTGGTCACCGCCCGGTGCTTTGGCGACATGAAGAGAAGCTCCGGGAAATTTTGGTTTGGTCCGCCAGCGTTACTGAACTCCTGGACTGTCAGGGCCATCCATCTCCGTTCCAGTTCTCCCATCTAGTCGGGACTATCGCCCTCGTTCTTCTTGTTATTTCTTTCCCCTCTCTATCTTAATTAATCAAAATGGCCTTCGCCGGCCAAACCCCCACCATCATTGTGCTCAAAGAGGGTCCGCAACCCGCCCGCATTCTGAATCCCCCTCTCCCCGTCTGTGTGTTGTCAGGAGAAATCTGTTGGCTGACACTGTCTCTCGATGATTTGTAGGCACGGATGCTTCTCAAGGAAAGGGTCAGATCATTTCCAACATCAATGCCTGCGTGGCTGTCCAATCCACGATCAAGAGCACTCTCGGTCCGTATGGAGGGGACTTAATGCTGGTCGACGCCAACGGCAGGCAGACTATCACGAACGATGGAGCCACGGTCATGAAAGTACGTGAGACATTTTAGGCCAATCAGGTTCTCTCGACACAAAAAAAGTTCGAATACTGATTGTGTCGTTCACAACGATTTTAGCTCCTCGATATCGTCCACCCCGCCGCCCGCATTCTCACCGATATCGCCCGGTCTCAAGATGCCGAAGTGGGAGACGGCACAACGTCGGTCGTGGTTCTCGCCGGTGAGATCCTGAAGGAAGTCCGGGAATTGGTCGAGCAGGGAGTCAGCGCACAGACGATCATCAAGGGTCTACGGAGGGGCAGCGCCATGGCCGTCAACAAGGTGAAGGAAATCGCCGCCGACATAATCCAGGCGGGAGAGAGCGAGGAGAAGAAGGTGGAAACGCTACGACGATTGGCAGGAACCGCCATGAACAGCAAGCTGATCAAGCGTAACTCCGACTTCTTCACCAAGAGTAAGCAAAACCGGTCTTCTCTGTTTCTCTGCGGAGATGGTGTTTTTTTCTTTTTTTTTTTTTTTTTTCTTTTCATGATACTGATCCCGGGTTGATTTTGTTTAGTGGTTGTCGACGCCGTGCTGTCGCTTGACCAGGACGACCTGAACGAGAAATTGATCGGCGTCAAGAAGGTGACCGGTGGTGGTCTCCAGGATTCCCTGTTCGTCAACGGTGTCGCTTTCAAGAAGACCTTCTCCTACGCCGGTTTCGAACAGCAGCCCAAGTCGTTCAAGGACCCCAAGATCGTTTGCTTGAACGTGGAGTTGGAGTTGAAGAGCGAGAAGGACAATGCGGAGGTTCGCGTTGAGCATGTGTCCGAGTACCAGGCCATCGTCGATGCCGAGTGGCAGATCATCTACAACAAGCTCGAGGCCATCTACAAGACGGGTGCCAAGGTTGTTCTCAGCAAGCTGCCTATTGGTGACTTGGCTACGCAGTATGTTCTTTCCGAGTGGTCTGGGTCTGTTTTAATCATGCTTGCTAATCGCTCGTTCGCAGGTACTTCGCGGACCGTGACATCTTCTGTGCCGGCCGTGTCTCGTCGGACGATATGGACCGCGTGTGCCAGGCCACCGGCGCGGCGACGCAATCGACATGCAGTGACATCCAGGAACGTCACCTGGGTACCTGCGGTTCGTTCGAGGAGAGCCAGATCGGTGGAGAGCGGTTCAACCTGTTCGCCGAATGCCCCGGCGCCAAGACGTGTACTCTGGTGCTGCGTGGCGGTGCCGAGCAGTTCATTGCCGAGGTCGAGCGTAGTCTGCACGACGCGATCATGATCGTCAAGCGTGCTCTGCGCAACACCACCATCGTCGCGGGCGGTGGTGCCACCGAGATGGAGCTGTCCAGCTTCATGCACGGCTTCGCCGACCGCAACGTGCCTCACAAGCAGCAGGCGGTCGTCAAGGCGTTCGCCAAGGCCCTGGAGGTGATCCCCCGACAGCTGTGCGACAACGCCGGCTTCGACGCCACGGACATTCTGAACCGTCTGCGCGTGGAGCACCGCAAGGGTAACGTGTGGGCCGGTGTCGACTTCGACCACGAGGGCGTCCGGGACAACATGGCGGCGTTTGTGTGGGAACCAAGTCTGGTCAAGGTCAATGCCATCCAGGCGGCCGTCGAGGCGGCCTGCTTGATCCTGAGTGTGGACGAGACGATCAGTGAGTTCCCCTGCCTCTAGGATATGGTATTTATGAAGTGACAATGCTAATGCAAGCCATCAACAGAGAACGAAGAGTCGGCTGGGCCTCAGGCACCGGGCCGTGGACTTCCTCCCGGCGCGGCCCAGCGAGCTCTTGGGGGCGGCCGCGGACGCGGTATGCCTCGCCGGGGTCGGTAAACGATAGATGTCATTTTCATGTGAGGGATGGGACGGTCCAAACACCAATTATACAGAAAAGCAATTGTTACGTAGTACAATTCTACTATTTTGGTGGTCTTTTTTTTTTTTTTTAGAACAGTTATGTAAGGGTTTATATTTTCTAGAACATACGTGGACGGTGGAAGTATGCAAGTGATGCGGATGACAAGAAGGAAAGGGGTGCAGCAAGAAGAATCGTAAGTAATAAGGCTGAGCAACGAGAGTCCGACGATCTCCGGGGGTACGAGGATGCGTGCCCGACCGCGGCCTTAGCGAGAGAGAGCGAGAAGGCTGGCTGAGCTCGTTCATGCCTCATGCCTGCTCGTGCAGTCGGCGTCCCCGACGGGCTGTTCTGCAGAATTTTCACGATCTTCGTAGATATCATATTAAAATAAAATTAAAAAAATAAGAAATCAATAGACAAACCTGAATCTGAAACTCATGATAAAGAAGAAATCTTCTAGAACTGTTCTCCTTCATCAGGATAGAAATCCCGCTCCGACCCACCGGATCTCGGGCATTTCGTAGGCTGCCTCGTTCTTCGCCCTCTCTTTCGTTGTTTTCCCCCAGAGTGACTCTCACCACTTGCACTTGCCCGTCTTGTCTGACCCTGGGCTCCTTTGATTTGTTTATTCTGGGTTTTACCTTTTCTATTTGAGCTCTCTCGTGCCCCTCTAACCGCCATGTCCTACTACCCCCCTTACTCGGGCCCGCCCGGTTATCCCCCGCAACAGTATTCCTATCCTCCTCAGCAGCCGTCCTACGGCGCTCCGCCTTATCAGCAGTAAGATCGCCGCTTCTCTTTTGTCTCCTCTGCGGTGACCCTGCCATATACACATACTTCTACATCACTTCTACATCTACATATACGAAAAAAAAAAAGGAACTTCCGTCGACTGATCTCTCGCCAGACCCATGCAGCATCATCATCACCACCAGTCGTCCTACGGCGGCGGCGGCGGCGGCGGGTATCCCGGTCAAGCCTATCGCCAACAGGCTCCTCCCAGCAACCCCTATCCTTCGTACGGTCAGCCGTCGCCCCAGCCTTACGGATCGCATCCCCCTCAGGGCGGATATGGCGTATGTTAAACCTGCCTTGGAGAGTTGAATTTCGCGACGATCGCGACAGTTGACATGGAATCTTGATCTCTAGGGCGGTCCGCCGTCGGGCTACAACAGCCCGGCACCCAACGGTGGCATGTACCAGGGACACAGACAACAAGGCACGCTTCCTCCCCTTTGCGCATTCGGCCTCGCTCCTCCGCGCACCAAAAAGCCGCCTCTTCACTCGCGCAGTTGCTAATCGCGCAACAGGTGCTCCTAATCCCTACCAGAACTCCTACGGCCAGGGTGGCCAGGGTGGCCACGGCGGCCCAGCTCCTCCTCCCAGCGACCCCGTCGCCTTCGGTCATGGCGCTCCCCAGGGATACAACTTCCAGTACTCCCGCTGCACCGGCAAGAGAAAGGCGCTTCTGATCGGTATAAACTACTTCAATCAGAAGGGTCAACTGCGCGGCTGTATCAACGATGTCAAGAACATGTCCTCGTACCTCCACCAGCACTTCGGCTACGCTCGCGAAGATATGGTGCTGCTGACGGATGACCAACAAAACCCTATGAGCCAGCCGACCAAGGCCAACATCCTCCGCGCCATGCACTGGCTGGTCAAGGACGCCCGTCCCAACGATTCGCTCTTCTTCCACTACTCGGGTAAGTCCTAGATTCCAGAATCAGTGTTTTGTTGGGACTCATTCTGACGAGAAGCGCAGGTCACGGTGGTCAGACCCCCGATTTGGACGGCGACGAGGACGACGGATACGACGAAGTGATTTACCCCGTTGATTTCCGCCAGGCGGGCCACATTGTCGACGACGAGATGCACCGGATCATGGTGAAGTCTCTGCAGCCAGGCGTGCGACTGACGGCCATCTTCGACTCCTGCCACTCCGGCTCCGCTCTGGACCTGCCCTACGTCTACTCCACCCAAGGTGTCCTCAAGGAACCCAACTTGGCCAAGGAAGCTGGCCAGGGTCTCCTGGGTGTGGTGTCGGCCTACGCCCGCGGCGACATGGGCAGCATGATGTCGACGGCGGTCGGCTTCCTCAAGAAGGCCACCAAGGGCGACGAGGTGTACGAGCGCAACAAGGTGACCAAGACGAGCCCGGCAGATGTCATCATGTGGTCCGGCAGCAAAGACGACCAGACCAGTCAAGACGCCCAGATCGCCGGCCAGGCCACGGGTGCCATGTCGTGGGCCTTCATCAGCGCCATGCGCAAGAACCCGCAGCAGAGCTACGTGCAGCTGCTGAACAGCATCCGAGACGAGCTTTCGAGCAAGTACTCGCAGAAGCCGCAGCTAAGCTGCAGTCACCCCTTAGGTAAGTGAAAGAAACAGACTCAAGGCTGGAGGAATTATGTCGTCGAACACAGACTCTGACCGAGTATAGATGTGAACTTGCTCTATGTGATGTAAATAAGTGGGGTTTTGGCTTGGGGGTTTTCTTTTCAACGGATACGGATTCTTGCATTGGGATTTCATTGCACGCGAAAAGGTTCTTTGCGCTTGTCTTTTTTTCTTATTTTCGCAGCTTTATCTCTTATTTCTTATTCTTAATCTAAGCATGGTTGTATTGCCTTTCTTATGGTCGCTTGCTTCTCTGGTTTTTTACGAGATAGGATGCCACTAGACGATGAAACACGAAGATAGGTCTGGTGGGAACTTAATGATCGTCTTGTTTGCACTCTATTTTAAGCATTTATTGTCCACTATTTAGTGGTTTATTTACTTCGCGGACAGAATTCCTAGATCTCGAACATCTGTTGCTCTCCGATTTAGGCAAGACCTATAAAGTTCAAACCATTCAAAGAGCTACGCAATTTCTTCTAGACCTAAAAAATTCTAGACAAGCGATCCAGCAGTTGAACCAAAAACATGGGTGTGGAGGGAAAAAGGTATGGTAGGTTTAGGCTGGGTGCTCTCGAAGCTCATCCTTCGGTGGATAGCTGGTGACTGAGGAGCGAGGGGGTGAAATTAGTATGCTACAAATTTACTTCTGAGCAGTCAAATTACCCCATATGAGTTGTCAACTTTTGTTTTTCTTTTTCCAGCAAATCAATCACGTGGGTTGTATTCGTTAAGAGCCACTTCGGCGGCTGCAGATTTCAAGTTTCGCATGTTCCTCGTCGTTAACTTTACTCTGACTACTTGGTGGATGTGGATTGTTTTTTTTAGAGCTTTAGCTTCAACGAGAGAAAGTCAATTCAGACCACTATTTTCTATAAGCCACAGACCTACCTGCCAACCTACCTAGTAAGTAAGTTAGCTTCTACGCTCCCAGAAAGCGTCAAGCTTCCAGTCCAGTTCAGACAGACTAGACCCATGGAGATTTTTCATTCCTGATTTCCCCACCGGGACTGGGTCGATTGAACTACGATTCTATCCCTTCCCATTATATCCTCTTGCAGCTAGAGTCTACCTAGCGGAGCCCCAAAGTATCTACATACACCTAACACATGGTACATACAAACAAACTACGCGAGAAAACAAATGACTAACCAACAAGCCACATACCCAGGGCTAGGGGAGGAAGGTACCCAGTAGCCATCTATGGCTTCCATCTTCCGTCTAGACCGCCGAAGCGGCCAGACCTACTTTGAAACTGAGATGACTCCGATTCATCCCCACGGTCCGGCCTGGGTGCACGAGACCCCCTACCTACCGGAAGGGTGGGAGTCGACGAGCAGAGTCGGCGCCCCGACGCTGAAACACTCCGCCATGATACAGACCCTCTCGAACCAGCGGAATCTCGTGCCCGGATTGTTTGTGAACGTTCCCTGGCCGATCGCGAGTTATTTGTGGGATTGTCTTGGGAGGAGGTATGTTTTCTTTTCTCTTTTTTTCTTTACCCTGGAGTGTGGGAAGGGGAGAGCGTTAGAGATGGAAGTTGGATGTGTAAGTAGAAGAGCTGATTCAGAATGGTCCTACATCATATAGTCGGAAACGGACCCTGTATATGTGGAAGGTGTTTGCTACCGCGTATCCCGAGGAGTTCGCGCGGGTCGCGCACTATCGGTCCATGAAGATCGGAGGTCTGAGGCTCTCGCTCCGGGATTACCTGGGCATGGCGAAGAGCGAGACGCTGAAATGGCGCGCCGTCCTGACGCTGGGGTCGTTGTTCGCGACGATCCCAGAGCTGGTGGAGATCTCGGACGTCAGGAACCTGGTGGCTCTGGAGGTTGCGACTCAGACTCAGGTGGGCGCGATACGTCTCGCGGATGGTCCCGACGCCGACATAGAAGAGACGCAGGGGACAGCGCTGAATGATCGCATCGTGCGGACTTGGAGCGAGAGGGCGCGCACGACGGGGGCGTTGGCCCATCTGCGCGTCCTGCGCGTCTACTACCAGGCGGATCTGTCGAGGGCAGCGCTGCGCTATCTGGCGCAATTGCCGGCCCTGCGGTTCATCGTCGCCTACGAGTGTTCGGGGCTTTTGGGTTGTATGCGCGAAGGCGAGGTCGTAGATGGCTGGGAAAAGAGTTCCTTTGAGCCATTCCTCTCGAAAGATCTCTACTCGTCGTACCAGGCTAGTCTGTCTGGCGACGTGGATAGCGAGCCGTCCACCGTGGGACCGAATTGTCCTGTGTTGGATTTCCAGCTGGGAGGCAGGATGGATGCGTTGCCGTTGACGAGTGCTCGGGGTCGGGCCAAGATGCTGTGTTTACGACGCACCAGGGCAGAGGCTGGACCCGCCACGAAAAGGTTAAAAGTGACACGCCCTGTTGAAGCTGGACCCCGGAAACCAGTGATGAAGGATCGTCGGGCCAAGGATCTCAGCGATGTGCTGGGGAATTTTCTTGGGGGAATGTAGTCGGGGATTGGGCGGTGATATGTGCCTTGCAGCGGAGACCAGCGGATGACATCTGCATGATGCTCCATCTGGCAGAGTGCACAGTGTTCCTGCAGGAGGCTCGATATACTCCGTACATGAACACTTCTCGAGAGACTGTCTCAACAGTCAGCACACATACAAACCAAGCAAACCAGACAAACGAGACAAACACGATGACGCCGTCATGACAGGCGCCACCCGCTGATTGGCTGTGGGGCCACCACCAACCAGACACCGCCGATTCCCCGCAACGCCGCGTGATTGGCATTTGGCACCGCAATGGATATCGTTCCATTTCATCTCTCTCGCTTCATCCTGCGCCAGGAATGTGTGTTTCTCAGTAACTACATCGTGGTATCGAACCCTCCTTAGTCACTGTCGTCCCTTTCCGATCGAGGACCCTGTCCTCTACCCCATTCCACTATCCATCATGACGGACCGAGTCCCGGCCGAAGCGGTGGCCGATACCTCCAACGGATCGGCTATAGCATCCCCCCGATCCAGCACCGATTCTCGCTCCTCCCCCTCCGTGCGCAACCAGTCCCTCCGCCTCTCTCAGGGCTCGTCTAACCACCAACACCGTCACAGTCTGAGCGAGACTCTCCGCGGGGCGCCCGGGTCCCCGCGCTCCCGCCGACAACCGTCGCTGAACCAGTCGGCCATCCAGAGCCTGATTGACAACCCTCCGGCCCCGAACCACGCCGACCCCGCATTCGCCGGCAGAGACTGGAGAGAAATCTCCATCGGGGAGCTCGTCAGTCCGGAGGATTTGAAATTCGTCGAGATTGACACCGGGATTGAAGAAGCGACCAACGTGGGTTCAATGACGGGTTGACGGTTAAATCCGGATGACGGAAAAGCTGACGAGTCTGTTTTTTCTTTGTTCCTCATCAGGTTTTAATTGATACGGGCGCCCCGGTGCTCTTGATCCGTGAGGACCGCCAGCAGAGGTCGGCCGTGGGCACGTTCGATTACTCGGATCTGAATGCGTACCTCCTACTCGCCGCGGGGCTGACGCGCCCGGATGAGGCGATGCTCGCATCTTATGAAGAACTGGCTCGCAAAGCCCGGGACGGACTCACAATACCGCTGCGCGACGTCAAGGATCTGGGCCGGAAGGAACCGATGACGACACTGCCGGCCTCGGCCAGCGTGATGGCAGCGGTCGAGACGTTTGGCGGAGGCGTGCATCGCGTCGTAGTGGTGAACGAACACGATGACAATGAGGTGCTGGGAATTTTCAGCCAGTTCCGACTAGTCAAATTCTTGTGGGAAAATGGGCGCAGCTTCCCGGTGATCGACCAGCTGTATCCGCTGGCGCTGTGGGAGCTGCGGATTGGATCGCGCGATGTGGTGTCCATCAAGTGCGTTGTCTTTATCTCTGTCGCCCTATCGATAAATGGGGACATGGTCTGACAATATCTGCAGTGGAGACAAACCTCTCAGCGAGGCGCTGGGAATTATGAACGACGAAGGCATGTCATCCATCGCCGTAGTGGATAATCAGTTCAACGTGGTGGGCAATATCTCCACGACGGACGTGAAGGTGAGTTAACGGAAACATATGAAAGGGAGGCAAAGATAGATTCCAGACTGATTGAGCAGCTTCTTACGCGATCCTCCTCGTTACCCTTGCTGCACAACACCTGCGCCCATTTCATCTCGGTGATTTTATCCACGCGCGGCCTGATTGACGGCAAAGACTCGTTCCCTGTTTTCCATGTGAATCCCGGATCGACGCTGGCGCACACCGTTGCCAAGGTGGTGGCCACGAAATCCCATCGGTGAGTTCTCTTCTCAGGTAGCAGAGATTCCCTGCTGTAGCCCTGCAATTGGATGATTATGAGATGCTCATGCAGGGTGCTACGATCTTAGGTTGTGGGTGACCGATCCCCTGTCTCCTTCATCCTCAGGGCCCCCCACGCCCTCGCAGTCCTCGGGACATATTCCCTTACCCCCAGCTGTATCGCAGCAACCTCCACCGTCACCCCCGGCTGTCAACGCGGCACCCCTGCCTCCAGCCCTGGGCAGCCAGACGCATCCCACCATGCCACACACACCCACGGCAGCCATGGGGCCGTCGATCCCGGTGTCCTCGCTCCCGGGCGCACGGCTATCGGGACGGTTAGTGGGTGTAGTCAGTCTGACGGACATATTGAATCTGCACGCGCGGGCCAATGGCTTAAGTCCGGCGGATCCAGCCGAAAGCCGAAGTCGACGACGACGCAGCAGCAGTTCGAGTATCAGTGTGCGTCGAAGCGGTGAGATTGGTCGGGAGTTACTCGGTCGATAGACTTGGTTTTTTTTTTTTTTTTTTTTTCTTCATTTGTTTGTATCTTTGGTCATTGCCCTTGCTCTCATTTCTTTGCCTTCATTTTTGTGTCCATGCTTACGCACGTCCCGTACAAAGTTCCTTAAGCCCTATCTGCTTATTTTCCAGTACAGTTTAGTCTAGTTTAGTTTAGCTAGAGCCATCAGAGGTACAGTCTGAATGTGAAAGTGAATGCAAATCGCCACTTGATTGATAGTGTGGAAATCCAATGACCATCCAGCAGGGACATACCGCATTCCGACCTGATCGGCCCTGTCACTCTGGTTCTGGGTAAGGGTTCGACAGGATAAATGGAGCATTAATTCGCCGATCCTAAGCGTAACCTAATATCCATACTTTAACTGACAAATCCACAGCTAGAAGTGTACTTACAGTGTGAGAGGAAGAGGGTGACTGTCGATCTCCAACACCCACCCATCCATTAGACGTGGTCAATTGGCTCCCAAGGAGTGCTGTGGACCGAGCAAACCCTATCAATCAGCGAGTCAAATTCCATTTCCAATCAGCTAGACCAGACCAGACAGACAGCCAGGGAGAGAGGGAATAGACGTAATCCCACACACGCAAACCAAACCAACTCAACCCAATAGAATAGCCTCCTAGTGCTAGTACCACCACTACCAGCTAAACCCCCCAATCCCTTCCCACAACAACCGCCAGCCAGGTAGCTAGCTAGCTAGGTCTAGTTACTGGTCTCGGGTGGCACTCACAGCCACTTAACCTATCCGTAGAGTCCCATGGATATCACCTAGGGCTAGGTTCCCTGGGACAGAACTAACCGAGAGCACCAATGACCTTGCAAGATTTGTCCGTCCGTTCGAGGATTCTTGTCTAGGAAAGATCAGCCAGATCAAATGAAGATATTCGCCTTTCTTGGCGGGGAGGGCTGAATTTGAGCTACCTACTTCTTATGCCTTACTAACTACTTAGTAACGGAACATTAACTATTAACTCATTGTGTGGATTGGGAATTGACATGTCGGTTGGACCTTCTCCTCCTCGGGGACGCGTTGGCATCGCTTGCTGGGAAAGGGCTAGTGAGTTTGGAGGTTCGGGGTTGGGTTACTAGTTCGGTAGGTGGATAGACGTAGCAAAACTTCAACAGGTCAGGTCCAGCCATCTCGAATGCTAATAATAAAGTTCCCCATAGAGGTGGACATGAGACGCTGCATGCGGAAAAGTTGATTACCTCACATGGTTCCGACGTATCGTGTGCCCTCTTGCCTTTCACTGGGGTATGGTATATGGTTTGATTTGAGTTCATTTGATATGCTAACAAATGAAATAGAATAGAATGATTAGTTTTATCCAGGAAGAGCTAGATGTTAGGCATAGGATACGTTGATTAATGTGTAGGATGTATTTACTAGAGTCCTATCTACAGTAGAGAAATTGGGATATAGTGTACTTGATTTTCTGTCATTTTAATGAGGGTGTCTGGATATGTATACCATGTTCTAACTACAGAATGATTGGATCATGTTAAACAGTCTACTTCATGTCTATACCCAAGTATGAAGTACACCTTAATCAATTATACTAGGGGGCCAGATCTTGCCGATTCCCTTTCCCGAGGTCTCCCAAATCAGAAACAACCTTCAACAGACACAAACAGACAGACAAACAGAACAGAGACACCTCCACCTCTAAAGTCAATTCCTTTCAAAGCAACCAAATCCCCCAACTCACTGGACCCTGAAAACAGACCCCGTATTCCTCCTGAAGAGCAAGCAAGGAGGGGTAGGTTAAAAAACCCCTCAGTTAGACAGACAGCAGATAGATCCACTCCATTCTAGGGCAGCACATACCTTGATGATCTGAGTGCATTAACTATCCAACCACCCTAGCTATCCAATTTTCGAACATCTAATGTCCACGCAAGATGTCAGCTCAGCTCTAAGCCTCCTAATCTAGTTAGTTAGTTATGGGGACCCCTTGGTAAGACCCCCAGAGCTAGTTAACTAACTAGTCAGTTCAGTCTAGATAGCCGAGCTGACTAGCCGACAACCACTGATCTTCTCCGCGGAGTAACTTAATTGTCCTCAGTTCCTAGGTTCCGGATCTTGCTATAGTGGGGCCAAGATACCGCAGGTAGGTCCTAGAGAGGAGAACCTGTTGGCTGGATCGACCGCTTGACTGGATCAGGCTTGGGGAATTTTACTGGGTGGTTTGTGACGGTACAACTTTGGGCATTTTTCATGCCTCTATCCCTAAGACAGTACTTAGGTAGGTAGTGTTTAGGTAGGACAGATTAGGTTCCCCCTCGGAGACCGATACTGTATTGTTATCTATTCTAAGGAGAACTATACCTCATTCAGAAGACCCACACAAGCTGCAGGACTAGTCCCGGTCTGGAGGGTCTGGTTTTGGTCCGTGCGTGCAGCGTCGATCATATCCGTCGAGTCGGGTCGTAGCTATCTTTATCTAGATGAATAGAGGAGATGTGGGAGGAGTTAGGGTACATTGGTTGACAAGGTGATTCTAAGCATGAAGTTATTTATGACTACGAATAGTAGAGCTACATCTCTCTCCTAGGTTTCAGGAATAAATACTTAGATAGAAACACCTCAATCAACGAACAATTAGCAGTTAAAAAATGTGTAGTTCTAATTTCCCCAGGCCCACACAAAGGCTACCACTATTCAGTATTCACTAACCAAACCAAGCATGCAAGGTCCGGACCGTCAAATCTGACAAACTCTGCACTTGCAGTTGTAACTCGTAACTAGTTAGTTAGGCTGCAGATAACCAGCCAACTAATAAACCGACTCTGTTGTCAGAATGTAATCAGCCAAGGAACCCCCCCACCCCCATCACAGTGACTGTGTGACCCCAGTTTTCTCCCTACCCAGGTTTCTGGTTTGAGGAATGGAAAACCCAAAAAAACTCTATCGTTGTGATGTTGCAGCGTTGTGCGGTTTTTCCCCTGCTGTTTGCGGAATCTTGGCTCCGCTGGATGGAGCCTTGTAAGCTTTCCCTCCCCCTTTGCAAGTTGCAACCCTACCGTACCTACGGGCTTTGTTGTTGAGTCATTTCTGAGATGAGATGGGAGGAGGTAGGTGGTACGGTGTCCACTTATTTTACTTCTTCCTTGTTTCTATTGCGCTTTTTGTTGCTGATGCGTAGGAATGAGTACGGTTTACTGAGGTGGACTGGGGGGTGTCGGGTCCTCCCCACTCCACCCCACCAACCTGTCTTCCCCTGTCAAAAGCTCAGAACCCAGGGAAATGGATCGTGAATCCAACTCGAGGAATCCAAGTAGAAAAGGAAAGGAAATGATAAAATAGAAAAAGTTAAAATTATCTATCCGTGGAAATACAGCAACGAAGAGAAAGAAAGAAAGAAAGAAAAAAATGTTCAGCTTGGAGCTCCAAACTATCGTACACCCGTATACCCAATCAATCAATCGTAATCCATGTCCGATTCCTTACAAGGCAAGGAGAAGGAAAAGAGCAAGAAAAAAAAAAAAGAAAAGGAAAGAAAGATGAAAAACGCCAACGATCCCTGGGTATTGTCCCTTGACCGAGTTCCCTCTCACCTGCGACCTGAACGTAACCCCGCGGAGTTTTTGCGTGTTACATTTGCCGGAAAAATAACCCACCCACACCCACACACGATAACTGAAACAAAGAGAAGGAAAAGAAAGAAAAAGAAAAAAAGCAAAAGTTTTCGCAGTGTAGCAAAGTGTGAGCCAAGAAAGTGTAAAAATAGAATGAATCCCCGTTGATTACCACTCCAGAAATAGAAGAGAGAAAAACTCTCATGCGGTGATGGGGAAATCATCGAATGCAACCAAATCTTCGAATTTGAAGTCCCCCTCGGTCATGGGCGGAGTGTTGGTCAAGGTAAATGCAAACTGGCTGAAATCGGCATAATCCGGATCGATTCCGTCGTGCGAAAAGGGGATACCTCCCTCGTCCTCCTTGCCCAGGGTCTCGAGCCCCATCATGTCCGGGTTCCGGTTGGTAGAGGTGGGCGAGTGAGGAGTGCTGGGGGTGGGACAGAGATCAGGGGTCGGGAGAGGTTCGGTGCCCACCAGCTCAACCTGGGGCGACGTCGTCCCGGATGGGAATCGTTGGGGTTCGGATCGGACACGAGTATGTTGGGACATAGGTCTGGGCCCCGGCTGGAGGGACGCCGAGGGCAACCCATGCACGGGGATGACGGGCGCTGAGCCCATACGATCCCTGAACTGCTGCCGAACGGGCATCCCCATGTCCCCTGTCAGAGACGGCATCGGGGAGGGTTGGAAACCTGCCCAGGGGGACCGGAATGAGGGCGGGCCGAAGGCTTGCGCCTGCCATACGGCGGGCCCCGGTTGAGGCGTAGCAGCGGCGATGTAGGATGGGATCTGGCCCGTCGAGCCAGGGACCACCTCGGGATACGACGGCGAGTTACTCCCGTCGTATGTGGGGGACATCATGTAGCTATTATTGTTGCTTTGGCTGTGGCTTACCACGACGGGGCTGGTGGCAGGGCTCCCGTTCATGCCCTCCGAGATGGACGAGCGCATGCTAGAGAGATCCAGACTCATCTTGCGGATGCCGCCGCCCATCGAGGCGCGGGGAGTCATGTTGGCAGCTCGACGTTGCTGAATGCCCTGCTGTGACGGACGAGCGGCCAGCGCCGCGAGGACGTGATGATGGAATTGGTCTTGGATCTGCATGTTCTGTGCCTGAAGCATGCGGTTGATTTTCTCTTGGTAGCGGTCATCCACTTCTTCGTACATCGCTTCCTTCTCGACGATCTCTCGGGTGATGAGAAGACCTTTGCCGGTGCGCTGCTTGTGCAGAGCAGAAGCCCGGTTGGCCGACTCCACCCGAGCGTCGAGACTGCGATCTTTGCGTCTAGACGCCGCAATAAAAGCCCTGCAAGATCGCTCGATTAGACAAGGGAGTAGATCAGAAGGTGATAGAAATTTCGTGCTCACCGTTCTTGATTCTCCTCTCGCGTACGAGGGTTGGGAGAGACCTCCAGATCGATCGAGGGAGAGGCCATTGCAGCCAACTTTTTTGCGATGGGCTAGAAAAAGAAATTTTTAGAATGTGGGAAGATCTGACCGGTGAGTCAGGCTAATAGGAATGTCCGAGAGAGTTCAAGATGTGTCAGTTCATTTCAAGAGGGAGCTCGCAATATTTGATGATCTCAAGAATAATGCAAGTCCAAATAAGCAGCCAACACGAAGGAGACTGTAGAGGGGAAAAGGGCAGAAGGGACGATATTAAATAGCGAGATAGCAAAGGTCACGGACAGGAGGGGCGCTATCCACTCGGACCCAGCAGTATAAGGTTTGCATTAGCACCGATAGCTAGCTATCAGGCATGGAACCCCCCGACATTGGCAGTAGTAGCAGCCGCCCGGCATCCAGCGAGGTAGCGAGGTCTAGACGAGCCATGGGGCAGGCTAGAGAGGATGAACCGGGCCAGTCGGCGCGTTTGTGGCCGACGAAAGTCTCGCTGTGGCGGATCCATGGTTCCGGGTTTCGCCCAGAGTTGTCTCGACGCCGGTATCCTGAGGGCAGGGTGGCCATGGATCCCAGTCCTGCCCGTGGTAAGGCTTTTTCTTTTTTTTTTTTTTCTGTTCTTCTGCATTTGCAGACAAAATGGAAGTAGAGGATATTGGTTGCAGAGCGAGTGAAGAAAGCCGACAGAACCCGGAACCATTTTCAAGGGGCAACGGAAGCGAATCAATTGCGTTGAATTCTACCTCGGACTGGTATTTTGGAGGGGGAGGGGGGGGTTTTCCAGTCTGCTCCATGGAACGGATTTAGTCAGGGATGACCGAGCAGCTGTAGTTGGGTGGACAGAGTGCTACTGCAGTCCCGGTGCAGTGGTAGTGCTTCTACTACTACTACTTGTTGATAGAAGTAGTAGTGGTCGTGGTGGTAGTAGAAGAAGTAGTAGTAGTAAGAGAAACCCAAGAGACTAGCGCAGAGAGCGTCGTAGCTGACCCTGAACCCTGTATGTTATGTCTTCTCATACTAACTCGAGCAAGACCGGATCGACTGGAAGGGAAAATCCGGGGAAACCCTGAGGCCTGAGGCCGCCATACAAACCTTCGCGCCTGCCGGGCTGAGTCAGCCAGCATCGATCGATCGGGGCACGGACCCGGTGTCGTAAGCGGTGCAGTTCGGGGATCGACGGCGTGGGAACTTGTCTGATGGAGAGATCGTCGTGGGGGTTTAGATCTGCTATCTCGCTCGGACATCTCCGTCCTGATCTTGATTTCTTGTCCTGCTGGTCGATGTCCTTTTTTTGAGACCTCCAAGGAACGGACAAAATACTTTCAACTCCGTGTTGACGACTCTACGGAGTATAGGTAGTATTCAATTTCAGGCAGATCGGAATATTTGCCACCGCTCAATCGGGGAATCTGCACGTCCTTAGCGCCTTCCCTCCCAGACGCCCCGGGGACTCGCCTAGACTGCGCTGGCCGTTGACGCTAGACCGTTTGTTTCTCTAGAGGAACGGGGGGAAGAGGATCCTAAACTCAACCTTTCCCCCTCCAATGATCAACCAGAAATCCTAATTCCAGACTGATTTGGAATGACTCGAGGGTTGACCTTCACTCGTGAATGTGATAACGTTAAGGTACCACCATCCCATTCTCTCCTTCTCGTATAGACTTCCGCCAATCCGGTTTTTCGGTTCCTCGTGTCTCTCGCCATTCCCTCCTCGCCCGAGGGTCAAGGGCCATCTCAAGCCCTGGCGCCCAATCCCCTGCCCACTCTCGCCTGCCACCCTCGCCGCCACGTCTCCTCCCCAACAGGGCAGGGCATGGTACCTCGAATCCCCTTTCAATTCGGCCGTTGAATCATGCGGTCGGGAAATTTTATGTTGATGGGTGGGAAGGAGGGAGGATCCTGGAAGCAAGATAATCTAGTAGGAGACTTCTTCCAAGCCATGGCGTCCCTTTTCCTTATCTTCCTGATGCGGGGTAATCCCTCGAAGGACATGCGATGAGGGGATAAACAGCCATGGCGGGGAGTATGGAGTATATTCTCTTTCCTCATTCCTTTCAAAAGGAGGTTGGACATTCCCAACTGGGAAGGATTGTAACCTTTTTCGATTGAAACTCGTCGACAAACTCATTCTAGACTATCTCGACTGATTCTAGTAGGAGCTGTCTGTCTGTCCAGTCTATGGCGTGTGGCTGTGGTGTATACCTATACCATCTTATCATTTTCAGAACGACCTCGCTCACCTTCGGAGTTCACTGCAGCCCAGCCCAGCCCAGCCCGCTGGTTAGGTAGGTTCCAACCAACGGAGTGTACCGCTCCTGCAGCACGCTACTGTAAGGTCCAGTACTCGGGGACACGGGGGTGATCCGTCCGACAACAAACAATCTCCTGTATCTGCTGTCAGTTTGCCACTCCCCCATCCCTCTATCTCCCTTCCCTCGGCCTAGGCGGGCCCAGCCGTCTCCAGATGGCCGACGTCCGATGTCCGACTATCACCGTCGCACTCTCTCCTTCTTGCCTTCTTGCTGATGAATCGGTCCGCTGACTTCATATCTGCGCAATCACGTATCCGATTGCCAGCGAGTCTCCCCATACACAGTACTGTATTCTGCTTCCATCATCATCCGCTTGACCTGGGTCCACGTCTCGTAGGTTAAAGGGCCCGATGCGGAGCTCGACCCATAGAGAGACAGAACATTTGTAGGAACTAACTCTAGTTAGTAACTCCAGAATCCAGTGAACCCTAAGGTAGTAAGTAAATATGGTGTACACCAGTAAGTCTATTTCCAGACAGCCTCGAGGGAATCCATGTTTCGGCCGAACGCCACGGACAACGCCACTCCGGTGTGTCTTGTTCGGGCAATTCTCGCCCATATTTCGATCTTCACAGGTGAAGAATGCTAAGAGGGGATAAGCTTCCCTGATGAGGGTTTTTCTGTTATTTTGTTTTTTTCCGTGCCAATGTCTGGTATCCTTTTTTACAGATCAATGGGGTTAGGTTCTGTTGATTGAGGAATGAGGAATGCAGACAGAGTTAAGGTTGGAGGTCCGGATCGGGAAATACCCTAAACCCTTAAACCCTCTCCAGTACCTTTACTTTCTTTACTTCAAGGTCGAAATGGTTGCGACAGTGGCGCATGGGAAGGGAAGGAATGCATTCCGGGCAAATTCAATTGCAAATGCAGTTTTTTTTTTTCTCTCCTATCGCTCAAGAAAGTATAAACATGTCCATGTTGATAGCAAGAAATTGGTGGGGGAGAAAAAAAAAAGAAACACATGAAAAAAACAAATCAGGTATAAGCAGGTAGAAAAGAGAAGAAAAGAAAAAGAAAAATGCAGGGCTGTTCGAAAAAACTAACACACAGAAAAAAAATCCGTAGTGACGTTTGTATACTTCTCCTTTGGCTTTCTTTCCCCTTGTTTCACTCATGCAATCCCCAGCGAGGGCACCATTCCCTGCTCCTCTTTCCGTTCGTTGCCCATCCGGTACGATACCTTGAATCGCATCTTGATCGAGTTGCCCTTGCCCGTCTCAACTCCGTCAACGAGCATCTCCTGCTGCACTCCGTTGGTCTGCTGGGGGGCGACGTCCCGTCCCGTTTGGGGTCGCAGTTGCAATGTGTATGACTATCAAAGAGTTTTAGCAGTTGATCAAAATAGGGAAAGACAAATAGGGGAAGGGAGGGATACCTTCTCAACGGCCACTTGGAAGTGGAGCTCGTTCAATGGCTGGGACGTGGCGTTGGAGAACAAGGCCACTACATGGATCAATCGAGGCTGTTGCGGGTGTCGTCGCGCCACGAATTCAATCCGCAACAAGGTGTTCAACACTTGCACCCGGTTCACGCTGGGCAGGGCGCTCGTTTCCGGCAGCGACGAGGCGAAATTCCATTCGTCGTCTTCCTTCGTGGCGCTATTGGCCGGGTCCGTGGTCGAAGCACCCGCCAAATCAAGAAGGGAGGACCTTGCCGGTGAGGGTTGCGCCGGCTTGGGACTCTGGGACGGGAACGGGCTGGCGTGACGGGGACTGGCCGACACCAGTGATGCAAAGGGGTCGACCGCGGCCGGTGGCGGTGGAGTGGCCGTGGTGCTCTGGGACTGGGACAGCGACGGTCCTGGTCGGGGCGACGATGACTGCGAGATTGGTTGCGATGAGTTCAACGAGGACAGAATATCGTAGTTGGGTTGGAACCCGGCGGGAGCCTGTTGGACGGGTGGCGTGGCAGAGGCCGCTGGCGGGTTGGCTTGCAAATTACATAGGTTAGCGACAAACAGATCAGAACATCAGACCCCGAGGGTGATTTTCCAGGAGTCCACTTACAGGGTCCAAGAGAGATCCCTCCGCCCATGGGCGCGGGCTCATCTATCGAAAGCCCGAGCAGGTCATTCTCCAAGGAGCTGCCACCGGCGGCCGCCTGCGAGGCATTGCCGTTGGAGCTGGGTTCGGGGTCGAAATCGATCAAAGACAGCTCGTTGTTGGCGTTCTTCGACACACCGGTCGTCGTGCCCAGCGTACCCTTGGGGATCCGCAACGCAGCCTCGTGGTCACCCTTCTTGACAAGCTTGTATCGTTCAATGGTGCGGTGTATGCTATCGTTGATTTCCAACAGTTTGCTCACGGCTTCCGGGTCATCCGATTCTTCCTCGCACATCTTCTGAATTTTCGGGTGTGCGCTTTGCAGTGCGTTGGCGAGTTCCTATGCCGCACCATCAGTAAGCCGAGTCTTGTGCGCGCGAATACCTCAGACCCTGTGTATGCCTTACCTCGAACACGTCTCCCTCGGCAACCTGCTCGCCCGGCTGGTGACTTTGTAGCATCTCCTCCAGGATCTTGGCTTTCTGTTGCACCCTGGACACTTCTTCCGCGGCTTTGGCTCGGTAGTCAGTCTTGTGACGGTTGTCGAACCCGGCCATTACCTTCATCAACCGGTTGGCCTCCTGTAGATCGGCCGGTGTGCCTCGTCGGATAAGTTCCTGCAACTTGGCCGATTGCGCCTCCTTCTCCTCCTCCTCCATTTCCTCTGCCGATCGGAGATTCTAGGGATGGTCAGTCAGGCATCTTGTGGTTGGCGCAAAGGGAAGAAACACGGGCGGGACGAGACATACGTCGCTAGGATTCAAGACAGCGGCATCCTCCAAGCGAATCTCCGGGAAGACGTAGCCCTTGTAGAGGAGAAGACGGTGCATGTCCCGAATAAAGCCCAAATCCTCCTTGTATCTCGACGTCTGGCAGATGGTCTGTCGCCATTCTTCGATCGACTCCAGGATGCGATGTTGAACCCTCGAGGGACGCAAAGCCGGCCTCTCGGGAAACCGGCGCACCAACTCATTCAGGAATTCCTTTGTGCTGATTTGGAGTTGAAAGGGGTATCCGCAATTCTTGACGCAGATATCGAGTAGCTACCGTGGCATCCATCAAACGTCAGCCCCGCATCCGACCAGATTGCTTTCCGAGATTCGGGCCTCCCAAACACCTACCGATAACGCCAGCAGCGCGACATTCTGATTCCGCGAGTTGATCAGACGGACGATTTCGAGTGCGGCCTCACGGGGACTGTAAAAAGAAAGTCAGAAAGGCCCCCCTTCCCCTCTTCCTCAGCCAAGAACCGGATCCGCGACTCACGCATTGCCTTTTTTGGAGTTGACCAAGTCCGCAACTTCGAGGTTCAGGGCGAGGTTCGGTTCGTAGTGGGAGATGTCGCAGGCATTTCCTGAAGAGATGCGAAAATGGTTAGCCAATGGACCATGCGGATTGCGTCCCCTGCCGAAGAATTGTCCCGACGTACGAATAGCTCGTTGCAGTGGTGTCAGGCCCAGGTCAGCGTAGACACCACCAAAGCGGTCCCTAGCTGCCATGCGTGCTGAAGCGGCCTCCAGGGTGACGACGGAGGAGAGACGGGGTTAGAAAAACAAGAGAGAGAGAAAGAAATAAACCAAAACTCCCCGGCTAGGAATCCAGCACCGAGGGGTATATAGCAAAGACGATAAACTTGTGGGAGGAAAGAGATGGGGAGAGGTTAGTGCCAGCGTTAGGAGATGCCTTAGCAACTTGGTTTAGTCTTCCACGTGTGGCGGTTCCGTCGCCGGCCTTAAGCCGATCACCACTTTTCCTCTCCGTCTCTCTCTCTCTCTCTCTCTTTTTCTGTTCTACTCTTCCCCCGACAAGATACCACGTCGAATTTAACGCAGACAGTCGCTGGATTCTCACCTCCAACGACGGATTTCTCTCACCATGGTTCGACACAAGAAGGACAACTTTTCACGAGGAGGAAAGAAATTCTCCAACCCCCGCCCACGCCCAGTACCCCGCGGTGACGGTGAAGCCTCCTCCAGACTGCCCTTCAAGGCCGCCTGTTGGGATTTGGGTCACTGCGACCCTAAAAGATGCTCGGGGAAACGATTGATGCAGCATGGGTTAATGCGAGAATTATCGATTGGCCAAAAATTCCCCGGAGTCATTGTCTCGTAAGTGGTCGCGATGTTTTGCGTCTTTTTCTTTCTCTTCTAAGTCTTGTCGCGACGACTCCCTACACTCAACTAACACGGTCGCTACAGTCCGAATGCGAAAAAGATTTTGTCCCCGGCCGATAGCGAACTCCTGGAACAATTTGGTGCCGCTGTAGTGGAATGCTCCTGGGTGAGGGTGAAGGAAGTCCCGTGGTCACGTATCGGCGGGAGATGTGAAAGACTCTGTATGGAGGAATCGGACAATTTCAATATGCGTGCGATGTATACTGACTGAATTCAGTGCCCTACTTGATTGCCGCCAACACAGTTAACTACGGGAAACCCTGGCGACTCAACTGCGTCGAAGCGCTCGCAGCTTGTTTCTGTATCTGCGGACACGAAGACTGGGCTCGCGAGGTCCTCCAACACTTTCCCTACGGCGAAGCATTCCTTGAGATCAACCATAAGCTTCTGAAGCGATATGCCGCTTGCAAGACCGAGGAGGATATCAAGCGGACAGAGGAGGAGTGGCTGGCTAAGATCGAGAAGGAATATGAAGACAGCCGCGCCGAAGGAGGTGCCGACGATATGTGGACCGTCGGAAACACGAATCGGAAAGCCGTGATAGATTCCGATTCGGATGAGAATGACGACGACGATGAAAAGAGCGACAAGGATGGGGATGAGGAAGAAGAAGAGGACAAGGACCCCTTCGCTATTTCGGACGACTCAGAGGAGGAAGAGCAAATGGCCGAAATCCGTCGCAAAATCCTCGAGTCGAAATCGTTTCAGAATCCTTCGATTCCCGACAAACCGCAGCCCGAAAAGATCGCGCATCCGGAACCAAAGCCGGCTGAGGACTCAGATGCCGAGTCTGGGTCTGCCGAGGGCAGTGATGATGAAGCATTCGACAATATCATCAACGCGACGCCCGTAACGGATCGAACGGGAATCATCGCCGCGTCGCAGAAGAAGAAGAAAGAGACCTACAGTGCGTCGTTTTCGCGTACCACGATCGATGCCCCGAAGAGGTGGTAGATGATGAACTCTATACCCCGACGAGGTGCTGCGTTTAAAAGTCTCTCCACAATGATTTCCTGCACTTTATTGTTCGAAAACCATCGGCGTGGGCGGCCATGCAGCGGGTCCTAGTCGCGGGATCAGATTTACGAGAAAAGATTTTGTTATGTATAGTACCACGAATGGAATGAGCCAATCTAGGACAGATTATGCCATGAAGCTTGAATGAAATTAATGACCGGCTATTCTTGATGGTGCCTTAAGGCCGCCATGGGCACCGCCTCCGCTGTCTCCTTCCTTCCTCTTTCTTCCTCACTTCGCCTACTCACCTCACCCCCATCGAAGCATGAGTCAACCGTTGTTACATTTCTTGATTGGTGCATATGATTCAATCGATACCTTACAGTCACATGCAGTTTCTTATCGAACAACACCCTCTCACACCGAGGAAACAGGGCGGAGGTAGTACACCTGACAGGAGCGTCGCCTCGCTCAACCTACTTTCTACGATATCTTCAGGTACCATCGCCGATTACATACCCACACATCCCTTTTCTTACGCAAGATATTATATTCTGCAGATACGGTTACATCATATTCTTTAAATAGGATGCAAGACATCAGAGGCAGCAACAATTCCCTGCCATGCTATGAGTAATAATAGAGCCGAGTTCACGTTCACTGACCAGTCTGACCACGTTCCTGCAGGGATTATTTCACATTCCAGCGACTGATTCGATCAGATCTCACATCGTCCCCTTGGGAGGGTCAGGTGCCGGGCGAGGAACCGACTGATCTGATAGGATCACAAGCATCGCCGGGCTGACTGGGGGAACTCGGGCGCCAAGCGGCAAAACGCAACCTCCCTCGAAGTGCATGCTTGCATGCTTCATTCGTCGCGAACGCTTGATCGTCAACTCTCCACAATCATCCTCAGCCTTAATCCCTCCATAGTTCGCCTGACTGTCCCTGATGATGACTCAGGCCAAACGACGGCGGCAAAGTCACTGCCTCGTGGCTTGGAGGTGTATGCAGCGGGGATGTCCATGTCTACATCGATCACAAGGCCGAGTGGCCTCCACGGTTTCTTGCTTATAAGAATGGATCAAGAAATTCTGGGCATTTGGCAGCCATTTATTACTGCTTTTCTCTCCTCATTTCTTTTGATCTTTCTTCCTTTTTCACCTAAGACGGAGGCAAACATCTAACCATCTGATCATTCGAGTTTTCGATTTATTGCACCAGACCATGAAACGCCCTGCAGTCGTTGAAAGGGCAGGTTCGTCCAATTCACGAACCAAAAATTCTCAAGTAATTAAACAACTTGAGCGACTTGGAGGCCGCCCTTGGAAGCGCGAATGGAGCATGCTCAATCTCGTTACCTCTTTCCTTTGGAAACAACCATCAATACAGGCGGCCGACGTCCATCAGCACACGGTGTGGTTATTCGACAACACTGCTTATCAGCGCATTACGCCGAAACCCGCCGGACAAAGACGATGGCATGCTGAGGTCGTCGCTTGTATATTTCGGAAGGATAGCCGCAAAGACATCAGCAAAATCGTCGCAATGATCGCAGATATAATCGGTCTTGATGGAGAAATAGGCACCCAAAGAGAGACACGCCATCGGATGGCAGAACGACTACGACCATTCTTGCATCACGTTGCATCAGCACACTTGATGATGCTCGAAACGCCTCTGCCAAACAACACTGCACTCATTCGACAGATCGGGCCTACGGACGGAAGTGGCATCACCAGCCAAGATGTAACAATAAGCAACAAACAGATCACTGATGGGACCTCGCTACCATCATACCTCCGAGGCTGGGCGGGCAATGTGTCCATGAACACTGTCTTCGCGGGTCCGGAAGGCTGGCTCGTCATATCCGACATCGACGATACGATCAAATACACGAAAACATCCGAGTCGACCGGGATCCTTCGCACGACCTTTGCAGAGGAACCTACTCCCATTGCTGGAATGCCCGAACTTTACTACCGCATCCACAGAGAGCTCACACCAGCATGGTTCTACCTATCAGCATCTCCTTATAATCTGTACCCCTTTTTACGAGGGTTTATCCAGGAGCATTTCAACCCTGGCACGCTGATCCTTCGGGATTCGTCATGGATGGATATCAGTGAGTTGGTCAAATCCTTCACCGTCAACACCATGGAATACAAAATGGACCGTATCAAAAAGATCCGACGCTGGTTCCCTCAGCGCCAGGTTCTCTGCATTGGCGACTCGACCCAGAAAGATCCAGAAGCCTACGCCGAGATTTACAGGAAACATCCGAACTGGATCCAGGCCATCTGGATTCGAAAGGTCACCGATGTTCCCCATTTAGAGGAACAGAACTCCCCAGAGCGGTTTGGGGCGGCCTTTGAAGGTATCCCAGATAATGTCTGGGAGGTATTCGAACAGCCTGATGAAGTGGCGAACCTTCTGGGTGAGCTGAAGATCAACAACACAACCTAGGTTCCACATGCCATGTTAGTCGCGGGGTAGCACATTTTCCTAATTTTTCATGCTTTCTGTTTTCCGGCACCAAATGATTATGGACGAAAGATAAGGTCCTCCAACCACAAAGCATGGTTTTGGTCCACGAATGGTGCATTTAAGCATGCATAACGGCCGTTACGTCAATATGAGGGCATGTCGTCATCGAAGTCACTGTCAACAGCGATAACCACCCAGAGTTATCTCAAACCCCTCTCGTTGGATGAACCTCTCCACTAGACATGGGCCAGACTTTCCTTCTGGAAACGACGATCTTCCAAGTTGTCCCTCCGGGTTCGAATACTTGATAGTATGACCAGGAGGCAAACAGTCTTCTCCGGCGAGAAATAAAGTAGGACGCACCACCCATTTCTCAAGCCTCATCAGACTTAAGCCAACATCCCAACTAAACCGGCGCAATCTGTGGAATCTTCGATGGTCCATTATTTACATTGGCTCACACAGTCTGATCCGGAACGCCATGAAGCCTGCCAAACCACACTCAACTACAATGGACGAGCAAACATTTGTCCCCGGAACCATGCGAGCACTCTACCACTGCCCACCTTCGACAGCTAGTACAACCACGGAGCCTTCGGGACTTCCTCGCGAGGATTCGGGGATGATCTTCGACACTGACTTCCCGACACCCAGACCAGCCGCGAACCAATATCTCATCAAAGTCCGAACAGCAGCCTTCTCCCACGACGGGCTCAGACTTGCGCGCGCCCTCAACCCCTCCAAGTCTATCCCCCAGATTCCCCTCCACAACTTCTGCGGTACCGTCATCAGCACGCCCTCAGAGGATCACTACCGTCCCGACGGCCCCCGTTTCAAGGTCGACGACGTCGTCTTCGGTCTGATCAGCCATACCCGCGACGGCGCCGCGGCCGATTACACCCTAGCCACCGAGGATGAAATCGCCCTGAAACCCAAAAACATCAGCGCGGCTGAAGCCTCCACCATCCCTCTCCCGTCCCTCACCGGATGGCAAGCGCTCTTCACCTACGGGCGCCTGAACTCCCCCGACACCGACACCCCTCGGCGCAGCCTGCGCGTCCTGGTCACCAACGCGCGCAACAACGAAGTCGCCACGCAAATGCTACAGCTCCTCCGCTCTCCATCCCTCTTCCCGCACTACGAGCCCTGGATCTGCGCTACCTGCTCTCCCATCGAGGCCGACTACCTGCGCACCGAAGCCCAAGTTGACGAGATCATCGAAGCCCCGCTACCTGTGCCCCAGGAATTCGACCTCGCGGGCATCTTCCGCTCCCGGGCCTGGGACCCGGTGGACCTGGTGCTGGACTGCGCCGGTACGCAGACCTTCCGACAGGCGCACTCGCCCGCCGTTGTGAAAGACAATGGCGTCGTGTTAACGGCTGTCGACACCGGTCCCGTCCACAACCACACCCCGCACGAAGACGCCCAGTCCCATCAGCGCGGGCTTCTGAGTCGCTTCATCGCCGTCCAGCCGGACGGGGAGGCCCTCGCCGCGATCGCCAAATTAGTTGAGGCGGATTCGGTACGTGGCCGTGTCGCCGGCATCTCGGACTTTGTGAACGGGGCTGATGTTCTTGCCTCTGGGGCCGCGGGTGTTGGTGGAGGGAGAAGAGGTGGGATGATGGTGTTTCGGGTGAATATCTGATTATGATTTTTACATTTATGTTTGTTTTTTGGTCTGGGAACTGCTATTTATACATAGGTTTTGGGTGTTAAATCTTGTGGGTATGTCATCATGAGCGGTAATTATTTTATCTTATCTGTACAAACAAGTCTATATATAGACTTTGTTTTGTTTTGTTTTACTTTCACTAGTTATCAATGTAAATATCTATTCATTTACTTATCTAACATCTAACGAGTGTGCTCGGTTCATGCGTAACTCAGGTAACTACTGTAGAACATTAGCATCGATAGATAAGTGAATTGAACGCTTATAAAAAAATAAATAGATATAGTATTTGCGAATAAGTAACAACAAGGATGAATGGAAGGAAGAGAAAAAAAAGAGTAACAGACAGACAGACACGAACGCTTAGAAAAGATCATCAGCTGATTGAAAGGACGAACTCGAAGAGGGCATATGAACAGAGCAAACAAAGAGGACCCACGCAGAACACGGCAATAGACCCCCGGTATAATACACGCGCATACACACCTATGTAAGGTAGTTTGAAAGGGGAAGAATAGGGAGAAGGAAGGAAGAAAGAAAAAGACACAAATCAAGCATTCACAAGAAATAGAAAACAAAGACAGTAAAAGTAATGGATTGAATTAGAAAAAAGGGGTGGAAGATATAAAGTATGTTAGGTACCCCATAAACAAGAAGATAAGAAGGGATACTAGAAGGATAAAAGAAAAAGGTCATGAATTAAAAGCTCGCTCCTCCGCTTATTTTTTTAGGTCTCCTCTCGTCTTCGGCTTCCTTTTTTCGCCAGCTTTCCTCGTCTTCTCCTTTCTTGGTGGGTCTGTCGTGTCCTTATTCTATGTTCTCTTCGGCGATGCCGCAATCCAGCTGGGCTTCGTGATCAGGTATGGCTGGCGTGGATGAGAAAGTCTCCTCTCCCGTGTCCTTAGTTGGTATCAAGCGAGGTCAATCACCTGCATCGTGCACACTCTAGGAAATACACTTACCCCTGGCGAGAAACGGTATGAAATGTGGGTAGAAAAGTCGACGGAGGCAAACGACGAAAACAAGCAGGCGGCAGACAACAGACAATAAACAAACGATCAGAAAGATAAGAAACACCTCATACAAAAATGCATTGGACCGCATTCGGCGGCTAGTTCATACAATGTAACTCCGCTCAAGTCCACCAGATGCCAGGACAACTACTGCGCAAGTAGCCAAAAACCGCCCGTCTCGTTTTCCAGAAGCGAAAAAAGAAGGGATATCATGATCAGACGAGAAAAGCGAACAAAAAAAAAAGGAAGTAGGGCATATAAGATAGCGCAAGGACTGCGAGATGAGAAAAAAAAACAGAGGTCAATCTCCGCTTAGAGTAGGGAGTCAAGTCTAGTAAAAACGCTCAAACATGCTGCAACGATCTGTGTAAGAGGGAAAGGTTAGCACAAACAACGTCTGGTGCCAAAGCGGGGCGACATTTTGCGAACGTACCTCCAACTGAAGCTCTTTGTCTTTACCCGAGTTCACTTCGTCATTAATGGCCTGAGCCAAATTGGCACCGATGGCCTGAGAGCCACCCGGCCTCCGCGCAAACGGGAACTGCGAGTACTCGGCCAACAGCTCATCCACCTGGGCAAATGCTCTCTCGCGAGCCTCGTGGCTCATCGTCACGAGCGCATTCTCCAGCACGTTGGCCGCATAGGCGGCGCACACCATCGAGATTGTCCGTAGGTACCGGAATTCAATGTCTTCAGGGAGCCAGGCGTTGGGGGGTAGGATCACGGTGCGGTTGCTGCAGATGTTGCGGACTCGACGGTGGATGTCATCTTTAGCGCCGCCGTCGGCGACGGGGTGGGTAGCCATGTCGAACAAGAGGAAGTTGCGCTTTTCGGTGCGCAATATTCCTTTGTCGACGAGACCCTTTGCGAGACGTTCGCGCACTTGTTTCAGTTGGTAGCCAATCTTCATCAGATTCCACGTTTCACCTGCAGACACGTTCCCGAAAATTAGCCAGGGAGTTTGGGGAAGATCTCGATAGATCACATCTAGCCGTTACGTACCGCTCATTAGATCGATCCACGAGTTCACGCTCATCTTCTCGCTCGACTTCATCATTTTCAATGCCTCGTCCAGCAAGACCTCCCCAGTCAGAGTATCGTCGATGACTTCGATCACGCGATCGGCCAGGGGGAAGCGTCGCCGAGAGGAATCCTTCTGCATGCTGATCCGACCGCGGAGGGCCAACTCGATGACGATGCATCCACGCAAGGCGTAGGAAATGTTCTCGTTCCAAAACGACAGGTACCCCTACAGAAACGAATTGAAACCGACAGGTCAGCGATCAGGCCACCCGCACCACAGCATTGCACCGGAAACCCACCTGTTTGTCTTTCAGCCCCAGCAGCAAGACTTCCTCCATCAGCGTCAGCTTGGGTTGTTTGTTCCGCTCCTCGGTTTCACTGATATCTCTCGGATCGAAGGCGATCTTATGTCCATTTTCGGTGCTGGTAAACGAGGTCTCCGGAACACGGTTGTCGAGAGCGGAGCCATTGCGAGACACGGGCGAAGACACTCTGCTGTCGTCATTCTCGTCCGGGCCAGTGGCTCGACCGCCACCTCTTCGGCGAGTCAAGCCCCCGGCTGAGGCCATTAGGAAATCTGAGGTCGGAGGTCGGGAACGGGGAGGAGCTGGTCCAGCGAAAGGAAAGTCGGGGATTCAAGCGATCGGATTTATACCACTAGCGCGTGCGACATAGAATATTGGAGGGGTGACAAAGGGGGGTAAGAGGAGGGGGAGGACAAATGGGGTGGAAGGAAGAAGGAAGAAGGAATGAGAAGGGGTGAACGGAGAGGGAGAGAGAAGAAAAAATCGGTGTCAAAGAGGGAAGATTATGCCGAAACGGAGGGAAATTATCAGGGGCGGAAAGAGGAAAAAAGTCGAGAAGATCCTCGTGGAGAACGAGAGACCGAGAGAGGGAGGAAGACAGAGAGAGACAGAGGCAGAGGGAGAGTGGTAAGAAATGAGGGCGAGAGAAATGGACGTCGGCCAGAGAGAGAGTTAAATTAGCGGATGGGTCTAATCAATCAATCAATCAATCAATCAATCAAGGAGACCTGCAGTAGAACGAGGGCCGATAGTCAACCCCGGCGATTTCAATGGACGATGTTTCCCAGCGAGAAAAATCCCAGATTACAATGCACGGAGAGAAAAGAAAAGGAAGATGAGCCTGTCCAGGATCCCGTGTCGCTAAGGCTATCTGGTCTTTAGCGCTGTTTCCGCTGCTGCTGCTTCTTCTTTCCCCCTCAGAAACACGAGCCACGCGATATCAACCACCGTCCACTTCTTCGGCTTCATCCTCCTGTCGTGCTGACCTGGAATGTTCCCTCGTAACTCGTTCTTACCCACCGGCGCCGATCCCTCCAAATCAATAGTTGCTTAAAATCTCCGTATCCTCAACTCATCAGCCCCTGGTGCCTCTCTATACTATCCAGTATCCGCTCCACGTCATCCACCCAAAGGGCCACTCCACTCTGACGAATAACTCCGGGGAGGCTCAGTCCGACGCCCACGCCCTCGTAGATGCACCGGTGAAATCATCTCACCTGCTCTTGTGCTACAGTCCTCCCGGTCGCCTCCGTCAGACAACCCGAAGCTCCTCCTCGCCGCGGCCCGGTGGCGGGAAGAATACGTCCGATGCGATCAAGAGAAAGAAAAACACTGCATTGAGATGATATACACGATATAGTAAGGTGAAAAAGCACCGGCATGTATCAGCATACAACGGAGCGCCAACGACTCCCCGGACGGTCTCCGCTGGGAGTAGTATACGCCAACATCCCTTTTCTTTTTCTATCTAACCCTCCATCCTATTTCCGACCTCTCGTATTACGTATTTAGTGGGCTAGCACTCGGTCAGCGACGGCCTCGCGGGTCATACTGGTTATCAAAGAGGGAATGACATACCATCGGGCTGAGCAAGGATGTACTCAACAGCCTTGTCAACTGTTTCAATCAAAGGGATGAGCATATAGTCTTCCAGGTTCCCGGTTCCACGTTTCACGACACCTCGATTCCGAGTGTATGCATGAAACAAAAACAGATCGAGCAGAAAAAACTTACCGCTGTGGATGGCATCGGCCTCCTTGTCGGGGATCTCGATGCTGAATTCCTGCAGAGAAGAAATCCCGTCAGTCAAATTGTCCATCGGCGACGCGAGCAGATTCAAACAAAATCATTCCATACCTCCTCAATGGCCATCACAACCTCAACGGTATCCAAGCTGTCCAGACCGAGGTCATTCGAGAAGTGAGAGACGCCGTTGATCTGTAGTATGCGCAAATCTTTTTAGTAAACCACACTTTGCCGAGGAGTTCGGTCGGGAGACGATCGCGCCCGCGGAAAGAGTCAATGGCGACGGACCTTGCTAGCATCGGTGACCTAGACATCATCCAGCAGGTTAGTAACGATATGCGAGAAGCTGGCTTTCCGAGCCGTCATGCGGGCCAGGGACGCAATTCCGAATCCACCGTGACGCACCTTGTCAAAGTTCTTCAACAGGTTGACTATCCGGCCCTCAACCTCAGTCTTGTCGAGTCCGGCAGGGGCGGAGTAGAGGCGGACGCCCTGGTAGGCGAAGCGAGGGGCGAATTGGGCCGGACGAGCGATGGGAGAGCTACGGATCTGGGAAGCAACCGGGGTTCTGATGGCACGAGGCACGGAAGCCCTCAAAGAGCGGACGATGGCGGAGCGGAACATGATGGCGGTAGAAAAGGGAGAAGAAAATGCAGGCGCAAAGGCGAGAGTAAAAAGGGGGGAGATAAAATCGGAAGGATGAGAGGAGTGGGGGGGAAGAGTGTGGGTGACAGTGGAAAGGGAAGAAAGAGAGAGAGAGAAAGAAAGGTAAGGGAAGTGATGTTGAAGACGGATGAGATTCTCTTCTGCCGGCTCGGGCCAATCAGGGTGGACGGGAAGCAGGTGAGGTAAGCCGGGCTCGTTGAACCTCGCAAAAGTGACTTTCCTCCTCTCTCCCCTCCTGCTTGCTTTCCCCCATTGCCTCCTCCCCCCCAATTGATCTCTCCTCTCCATCCTTTCGTCGCTATCCTCCTTCCCCCCACCTCGCAGAGATGGCCTCCTCTCCCTCGGTCGCGAGGCTCATCGCCTACCGCCGACCTACGCCGACCTCGATTCTGACCTCGTCATTCCGTCCCTTGGCCTCAACCGCAAACTTCTCCTCCTCGGTGTGCCGGGCGGCCACTCCTGCCGGTCCCCCCCAGCCGGGCTTCCGTCTGCCCCCTCCTCAGAAATGGGACCAGGGCGCCGAGTCGTCTCTGGACAAGGCCTCCAAATACTTCCTCATGGCCGAGATTTTCCGCGGCATGTACGTCGTGCTAGAGCAGTTCTTCAGACCGCCGTAAGTGACCCTCTCTTCCTCTCGTTCCCCCACTCCTCGCGATCCGGACCCCATTGGATCAACATCAATTGGATTGGATCTTCGTGGAAGATGTCATCGCGGCATGCATTGGGTCCTCTTGCGCAACGCCCACCCGGGAAACGAATATGGATTGAGCTTCGAAAACTGACGTGATGCTCGCGACTCACCAGTTACACGATCTTCTACCCCTTCGAGAAGGGTCCCATCTCGCCTCGCTTCCGTGGCGAGCACGCCCTGCGACGTTACCCTACCGGTGAGGAGCGCTGCATTGCTTGCAAGCTCTGCGAGGCCATCTGCCCGGCCCAGGCCATCACCATCGAAGCGGAGGAGCGTGAGGACGGTAGCCGTCGGACGACCCGTTATGATATCGATATGACCAAGTGTATCTACTGTGGCTACTGCCAGGAGAGTTGCCCCGTCGACGCCATTGTCGAAAGTAAGTTGTGGACATCCTTTCCCCTTGTGTATGTGTGTATATGTGGAAAGGAACTCCCAAAGAGCTAACCCGCACAAGCTTCCAACGCTGAATACGCCACCGAGACCCGCGAAGAATTGCTGTACAACAAGGAGAAGCTTCTGTCCAACGGTGACAAGTGGGAGCCCGAAATCGCCGCGGCTGCCCGTGCCGATGCTCCCTACCGATAAACAAAAAAGTCGTCTCGAAAAACGCAACGGCTCCGGTTCATCGCACCAAGGGCACTTTTTTATTAGACTTTGTATAATAACAGTGCCATATCTGTTTTCTGTGCAATCCGAGGGCAACGTCGCTCTGGGATTGTTTTAGAAATCGAGAGAGAAAGAGAAGGGGAAAAGAATGCTTTTTTTTTTTCTCATCCACATCAAAGATATCTTGAGGGATTTGTTTGTTTGGTTTTATTTCTTGCGGTGGTTGAATCTCCGCATCTTTCCAACTTTTGTGTATGTACATAACTAACGCTTAGCCTGCCTTATTACCACATGTACTTGTCGAGTTTCTGTGGGAGTCTTGTTCTATACGGCTTCCGGGGCTCTGGTCTTGTCTGTCTGTTTTTCCTTTTTCTTTTTCTTTTTCTGTTCTGATTGTTGGAGGGGATCCTACTGGGTTTGAATTCACTTTTTCTATGTCTTGTTAGGGAATAAACTTTGAGAATCAACCTATTGTCTCCTTTGTCTAACATGTTTGCCACAAGAACAATAGGGAAGAAGAGGAGGGGTATACTCATAAGGTACTAGAAGAGTCTACACTGGACAATGTTGGACATGGACAAATTCCTTCCTATTTGTATGAACAGGTAAAATCGCTGCCTATGCACAGATGCACAAATAAACAAATGACCCTCCAATAGAACCTGAACACCAGTTCTCCTGCAGCTCCGTCACTCCACAATTTTTGTGTCTCCCTTTTTTTGGTTTCTTTTTTGGTCTTTGGATCCCTCTGGTGGTTTATTATCCAGCTTTGATATATCGGTTGAGGGAAGACCCGTGAGATCAGGTAGGTAGGTAGTTACCATCCTTCTAGCCATTTACAAACAACAGTTCGAATATTACAAATCATTCCCTAAAAGGAACGTTCCTTCCTTCTCATTTTTTTTATTTCTTCTTGCCGACACCCTTCGATCCCTCGAAGCCGGGTCTGGCCTTCTTCTTGCCTCCGGCGGGTTTCTTGTTCTTGCCGCCACCGCCGCTGCCTTTCTCGTCGCGTCGCTTGCGCAGGTTCTCTTCGCGCTTGTTCTGCTTGTGGTCCTTGCCGCGCTTGACGGCCTCGAGGCGGTCCTTCCACTCACGCTCGGACTTCTTCTTGGCGGTCTCCTTGCGCTTGAGCGCCTTCTTGAGAAGGGAGGTATCGTCGCGGACCCGTTCGCCGTGGGCGCGCTTCTTGGCGTTCAGCCACATGTCTTTCTCCTCGATGTCAGTCCGCTTCTCCTCGTCGAGTCCTGCGAGGCGGGCCTTCTTAGCCTCGGCGGCCTTGAGGGCGGCAGCGGGATCGTGGGGGCCGCTGCGCTTGTGGGCGTCCCGAGCAGACGACAGGGTAGGGTCGGCGACGTTACCGTCCGCGAAGACCACGCGGCCGAAGGAGAAGTTGTTGTTCGAGCCGACGGAGTCGGCAGGCGAGCGGGGTGAGGCGAGGAGCGATCCTGAGCCGCCGGGCGAGAAGCGGCGAGCCATGGCCTCGTCGTTGGCCCGCTGCTCCTCTTCCCGGGCCTTCTGTCGCAGCTCCTTCTTGTGAGCCTTGCGCTGTTCGGCTTTTTGTCGGCGCGCTTCGATTAGCTCTTGGCGGTTTCGAGCGGGCTTGCCGTTGAGACCATCGGCGTGGCGCTTGGCCCGTAGCTCGTCGAGCCGTTTCTGTAACCGTTGCTTGAGTTCATCGGGTGTGGGCTTAAGAGGCTTGGGTTCGGTGGATGAGGTTTTGGAAGCATCATTAGGGTCGGAAGGAGGGACGATGGAAGATATAGAAGAGCTACCCGATTGGGGATTCGACGTGTCGAAGTCTGGGGAGTTTGGCGATGACGAGCCCGAGGGCTCTGTCGGCTCGGGGTTGAACTCGAGGGAAAGCCCCTCGGCGACGGCATCTCCGTCGACGTCGTCGTCGCTATCATCTGCTTCCTGGCCGGCAGTTTGCTTCTGCTTCGGCTCTGGTTTTTGCACGGCTTCGGCCGCAGGGGTCTTGGTGTCCTTCTTCTGCTGCTCAGCTTGCTTTTCTTTTCTAGCAGTATCTTTGGCCTTCTTCTTTTCCTTCTGGTTGGCCTTCTTCTGCGCCAGCTTCTCCTCCTTCAGCTTCTTGCGGGCCTCGGCATCCTCATTAGACTTCGCTGAAGCCTTATCCGAGCGTTCCGACTTTTCAGTCTGCTTCTGCTTCTTGGAGTTGGCGTCGCCTCTGTTGAGCCCCTCTTTGGGAATTTCCGAGCCCAGCTCTTCGGCATCGGACGAGCCAGACTCATTCTGTTCTTCTTCCCGCTTACGTTTCCGAGCGTTCTCGTCCATCACGTCTTTGGCGGTTTTGGCAGAGTCCGGGTCCAATTTGGCTCGCTTAGCCTCGCGGGCTTCCTCTTTGGTCTGCTTCTTGCGTTGCCATTGGTCCTATTCAAGGATTTCATGGTCAGCCGTGCTTGGGGGCAGAACGGGCTAGGAGAGGGGGAGAAGACAGGAAAAAAAAAAAAGGCAGGCCGTTTGGCGCTAGGGTAAGGGAGAAAAGAAGAAAAACTTTGCAGAATGTTTGACATACACTGCCATCTTCTCCATAGTAATGCTTTGCAGGAATTAACGACATCAGACCATCGAAGGCCTGAGCATGGCTGCGTAGCCGTTCCTAACGGGAGGGAAAAAAAGAGGCGTCAATTTTTCATGCGTCCCAGATCGCAATGCGGGGAAAAAATGAACACACCTCGATATCATCCATCTCGGGATATGGGACAGTACAGCCGCTGATTAAAACTTGTAGGAAATTCGTCCACGCGCAACAACTGGACGATGACGGGTCTTGAGGGGGATCGAATGTAGCGAAAGCCGCATCGATACCTCGAAAAAATTGGGTGGGCGGTAGAAATCTTGGCATCCACTTTTTTCTCCGCTCGGCTCTCACCGCCTGCACACACAGACAATATTTTCTGCTTATCAAACGTGCCTATCGGGGTTTGTTCGGTTTAGCTTGTGCTCAACGATCACTGATCTACTGATATTTCCATTCTGTCAACTCCTCCTGCTCAGCAGGATGTTTAATAAAAATAATAATTACAGTTCGGCAGCTGCCTATATCTACCCCGTTCGGAATGTCAGCGGACATTGCTCGCATCCCCCTCATCCCATCCCATGGTCACCATCGCCGTCCTTATCGCGGTTCCTTGCCAACACCTGGTAGTCGAGGGAGCATCCAGCTGCAAACACATATAAATAGAAAATCCGATCTGGTTCGCCAAATACTCTCGACTAAGCCTTCGATCTATCCCCACGCTCCAGCCAAGTGCCCTATGCCTGGATCTTCAATGCACTCGGTACATCTAGATCGGGACACGCCTCGCTTCGAACGTCCATGATTTTGTTATATGGGAACGGAATCGTCCAGATTAAGTCAAACCTGGGCGGCGATAATTCCATCAGTTAGCCACATGTACCGGGGAAGTCTTTCGGGATTGTTTTCTCTCACCGATCATCTGGATACTCCGGCGGGTCCTCCACGCCTAGCTCCTGGGCCATCTCCTTCATTTTCCCATGTCGCCAGGAGATTAAGATGTTGCCGCATCCTCGATATCTTCGGATCTTCTTCGCGACGCAATGTACCCGGTTGCGCTTGCACGATGTGTCCACAGTGAGGTCGAGATCGTCGGCAAGTGGGAGGACGGTCTCATGGGAGCGCCTGTGTTGGCCCTCTGAGGAAATCCCGTCAGCACATTTTTTCTCTTCGGTCTGCTAGCGGCATTGCCCGACTTACTGGAGTTGACCTTTGGGGCCATGATATACCCGACATCGTAGGGTGAGGAGTCCCCGAAGACCCCTCGGAGACATTGGGCTCGCTTCACACCCTCGGCACTCAACCCGCTATCGTTCGGGTTGGGGGGTTTCTCGCCATGACGAATGATATATACCGTTGGTTTGTGAGAGTAGGGTAAAGCACAGGCTGTGACGTAAAAGATGGCGGTGAGTAAGAGGAATAGAAAACGAGGGACGATCATCGTTGCTCGGGTCCGCGAACGGAGCCCTGGTATACAGCGGTGTTTCCGTGGGATTTTTTTTAAGGTCGGAGATGAGTATACTCAAGTCGAAAAATATTTCCCTGGGCATGTAGTAATGCTGCAAGGGTAAACCGGTTCTTATGAAAAAAAAAATGAGATGATTTAATAGTTTAATAGTGTGTCGATCTTCAGCCCTGCCTGTAAATAGTGGGTTTGCTAGTGGCTATCAATCAAGGTCAAACCTGGTGATGAGCATGACATGGTCATCTGAAGGAAACACTCGCTCTTGACCGATACTCCGGAGTAGATGCACCTCAGGGAAGGCGCCATCGGGCCATTACGGTGAGCCGCTGTGCTTGTACGTAGTATACCAGTATGTATGTACAGCGCAATCTACTCCCTGCCAGGGATTACGTAGGTACTTGCAAAGTACAGGTCTCACAACACGAAGGGAAGGGCCTCAAACATGCTGGTCAGGCGGATTGTCAATAACCCGCAAGGTTGCAACTTCTGGACGCCAACGGGGTCACAATAACAAATGCGACCAATCTTATGGGCTGCAAGGGTCAGATGATTCATTCGGAACCTACTCAGAGTATAGAAGTTGGGATATTTTTATAGGATAGTAATGTGGGCTTCGTGTTGACGAGTCATAAAATCAATCATAGCCTTACGGTAGGTAGGTTATCATCGAAGTGCCGCATGTTCATGTTGCAGGTGACCCACCGTTCGTACGCGTTTTGGTAGATCGTCCACCGCGTCAGTCAAGGAGGGGGTGTGGCTTAGTTGTTTAGATCTTGTATTTCTACATGAGAATGGGATTTATTTAAATTTGATTCGATCTATGGTATCAGACAACCCATGGAGGGGGGTAGATTCATTGAAGATTATTCGGTGCAATGCCGATCGTTTGGTTGGTCAGAAATATATCTCATTCAGATCAGAACCAATAACATACCTGAACCCTACCTAGCTTCAATGCACGATAAATGAAGCAAGGCCACCAGGATTCAAGAGCCAGTTACATCATTATCTGAGCCCTTAATATTTGCAGGCCCCATGATAATCCACTTGATGCACTGAATATACCTTACGGGGTATGACCTGCCGTTGAAGCCGAAATCCAGCGCGTCTTCCCCTAACAAAGCCCGACCATTCATTTATCCACCCTATAAGGGTTTTTATCAAAGTTAAAATAAAGATTCAAAATTGCCACCAGGTTCAGCAGTGGGGAGGGACTATATAGGGCGTGGTGGAGTATTCACGGAAGTTGATCCTGGGGTTGGACTGCGGAGTATGCCCCGACATCTCAATTCAGTTAAGGCAGTCAAATCGAACAACCTATTAGCAATAATAAGCATCAGACCTATGTATTCTACCGGGTCCACAGTACGTTCAAGACAGGCTAGAGGGTCATGCTGTGGTTCATGTGTAGGCAATTCCTTCCTTGATAACTAAGCTTTCGATCGATCCATGTTTACATCGGGAACCTGGCAGTTACATCGGTGCTGATCGCTGAGAGGAAACAAGATCTCTAGAGCCTCGTGTACTTCGTAACATCTAGCCAAAAGTCTCCAACATAAGCTTGGTATGCCTGATCATGAAGAAGCAAGTACTTTGCAATTCTCCTTGCCTTCGACTCAAGGCCAGCATGTTCCGTTATATGCGTACCTATTGACTGCTTAGGCAGCCGCTTGTCATCATGGCCTGTAGGACAAGGCGTTATCGTCACAGATTGCTTCGCTGGGCAGATTTTGTGGCGAAAATAAGCGACAATTGCTGAAAAATGTCATCATAATATCGATTTACTCATCATCGGTGAGCCCGGTAACTACGCGTTTCTCAGCATCCTTTGCTGACGTCGTGACATCAAACTGCATGATGCTAATGAAGTCCGGGCTATGCTTAATCGACAGCCTCGTAGTTCTAGATCCACGTTGGCAGATCACAATTTAGCAAGTTCAGCTTCGAAAAGCTGTAAGCGGCTATTGCAAGGCTTCTTCTGGAAAGGCCCCCAAAGGTGACATACTAATGTAGTTAGTAGTTGTTAGATGCCTCATGTCTAGCCTCCGGACCGGTATGCCCGGAAAACGGAGCAAAATCGGAGATAATCCAATAATAGGCCAAGTAGCGATACGCCAGCAGTTGAGATTACACCCCACACAATGAGGGTCGCAACTTATACCTACACCGGAGTAGTCGTAGTCGTACCAGCAACCGTCCTCAGCCTTCGTTGAAAAAGTGGAAAGTGTATCAGATCATAATCTGGTTGCCTGCTAGAGTAGGACCGGGCGGTAATACTCGTACGGTCTAGTAAGGATGGAGGGCTCGGCGTTCGGCAATCGCAACATTTACTCCGTCCAGAGTAGAGATTCCGAGAGACCCGAGATTAGGAGAGTATGCATCTAGCCACCTAGTTTTTGTTCGAATCGACATTGCCAAGCACGACGGAGGCTCTACGGAGGACTACGTAAGACCGGGGCGATAATTATAGATGTTCGATGACGTTCGATGGGGTTTCCATCTGCCTGCCTATTGCAGCCGCGGAGGTATACAGTACACCGGAGTAGCCATGGTGTAGATGTGGCTGTGTGGATGCGATCCCGGGGGGCTGTACGGGTATCGTACGGTGGAGCCGGCCTGCCTAGATGGATACATAACGTCAACCTTACACAAATAATATACATTAGCGGTTTATTTGATACTCCAACTCAAGAGAGTAAAACTTTCAGCTGACTCGACGACGAGTACCTGGTCGGGTGTAATTTAGGCACCAGGAAAACATGTGATAGGTAGAGGCGTGTAATGTAGGTATGCCTAAGGTATGAAGGACATCATCGCAAAATTCCCCGATCAAGACTGATCCAGGTTGATCCTCATCGCATTGGCGGGGTTCAAGCATACTCCTTCGGTAACTACCAGTAGTCACTAATAATTCCCGTCTGATATACCTACCAGGAGGGGGAGCAGCACGGGGCAACTGCATACGGAGTAGTGAATGCATGGCCGCAGGAAGCACAGCCACCGCAGTTTCTAGAAGAATGACGACGGCATCGCCACGATAAGTGCGGTACGGTACGGTAATTCCGAGTGGCTTTTCCGCGGGATGGGGCAGCCTCAGGCCAGGATCCCTTACCCGAACAGGCAATTTGGGGCTGCCGGGTGACGGTACGGTGACTGCAGCGTGTATCATTGGGCGTCGGATACGCAGTGGAAGCGTACGGCCTTGGCGAACGGGGTTTTCCTGGTCTCTTTGGTGGGGTTTCCATCAGCAACTCAGCCCTGCAACGCCAGATCACCTTATCGAGTGGCCAAACATTTATTATAAAAGGACGAGGGGCTCCCCCGTCTCCAAACTTCCATCCCTCATCACAGTCTTTCTCTTCAACCACCTTCAAACCATCTCTATCCTCTTTTTAATCCATCTCACTTCCATCTCACATCTATACACAACCATGTCTGGCCCTTACGATCAGTACAACCAGGGTGGCTACGGTGGCGGCTACGGCCACAACCAGGGCTACCAGCAGCAGCAGGGTGGTTACCCCCAACAGGGTGGCTACAACCAGGGTTACGGACAGCAGCAGCAGGGCTACGGCCAGGACTACAACCGTGGCGGAAGCTCCAACGACTACTATGGTGGTAGCAGCGGCAGCAGCTCCAACGACTACTACGGCGGCCAGCAGCAGCAGCAGCACGGCCAGCAGTATGGTCAGCAGTCTCACGGCCAGTACGGCGGTCAGGAATCCTACAACCAGTACGGGTACTCATTTTATTATTCCCCTATCCTCTATCAACGTCTGGTGACAACATGACTAACTCGTTTCTATCAGAGGTGACCAGCAACAGGCTCCCGGCGGTGCCCAGGAGGGCGAGCGTGGACTTGGTGGAGCTCTTGCCGGTGGTGTTGCCGGTGGCTTCGCCGGTCACAAGGCTGACCACGGTTTCCTCGGAACCATTGGTGGTGCCATCATCGGTAGCATCGCGGAAGATGCCATGAAGAAGCACAAGAACAAGAACGAGCAGCAGGGCCCCCCTGAATACGGCAGCGGATACGGTGGTTCCCAGGGTCCTCCCCCCTCCAACCAGGGCGGTATGATGGACCAGCTGGGTGGCTTCTTCAACAAGCGGTAAATGAGCTGAACATGCGCGTTCACCTTGCATTCCTCCGTTTCACCTTCATCTCGTTGACGACTATGCCACGACTCTGCTGAAGCCTAGAAAACTTTAAATGCCTTTCGGCTGGACGGGATCTGCATTGCTTTTCGACATCTTCTTTTCACGTTTTCTTTTATCTGGTCTATTATCTTCATATTCATGTTGATGGGGTTTTTTTTTCTTATTTCCTGTTATTTGCGAACCTGAGTATACCCAGCTCAGTTTTTATGAATGCTATGGATACAACTTTTCAATGATGGCTCGAATTCATTATCATTTTTCTTTCCTTCATGATATAATTTTGCGGGGTAAAGCGTAGTGTAGTAGAATAGTTAATGGCCTAGATCTCTATGTGGTGGATTCACTCAGAGACTTGACTTTGACTGAAATCTGGATACTTTTGGAGGCGTTGCGCCATCCGGAAAATAGTCGATAGCCCCTCACCCCGCCAAGTTTGGTCGAGGATGTCCGAGGTTATCTATGAGACGGCGTAGAGGGCAGGAAATCGGAGATTCAATGGTTTATATTCTTTCTGATTGATAGTGAATTTACGATCTGATGTTTTTCCCCTTCGTCATAATTGATTTCCAGAGGGTGAATCCCAGTCTCAGCGTCATTCATCAGAGGTTGCTTGGAAGAATTGAGTCGGGACGACTTCTCCAGGCCAGTCAATATGCGCTAACCGTATGTAGTTAGCCCCATATATTTATGCCTCAGGCTTCGACAGGTGCCAAGCCCGACATCAAAAGTTCGCGCGGAAGATCCCCTTGAGACCATCGGAGTCCCATAATTGACTCAATATAGCACAACATGATTGTCCGGTATCTGTGTGCGCGGCAGAGTATGTTAACCGCTAGAATGAATCCGATGGGCTCTCCTGCAATTATCATGAGACTAATCTGTCTTTCGTCGCAGGCCGCTCGTTTCTTGCTCTCGGCCGCCGGGGTCGCTTCGTGAACAGACTTTACTCAACAGAGACGCCAGTGATCGAGACTGAAGTGCAAACTCGGGTTGAAGACCATCCGGCTCAGCTAGAGAGCTCTTTGCCATCGGTCTCGGATGAAGCTCGCAATGCTGCCCAAGAGGCTTTCGTGAAACGCAAGACACAAGGTGAGCAGAGCACTGTGGCTTCGACCTCTCTTCGGACCTCGCGGTTCATAGGATATGATAACTGATGTTCTGGCGTTTAGAAAGCAAGTTCCGTGAACTTGGTACTAAGGTTGCCAATGCCTACCAGCCCGAGGATCTCATTCGATTTCCCCCCAAGCCTTCGGACATCACCCTCGAACTGCTTCTCGCCTCCCAGACACACCTCGGACACTCGACGTCTCGCTGGAACCCCCAGAACTCCCGCTACATCTTCGGTATCCGTGACGGCATCCACATTATTTCTTTGGACGTGACCGCTGCCCACCTCCGACGTGCGGCTAAAGTGGTGGAGGAGGTCGCCGCTCGCGGTGGTCTGATTCTTTTCGTGGGCACGCGGCCGGGCCAAAAGCGATACGTGATCAGGGCCGCAGAGCTGTCTCAGGCCTACCACGTCTTTGAGCGTTGGACCCCCGGCAGTTTGACCAATGGACAGCAAATCCTGGGTCACTGTGCCACCAAGGTTGTGAACGCTTTCGACCAGGAGCTGCCCGCCTACCGGGAGACTCTGGAGGAGAGCTCTGCTCTCAAGCCGGATCTTGTGATTTGCCTTAACCCCGTTGAGAACGAAGTCCTCCTGCACGAGTGTGGTGTGAACAACATTCCTACCATCGGTGTCGTCGATACGGATGCCGACCCTACAAGTGTCACCTACCCTATTCCTTCCAACGATGATAGTTTGCGTGCCGTCGGCGTCATTGCTGGAGTCCTGGGACAAGCAGGACATGCTGGCCAGGCGAGGAGACTGGAGGCGGCTCAAAGGGGTATTCTCACGTATGTCCCAGCGGAAATTCAACTGAGTGAGGCCCAGCAGGAATTAGAATCCAAGAACCAACAATAAAGGTGAATGGTGATCGTGCTGGGGTTTCTATCTCGGGGTTTTCTTATGTCTATGTCTAAGTTTGAAAATATGCCATGGAACTGTATTGTATAGAACATTGTATATCCTTTTTTGTTGTTTCTCACTGGTGTTGCTGCATGTATTAACAAATTTATTCGAATTGGGAACTGCTTTCTGTTATGTCACGGGATGAGGCCTCAGGCCGGAAAAAGTAGTCTATCCTACAGCTCTCTACTGTTCAATCTAAAGAAGTACGCATACGTTTGGGAACTATCATGCTGACAACTCAGCTTGAAATTGCCACTCTAGGTTCATTATCATTGCACCACTCAGTTGACTACTAAAAACTGCTCTGCTAATCTTCTCAGTTCTTGACAGTGTACACGTTGCGGCCCCGTTTGTCGGCGCCCTTGTACTCGACTGTCTTTCCAGAGTCAGAAACAACGCGTCTCTCATCACCATTGTGCAGGATGATATCCAAATCCTTCCACGCAGGGACAAAGCCCCCGTGCTCATCGCGAGAGAACCCGACGATGACCCTGTCTTCTGCTGAGCTATAGTTGAGCGTGTATCGTGAGATGGTCGGATCAACCGAAATCCCATCATCTTCAAACCAGGTAGTAGAGAAGGCATTGTTGTGGGAACTGCCCCGAGGCGGGAAAATTTCCACTCCTCTGTAGTCGTCCAGCTCTTCCACTGCCAGCGAAGCAGCGGTCTCATCACCTGGCACTCTCGTCTGGATGGACTTGCCGACGGGAATCGCGCCGCCGATTTTGGCGAGAAGCGGAATACTCGTTTTCCACTCAGAAGGCACTTCGATCCATTGGCCTGAAGCGAAATACGTGTATGGTGCGTTCATGTTCACATACCCATAATCGAACTGGGTGTTTGTCTTTCGGGGCAGATATACCTTGCCAACGCTGACGCCGGGCTCATATACACCTCCAACAAGAATGGTGTCGCCGAACCAGAACTGCTCTTCACCAGATTTGAGAGGCTTTGTCCAAACTTCGGGATCCGTTTCGAAGCCCCAGCCGACCCAACGCTGGGGCGGTGATGCTGTGAGATGACTTTCTAGGCCGAGCGAGTAGATGTATGGCAGGATTTCATATCTGCGCTTGATCGTATCTCGAATCAGTGGCGTGATCTCGGGATACATCCATGGCTCGATAACGTCCCCTACAGAACTGTTTCCTGGGGAGGTCTTGAAACAGTTGATGGCGAATCGTGGCGAGTAGATTCCTAATTGAACCCAGCGGAGAAGGAGCTCGGGGGAGGGTTGAGGTCCTGGTGCGAGCAAATCAGTCTTGTTGCTCTGTTTAGGGCCAAGAGAATTAAGGGCGCGTGGGAAAAATACCTTCGAATCCACCAATATCATGACCAGCGCACTGGAAAAGTAAGTATACTTCAGTTTAATGTTCTCTACCAAGGGGGAGCTCACCTGCAAGAGGGATATTCCTGTGTTAAGAGACAGGGAGTTCGATCCTTTCATGCCCTCCCAACTGGTTACATTGTCACCGCTCCAGGTACTAGCGGCATATCGCATAGTTCCCGGAGTGGCACTTCGAGTCAAGACGAATGGTCGGTTCTTGGGTTCCAAGTTAAGAAGTGCATCATGGGAGGCTTTCCCCATGAGCTCAGTGTGTATCGCACGACCCCAGAGTCCAACGGTGTCGTCTTTACTCTGTTTCTGCACGGCCTCGGCCACCGTTGGCTCATCAAGAGCAACTTTCCAATCGTCATTAGGGAGAGTGTATTCGTTGTTATCATTCCACATCGCATCGATACCGACGCGCTTGAGACTTTGAACGCCATCGTACCACCATTTGAAAGCGGCGGCTGAGGTGAAATCGATGTGGCACCCGTCACCCCCTGTTGCACCCCCAGCACTCCACAATCGCATGAAACCCGGCTCTTTGGTAGTCGGATCCTTGAAGAACCCACCTGCATCGACAAGCTTCTTGAAATCAGGGTGAGAGGCGAGAAGGAAAGGCTTGATGTTGGTTAGAAGGCGGATACCCCGCGAATGGTACTTCGCAATCCATTCATCTGGCTTAGGAAATCGATGGTAATTCCAATTGAAGACATTGCGGACCTTGGGCTCTTTTGTCGCAATTGAGTAACCCGAGCTCATCTGGTGGGCGGAGCACGGAATATCGTGCTCTCTCAGCTTATCCGCAAACTCCATGAGAACCTCATTTGCAGGCGGCTCATCCACCATGGTGTATTTGTATCCGCCCGAAATGTACCCGTATGCCCAACGCGGGGCGAGAAGAGGGAAGTCAACCAGCTCTGCGTATGACCTGACCACATCCTTGAGAGTCTTTCCGACAATGAGATACTGCTCAAGACCACCGTAGTCTTGACGGTAGACTTTGAAATGACCCCAGAGACCATCCACTTCCGATCCGACGGACCAAGACCCTCTTCCATGAGTTGTCGAGAAGATAGCCACACATCCTTGCGGGGTGGCTTTGATCAACAAAGGAATGTGTTTATACAGCGGGTCGGTGTTATAGACATCGTATCCGAAACTGTCGGTGGCAGAGAGCAGGAAGTGCCGACCGCTGAGATTCATCGGTGCTCTCTTCTCACCCAGGCCAACATGAAGCGCATCACGGTCATGTTCGCTATAGTTCGCGATGCCCTTGGCATCCGCGACATAGGATCGCAAAGGCAGATCTCGATACAATGGCTTGTTTTGGTCCTTCCAAGACAACGAGACCACAGGGGTGTGTTCCCAATCCACCGATGCCTTTACGTCGCCGACCTCAATTGTTTTGTGCGAGACCTTTGTCGCTGTTGACCTAGCATTGTCGACATTCGTTGCTGGCTTTTTCACGTTCGGATACGGAGGGAGAGGGTGGTCTGGAGATGTAAAAGTGACACGGAACAAGTTTTCACGCACTGCTTCGAACGAGAAGTCAAATGCCTGCTCCTTCGAATCATTCGAGCGAAGATGCACCTCTGATGGAGTGATGCCTTGAAATGCCGTTTCTTGGTAGCCCTTAGGGCAAAATTCCTTCTGAGGCATTATGGCACAATTGGACGAGAACAGTGACTGAGAATGTTGTACTTCAGGACGAACACAGAGCACGAACTTTGAGAAAACCAAGACATGACGCCGTATTTGAATCCTTCCCTATTCTCCCCTCCAGATTCGAGCTGCGGAGAAGGGCTGCGTGGTGGTTGCATCCCCTCATGGTCTGGATGATCGGATTTCGGGGATCATCTCCGATATGCCTCACCTTGGTTTACTAGCTTAGCCCTTTCATGTCGCCTCCCCAGGTTCACCCCGGTTCCCCCCGCAAGGCTTGGCTTTCAAGCATCACCCCACTGACGGCAAAGGAAATGCCGACCACTAATCGGCATACATGGCCGAAAGCCGATGCTTGATTGCCAAAACGTCAGTCAACACCCCCGCGTCCTTGCCTTGCCGTCTCCAAGGTCATGGATATGCTTCAATTGGATGGCGCATCGGATATTGTCCGACTGTCCTCATATTGTTTATCCTATCATGTGTTACCGGCGCCCTGTCGACAAGCACTACGAGAGTCTATCAATCATGCCATGGCTCCTATTTGTGTAATGGCTCACTCACATGGATGTCGGACTTGGAGTGCTCTCGTCCGGGGTTGGCGGTTATTGAATTTTCCCCACGGGGTTGAGTTACCCCCGTCTTCATGTTACGCTGTTGTGTCCTCTACAGGGGATAGATAAGGTTGTCATTCTCGTTCTAAATACGTCTCCTTACCCCCTCTTCAGTTGCTCGTGGATTCTATCTTGACCCTCTACCATTACAGCCCTTAGACAGCCTATTATATTACTACTTGGTTGTCTTCAAGACTAGGGATTCCATTGATTTCAAGGCATCATCAAAGACAAGGAAGAATACAGAAAAGTATGTCACAACAAGGCGAGACTCCCTACGCGAAACCAAGACAAGATGAGCAGATTGAATATGCTCCAGCCGAACCAACCCAGGGACACCTCCACCAAAACGAGAAGAACCAGGACAAAGGCCTTGAACTCATTGAAGATATGGGTCGCTCCACCGTACTGACAGCAGAGAGCAACTCCAGGGTCCTCCGGAAGATCGACTTGAGGCTTCTACCCCTTCTTCTAGGCATTTACTTCTTACAGCAACTCGACAAATCCACCCTCTCGTACGCCTCGGTGTTCGGATTGATTGAGGACGCAAACCTCAAGGGTCAAGAATACTCCTGGCTCGGATCAGTGGTCTATTTGGCACAGCTGGTAGCTCAGCCCTTTTTGGCATACATCTTGGTGAAAGTACCGCTGGGGAAGTTCCTTGCATGTACGACCTTCCTATGGGGTATCGCTTTGACATGCATGACCCCGGCAAACACCTTTGGAGGATTGCTGGCTTGTCGGCTTTTTCTGGGGCTATTTGAAGCTGGGATCCGTAAGGCCTTCATTGTGTACGGGATATTCTTGTTAGTATGTGTCTGACTTCGCATAGCCCCTGCTTTCATTGCAATCACGCAAATGTGGTATCGCCGTCTCGAACAGCCTATGCGGCTTGGGTCGTGGTATGCGATGAATGGCGTGGTATATATGGTACGCTGGCTGCTCCTAGTATGAATACCCAGGGTATACTTTTACTAAGGTGTCATCCGGATGGGCAGTTCGGAAGCTTGATAACCTATGGTCTTGGTCATATACAATCTTCCGTCTTGAACCCATACCAGGTAAGGATGTTTCTCTCTCTCACGAAAGCGTATATGTTACTGACTGTCCGCTTCTGTATCCTAGATTATCTTTTTGTTCTTCGGCCTTATCACCATCGTGTTCTCCTTCATCGTGCTGTGAGTGAATTGCCAAATGACTGCTATGCTCGTCTAACCTGCCGTGAAGTGCCTTTGTGCCGGACTCGCCCGTACAATCCAAGTTTCTTGAGGAAGAGGACAAGTTATTGGCAATCGAGAGGTACATCCGCAAGCCATGGACTATTGAACAACTGCTTATACAGATGGACTAGGCTCCGAATGAACCAACAAGGAATTGAAACCCACGAGTGGAAATGGGACCACGTGAAGGAGGCCTGCCTTGACATTAAATCCTTCTTCTGGTTTGCATTGATGTTCTCCATCTCGTAAGACGTCTGCCAAAAGTCTGACTGCGAAAATGTCCTAACTTACAAGGAACTAGCATTCCTAGCGGTGGTATCTCGACCTTTGGCCCGTTGATCATTCAATCGTTCGGGTTTGATCAGTTCAAGACTATTCTCTTTAATATTCCATTTGGTGCCGTTCAGCTTGTGGCGACTATGGGAGGCGCGTGGCTAGCTACATACCTCAAAATGAAGGGCCCGGTTATAGCTCTACTGTGTCTCCCTGCGATTGCTGGCTGCGTGATGTTGCTTGAGTTACCACATGACGAGGCTCATAAAGGGCCTCTTCTCGCAGGATACTACATAGTAAGTTATGAAGGTCGATCATCCGATACCAACATGCTAACATTCTCCGAGATATCGGTCTATCCAGCAATTAGTATGTCCTCCTTGCGATCCCTGTTGTGTCAAGCTAACCCACGATTAGCACCAATGATCTACTCATGGTCTGCAGGAAATACTGGAGGTGAGACGAAAAAGAAAGTCACCAATGGTATACTACTGATTGGGCAATGTGCTGGAAATGTATGTTGTAGGCCACCCAACGAAGTAGACTCATTGCTAAATCACAGATAGGTTCTTGGTCCAAACCTTTATACTACCGAAGAAGCACCTCTATACCGAAGAGGACTACTATCAAAGTGAGGCATACTTCGTTGTACTGTTCATACAACCTACTAATTAGACTATAGCCTTGCGATGTTCTGTGTTCTGGTTTTCCTCTCCCTGTAAGATTCGTCCAGAATGAAATACTTTCTATTATTTCGCTGACGAGCCCCAAGCATAAATATGGCATATCTGCTGTTTCTCAACAAGAAGCACGAGAAGAAACGTGTGTCGATGGGTAAACGCGCGAAGATCATCGACCACTCGATGCATGCTATTGGCGCGTTTCAGACAGACAAGGAAGAATCGCCGACACAAAATGGAGTAAACGATGATAATGCATTTAAAGACCTGACGGACTGGGCCAACGAGGACTTTGTCTATGTTTACTAGGGGCGCTTATTAGGGGGAAGCCTAAAGTCGAATGGGATCATGTTATTAGGGCAAGGGGGTAAGTTAGGTAGAACGTTATCAAATGTAGGATACTAGCAAATTAGAGACTGTATAGTGGCACGAACTGCGATACGATTGTAGCAGACAATTATAGTATGTTATATTGACTGATCAGCCCAGAAAAAAGGAAGCCAGTAGTAGCCGAGCCGGCAATGCTCCGAGCTTCACCCCGCGCCAGTCCGTTCCATCTCTTCCAACCATCTACATATTTCACTATCCATCATCTTAGATTAATTCAACCCTAAACTATTCATCTGATATATAACCAGCCTACAGCATGGAATCGGACGACTCCGGGATAATGGCAGCTCCGCCGTGGAAAAAGCGAATCCCGGTATTACTTGCTGCCTACACCTTGTTTACCTTAGCTATAGACGAATCCATCACTGAATCTGACTTGTGATACGAACAGAAAGCCTGCAGCAATTGCCGACAGTCTAAGGTAAATTTAATCTTATGAGCCTATTTGATAAAACATATCAATTGATACCCTGCTATAGGTTAAATGCGATGGAAAACGGCCATGTACCAGGTCTTTGTCCCTTGGATATTTGTCTCATCTTCACAAATCCGCTGAACCATCAGCAGATGTGACAAGCTCAAGAGAAAGTGTGTGTTTTTTGAGGCGCCCAAGGACCCAGTTACTCAGTACGCATCTCTCATCTCAAATGCAGTGCATTCATCCTTAAATGTCTTTCACCAACTCTCCTAACTAACTCTGATCGTGGTACAGAAGATTAGAGTCTGTAGAAGGTGAAATACAGAACTTAAATGATCAGCTCAAGGAGATACGCGAGGTTCTACAATCGCAAAAATCACAAATCTCTCATGAAAGTATTCAGATCTCATCCCCTTCCCAGCTTGCACCTACTTCTGCAGCGATGACTGCTTTTGATACAGCGACAGACTCTGGAGCAATACAATACAGTCATCAATATAGAGCACCGCAAGTCCAGAGAGAGACACCCCTTCAGAGTCCCCTACAAGCAGCGAACTTGGAGACAACTCGTCCCCCCAAACGAAGACGCTCTGGGTTTGAAGTCAGAAACGAGCCGGTCTTGGATTTCATCAGCAAAGGTCTCATAACGGTTGATTATGCGGTGTCTTGTTTTAAGACGTGAGATAATACCCTCATTTGTGATTACCTAAGTAGAGAGTGTTAACTTGGGATAGGTTTTTCCAAGGATGTGTATGTCCTGTCTTCTGTCTTCCTTGGCCCTATCAACGTCGAGATAATAGCTCATCTGAAATGGTTTGAAGGATAGATATATCCCAATATTTGACCCGGAATATGACACATTCACCTCGGTGCGCTCTCGAAGCAGCATTCTCCTGAACGCGATATGCACCATTGGCAGCCGTGTTGAGAGTAAGATGGCAAACCAGCAACGATGCACCTCGAAGCGACCTAATAGTTTATAGGATCTGGTTCGCAAATGTCCGATTTACTGCACGCAGAGTTGAAGCGGTGGATCAACGTTATCATCCAGAATGAAAAGATGAGCTGTCTAGAGTCGGCGCAGGCCTTGCTAGTCGTCGCCTGCTACTCCGCCGAGCGTGCTCTGCTTCTATCGTTTGCAACCCGGATGGCGCTGGACCTGGGACTAAATGAAGCTTTTGAAGAGCTAACTCACAAGTTGACTATGAAGGAGGTCGAGGAGACACTCGATGTGCCGGGACTGAGGGAAGAAGAGCGTATTCTTATGGGAAAATCCAGAACGTGGTTCGGGCTTTTGGTCCTGGAACATATGTGAGCTCATTATTGTTCGCCCTCTCAAATTTACCACCGAATGATGCCTGATAACTTATAGATTCCGTGTGGATGGTGGCAAACCCCCTGGGATCCGAATGACCGGAAACGCTCGTAGATGTCGTATGCTGCTTCGTCATCCTTCGTCCACGGTCCTGGACCTGCGTCTGTTTTCTCAAGTGGAGGTAAGCCAGCCATAGCAATCTGACGTTTCATGGAATTGACATTCTACTAGTTGAACGTAATCAGAGGTACACTGATCGTATGCATTGCCTCAAGGGAAGCTACTAACGCTAGACACAGTCAGCATCAACGATACTCTCGGTGCAAGCCAGACCCTGAACCGGACAGATATAGCAGACTTCGTGCATGATGCCAAGGGGGATATCGACATCTGGTTCGAGTAAGAGCGTCGTATTACCCTACTTGAATCAATATGATGCCGTAATTAACTAATTCCCAGTGACTGGTTGCGAATTATTGGTAAACAGTCTTATAGACCCCTATCAACGGTCTTCCCACCCAACTTCTTCACAAACTAACCAACAACAACAGAGAACAAAACCGCCGTCGACCAAGAAAAACCATACCTACTCGCCGCACTACGAGTCCAGAAATGCTGGTCCGAAATGATGCTCCACTGCAAAGCCCTCCGCTCTATAGGCGTTGAGAACGTTGCGTGAGTCTAGGCCTTCCTTTCTCTGTCCAACAATCCCTAATCCTGGGCATATATCCAACTAACCTACCCCCCCTACCGAACGGGAGTAAATACAACAGGACCATGTCCCCCGTCGAACGCAACATCTTACTCATGGCCAAAGCCAGCGCGCGCAAACACCTACGCCTCATCAGCGCCGAACCAGACTTCTACCTCGCGAAGCTGAAATACGCCATGGATTTCGTCTGGGCTAAATGCGCATTCTGCTTCCTTCTCCTCCTCAAGCTCTCGCGGCTCCTGCCGGAACGTAAAGAGGAGCACCAGGAGCTGCTGGACCACGGCACCAGTCTCCTGGACGAACTGGCCCAGTCCGGGTCAAATAGCGATACCACCGGGAACGGGAATGTCTATCTGCATATCTTGCGGCTGAGTATTGAGAAGTATGGGAGGACGGTGCAGGAGAATGAGAAGGGGGTAGTGGGGGACCGGGCGGCGTCGGAGGCGACGCCGTTCTGGGAGCTATTTGATGCCCAGGCGGATTTGCAGTCGTTTGTGCCGGAGCAGTTTGTGACAGAGTGGGATTTTCCGGGGTTGAATTTGTTTTATTTTCCGACTGCGTGGCAGGATTTCTTTGGGGATTTTTCGTTGGCGGTGTGATTTTCTGGGTGATTGGTTGTATGTGAGTTCACTTTGATTGATAGTATGTAGGCCACCTAGTATTGTAGTGATGGTGGGAAGGAAGGATGAAGAGATAGATGAATTGAATGCTCCCTTGGGAATGAAACCCTCTCTAATTGGTATGTCAACAGAAAAGAAAAAGAAATCTAAAGCCAAATTTCCCCTCATTCTTGTTGAAAATGAACGAGACATGGATATCAAAAAAATGAAAAAATAGAAGTCATCAAAATAAATGGATCAAGTAAATAACGAGCGCCCAAAGTCAATTTTCAAACGGGGATACTAGTCCCTGTTTAACCCAAAGCTCTCATGGTAAGTTCGACCCTAAAGATAAATCGCCATTAGTATCAGTTGCACGCATAAAAGAATGGCCTCGCTACTCTTGAACAGATCAGAGGAAAGAGTGTGAAAACGTACACGGCGAATGTTCCTGCCGACACAGGCATAGCCCTCAGCAGAGTGGGACCCAGACCTCTCCAGAAACCGCCCAATCCCTCCACGGCGTAGGTCTTCTTGAAGCAGTCTCGCATCGAGGTGAATTGCCGCTGCTCGCCGAACCCGTCGCACTGCATCTTACTCTTGATCACGTCGAACGGGTAGCTGCTCAGCCAGAGCGCCTCACCCGCCAGACCACCGTAGGCAGCCACCTTGAGACTGGAGATCTCGTCGCGCTTGACGTTGTTGCGCTTGGCATCTTGATTCATCAGATACTCGAAGGTCAGGAACCACATGCCGTACGCCTGGATCTCTCGGAGATAAGTGACCGCTTGGCCGCGGAAGAGCCCACGCAGCACGCCCTCGTGGGCGGAGAGCTTCTTGATGCAGTCGATCGGACCGTTGTACAGACGGCCCGCTCCATGCGGCTGAGTCTGCAGACGGATACGGATATGCTCAATGGGCCCCGAGAGCACGGAGTTGGTGATACCCGCAAAACCACCAGCCATGTAGTACTGGCCGTAGGAAAGGCTACTGTCGGCATATTTCTTCTGGTTCAGCGCCTCCAGCCGTCTCCGGGCCTCGTGGAAGGCACCGAATTGCACACTGACCTAGGATGGGTCAGTTTTGGAATTGCCCGGTGGCTGGCTAGATGGGACTCACGCAAGCACCAATTCCGATCAACGGAGTCAAGGTGCCCTTGTAGAAAGCAAGGGGACCCTCATTCTTGAAGATCCTGGTGGCACAGTCCAGAGCACTGGAGTACTGTGTGGTCGTCTGCAGTCGCACCTTGACGATATCTGCAATTGTTAATATCTACAGTTCAACATGCATGTAGCTACATGAGAGGCGCTACTAACCAAACGGTTGGCCTAGAAGCGGGTTAGCGATGTGTTCATGATCCAACCCAATCCATTGGTGTCTCCGATCTTGGCATATGTAGGCGCCATTGCCCCAAATGCTTCAGATCGCAGCACCTGTCATTGACATACCCAGAAGAACTTGCGCAATTCCACCAGCCGCGCCCGCGGACAAGTCCTTGACGGTACGCAGGGCCCCGCCGCCCTTCTCCAGGTCTTCAAAGGCCTCGTATTCCATCTCGACTGCAAGATTCAAGAAGCAAGATTACCAATTGAATCGGGGATATAAGGAGGAAGAGGACAAAGGGAGGAAGACGAAGGCGAAGGTGAGGAAATGTTCGGAGAGGGCGACAATAACGTGCTTATCAGGATAAGAATGCGGGCCTCCGATTCGGCGGGGACGCCGACACACGTGACCCTTGGGCGGGAAACCAGGGCGTAATCATACCGTATTCCGGTTACGATACGTACTATACGGGCTGCTGACCGCCCGGTCACGCGCTAAGCCCGATCGAGGCGCATTCCTGGGCCGGCCGGAGTTTTGCCCCGACGGAAAAGAAAGCGAAGAGAAGGACGTAGAGTCGAGCTCGACCACATTCATCCCCTCTCAATTTCTCCTCCCAATTATGCAGAGGCGGGCGGTCTTGGAGGTGAGTCCTTGCTGGTCCCGGAGCTGCGCTGATGGCATTCCATGTTTTCTGATCTAATCTGATTTCCTCTCCGCAGCTCTCCCGCCGCCATGGTGTCGACTGGTCGTGCGCAACCAGACGCAGAGAGACAGCTTTCACGCCAACGTTAGCCTATGTTCCCCGGCGGAGCTTTCGATCGTCTCTCATATCGCTCGACTCCTCCGACTCGTCCTCTTCGACCGGTGCAGGGAATAATGGGGCCGGCGCTAAGCCTACGCCTACAGGACCGAAATTTGGCGCCCGCTGGGGTAGCAAACTATCCCAGAGACCGGCCGGCCTGAGTTCCGCTGAACAGGCCATGCGCGATGCTCTGGTCGAGAAGGGTAAAGTAGAAACGCAACAGCGAGAGCAAATGCTACAACAAAAGCAGCAGCGGCAACAGCAACAGGAACAGGAAACCCATTCTCGCCAGCATCGCCAGCATCGCCAGCATCAGCCCGAAAGGCGTCAACACGATACAATTGTTCGTTTCGAGGCGTCGAAATGGCAGAAAAGCGGTCGATCAATGCCTTTTCCTAATCGACCTCGAACCGAGGCCCTTGGACCTGATAGAAATCTGGAAACCAACGCTGTATCAATACCGAGACACCTTCGAGAGGTCGACTGGACTTGTCCGGACTGCCAGTATATTTGCTTTGGGAAACATATAACGTGTCCGGCCTGCAAAGCTGTCAGACCAGATTTGAACTCGCCTCCGCCGAGGGATTCTCGGTTCGGCAATCGCCGATCCACGTTGCCGATACGGAAGGTAAAAAGGGGAGAACCACAAGATGGCTCGTTGGCAGGCGATCGGAAAACACGTGCCATGAGGCAGTTTACAGCCAGTCAAGACAGATTTACCGGCCCTCGACTGGTTTACGACACTTCCGAACCAAAAGCAGCGCAACAGACGCCTGAAACGAAGACAAAGTCGGACGCACAACCACCTCGCTCGGAACCGGAGAACCACAAAGTTGAAGAGAAGGCGGATCCCTGGGCATGGAGTTTGTCGTCGCAGAGTTATGACACACTTGCCGACGACGTTGGGTCAGGAAAAACATCAAAGGGTCGAGACGGCCGCAGGCAAAGACAGTATGAGATGGAGGAGGATGAGTACGATGAGGATGACCAATCTCGTCGTCGTGCAGAGCGCAAGCAGAAGAAGAGACAGAAAACGAGACAGAAGGAGGTCGAAGCAGCCCCGATTCCACTATATCTTCCAGAGTTCATCAGCGTCAGCAACCTCGCCGATGTCATCGGCGTGCGTCCGGCTCAGTTTGTTCAGCAAATGGAGGAAATGGGTTTTGAGGATGTCTCATATAGCCATGTTCTTGACGCCGAAACTGCAGGGCTGGTTGCGTCTGAGTTTAATTTTGAACCCATCTTCGACACTGGGGCCGAGGATGACCTGACTTCTGCGCCCGAGCCGGAAGACAAGTCACTTCTGCCGTCTAGGCCGCCCGTGGTGACCATCATGGGCCATGTCGACCACGGTAAAACAACGATTCTCGACTGGCTTCGCAAGTCGTCCGTGGCTGCGTCAGAACACGGAGGTATTACGCAACACATCGGCGCATTCTCCGTGCCCATGCCTTCTGGAAAGACAATTACCTTCTTGGATACCCCCGGTCACGCCGCCTTCCTGGAAATGCGCCGTCGTGGTGCTGATGTGACCGACATCGTTGTCTTGGTCATTGCAGCAGATGATAGCGTGAAACCTCAGACGATTGAGGCCATTAAACATGCGACAGAATCCAACGTGCCCATTATTGTCGCCATCAGTAAGATCGACAAAGAAAATCTCGATCTTGACAGGGTGAAGCAGGATCTCTCCACCCACGGTGTCTACGTGGAAGACTATGGAGGTGACGTGCAGGCAATTGGTGTTAGTGGTAAGACCGGTCAAGGAATGGTGGAGCTCGAGGAGGCCATCGTTACTCTCTCGGAGGTCCTGGACCACCGGGCGGATGCGCAGGGTAACGCGGAGGGCTGGGTGATCGAAGCCACGACGAAGAGCTACGGGCGTGTAGCAACGGCCCTCATCAGACGGGGTACACTCCGGCCGGGCGACATCATCGTCGCCGGAGGAACCTGGGCACGGGTGCGTACTCTTAGAAACGAAGCCGGCGCTTCGATCTTGGAAGCCACTCCCGGAATGCCCGTGGAGATCGATGGCTGGAGAGAGCAACCGTCAGCTGGTAGCGAGATCCTACAAGCCGCGGACGAACAGCACGCCAAGGAGGTAGTCGAATACCGCCAGGAGAGAGCCGAAACCGCCAAATTGGGTGAAGACACAGCGGCCATTAACGAGGCTCGCCGGGAGATAATGGAGAAGCGCCGGCTGGAAGGGTCGGAAGACGGACAGACTGGTGCTGACCAGAACGCGTCCGGTCCGAAAGGAGTGAATTTCATCATCAAGGCCGACGTTGGCGGATCGGCGGAGGCCGTGATGAACTCGGTCGCGGCGATCGGCAACAACGAGGTGTATGCCAACGTGCTTCGCTCCGGAGTCGGGCCCGTCGGAGAATTCGATATTGAGCACGCGGCCGCAGCCAATGGCCACCTGATCTCCTTCAACATGCCCATTGATCCGGCTATGAACCGGATGGCCGAAATGCGCGGCTTGAAGATTATGGACTACAACATCATCTACAAGCTCATCGACGATGTAAAGGACATACTGAGCGAGAAGTTGCCTCCGTTGGTGTCTACTCGTGTCACCGGAGAGGCCGAGATCGGACAGATCTTCGAGATCACCCTCAAGAGCAGGGTAAAGATGCCCATTGCCGGTTGCAAGGTTCGTAACGGAGTGATCAACCGGGCCCGGAAAGTTCGCGTGACGAGAGGCCAGGAAGTTATCTACGATGGTAAGTGTTTCCCATATCAATTCTTGCGGATGCTCCTTTCTTGACTGCAAGGTACTGACTTTTCCAAGGCATGATCAACTCTCTCAAGAACGTCAAAAAGGACGTGACCGAGATGCGCAAGGACACCGAGTGCGGTATTGGATTCGAGAACTGGACGGACTTTGCTGTGGGCGACCACATCCAGTGCTACGAGGAGATCTTCGAGAAGCGACATCTCTGATCTTCTTACCTGCTCACTTCCTGCTCACCGTAAGGGAGGGGCTAGTCGCTCCTATCACTCTTGTATCATTCATTGGATCTTTCTTTGCATTGGGCCCCCGGCGTTCATTTGACTGCAGGCGAACTACCCCATCATCTCCATTATCTTTTCGCCTCTTCTTGAAACTTTTTGTATAATCTGCGCTAATTGGGAGCGGGTGTATGAGTGAGTGTATGTTATGATGCCATATTCTTTAGAAAAACGAGTGGCACGAGGCAAGGAAGACGCAGCGCAAGAGGAAAGGAAAGAAAAGAGCGAGAGATTAGAAATCTCTTTGATATGTGTGTACATGTACAGTATAGAAATCTACATAACCATCCATCCTCTAACCATATACCTTATCTACGCATGTTTTACTCCATCATCTCTCTTATCTCGCCTTCCACCTTACTCGACTCACCCACCTCGCCCAATCTCTCACGTCCTCCCTCTCAAGGATCCTATCCACAGTAAACCACTCCCTCGCCAACTCCTCATTACTCGCCATCCGATGCACAAAGGAATGGCATGCGCGACACAGCCACGCCACGCTATTCAGCATCCACTCCTCATGCCAGCCTTTCTTGCGCACCTTGTCGTGCACCCCCCGCGGAATCAGATGGTGATACGACAGCGGGATCCAGTCGCGCTCGCAGATCTCGCATGCGTCTGTTCGCGTCGTCGCCCAGACCGGTGGCGCGCGCGTCACGGCTCCAACATACTCGGATACTACCCGTGCGAGGAAATCGGATACGTCGCTTTCAATATCCGCGCTGGCCGGGAGGAGGCCGTAGGCGATTAAGGTGTCCGGGACGGATGACGGGAGGGTCGTCAGGATGACGGAGAGGGTAGTGGCTGGTAGCTTAGGGTCTGGTGTATATCGATTTCGGAGGGCTGGGGAGTGTTGGATGGTCGTGTAGGTGAGGGTCTGGAGGTCGGTGGGGAAGGAGGTGAAGATCTCGGTGGCGAGGAACTGTGGGAATATGCGTGGTTGGTATCATATCATATCATATCATATCATATCATGGTAGTAGTAGGGTGGGTGGGTATAGAGCAACGAGCATGGGTTTCATATTGGAGGGATGTAAGGCGCTGTAGGTATATAATTACATCAATGAAATCTGCCAGTTCCTCCGGGTCGCCTCGTAATGCGCTGGACTCGGGTTCTGGGGGTTGTGCGGTGCGAGCTTCGTCTTTCTTTACTTTGCCATTGCGTCGCGGACCGGGCCTATGCGCCTTGCGTTTCGTCTTGGTCGGTCGATGCGTGTCGGATTTCTCGACGATGGCACTGGACAGACATTCTCGGAAGACGGGGTAGTTGGTGTCGCTGGATTCAGAGGTCATTGGAAAGAGAAGAGTTGGAGATACATGCCAGTTAAATGTGGGGGAGAGAAAGGAGGGAAGGGGAGAGGTCACGGGATTGACATCATACCTCCGTGGACCTTCAGTAAGAACTATGGCAGTGTCATTCATTACCTCGAGTTTACATGGAACCTGAACAGCATAAGTCAATGGTATGCCCTAAGCCTCTAAACAACAAGTTGGCCGAATTGATAGATGAACAGTTCAAGGCGCTACCTGCCATTCGCGATCAAGTCATAATATCGAGAATTTACATCTATCTCATTGCGTGAGATCTGGCCCAGACGATGTTCAGATATACAGGTTCAGCCAAGACTTAATGGCAGCTCATGAAGTTTGCCCGCTTCTCAGCTGTGATCCTCACATTAGAGCGACACGGACTGAACATGCCCTGCCAGTCAGTCGTCTTAACGAATGACACTGCGGACATGCTGGCGGCAGATATCAGAACTGTTACGAGGCTACAGAGATTCAATCGTCGTTTCCTTGCAGTCATGCAACGAGTTTGATTGGCAGGATTGTACGCTGTAGAATATTTCCAAACGCTCCACGTAAGAAGAAGGATTTGGGGTAAGGCAGCAAGTTGGTCTGACCTTCTTTTTCCCCTCCGTAATCCATGGGAGAATAGTGGATGTCAGAGTGAATAAGAAGGCGTGATCAGTAAGGTATGTGAAGAAGAAAAGAAAAGGGAAAGGGCCGCAGGAAGAAAATTCAATTTATGGCCGCCCGCTGACCGCCTTGGCTTATCGATAAGGCTAGCGTGGCTGCGTGGCTAAGCGGATGGCGGTGTACAACGGTCCGGTCAACACCAGGCGGCAGAATAATCACCATTCATCATGACGATCGTACCCAACAATAACACCGCTCATTCATCCTCGCTGGACGGTCACGGTCACGGTTACCCTCACCTAACTTTTGACTCGGGTCCTCTTCATCTCGCAATACGTTGAAATTTGGGTCCCCAGTTCAGCATCATGACGAGAGCGTGGAATCTCTACAAAGCTGCATGGCTCTATCCATTCCGGGTTTGTCTATCTCGGTGGCCTGGCCAGGCTATCCAGACATTCTGTACACTCTTCGCGGTCTTCTGGGGCTGACATCTTTCGTTTTTTTCGCAGGGCCTTTATTATTTCGTCTCACATCGCTTCCTGTGGCCTCTTTTCAAGACCCGGTTGATACCCATCGTCTTGTTGTCAACCTTCATCTACTTCCTGCTCTTCTTCTTCACCTACTTGCCGCAGGTGGCGTTCCTCGCCATCTTTCAAGGCAAAGGAGCGTGGGTCAACGGAGCCTTCCTGGTGCTGGGAGAAGGCGCTGTCATAGTGGCCTTGCTATTTGAAGCATTCTTCGTGGATGAAACGCTAGTGGACATCTTCGATGCCGTACTGGTGAACGAGGGTCAAGGGGAGTTGGTCACCACGTCACGAGTGTTATATCCTCAAGGCGATAATGTGGTGCAGCGGTTGGGCAAACCCACCCAGAGCGCCGTCTACGCTCCGTTCTCGCTGCGACAGATAATAGAATTCATCGTCCTCCTACCGCTGAACTTTATTCCGGTGGCGGGCACGCCCATGTTCCTCGTGCTCACCGGATATCGAGCGGGCCCGTTCCATCACTGGCGATATTTTCAGCTACTGGACCTATCAAAACCACAGAGGAAGGATCGGATTTCCCGACAACAGCTGCAGTACACCTCGTGAGTTCCCACTTGGATCCCCCTTTCCCTTCTTTCTCCCCGATAGATCCGCCTGGACGTAATTTGGATTAATCAGCAGCATTGCACAGATTTGGAACGGTGGCTTTGCTGCTTCAGCTTGTTCCCATTCTTTCCATGTTTTTCCTAATGTCGACTGCGGTTGGCTCAGCTCTTTGGGCTGTGGACATCGAGAACAAACGTGGTCTCCTCGTGGAATCCGGTCCGGACCCAGTGGGTGATTTCCACGATAATGAGAATTGAATGACGCCATGAGATGAGACGACTCCCCAATTGTCTGTTAGCTCCCCTGCTTTTTTTTCGGGATGTTCCTTTTTTGTTCGATTTCTTTTCTGGCATAACTTAATTTATCCACCGTGTCACATCCTACGAGATCTCATTTATGAGAGGGCTGAACCAGGAATAGATGATAACCCTGCTTCGGACGATCCCAATGTGGCTTGGGGCTTGATCCTTGACCGTAGAATTGGCAGCATCGACCGTAGGGATCTGAATTTTTTTTTAGGTATGAATCACGAAAGGAACGAGCTGGACGGGTCTCCACTCTGAGGCACCCCTTTCTCTGGTCTTTGTTACAGCCTAGAGCCCACTAAGGCTAGCCGTGCGATGGATTCTGGGTCTCCGAGGCCCTGAAAAGGCGCTGAAGAGGCAATGGTGAGGCCGGTAGTGGATCGCCGACGAACACTAATCGGGAGGATGTCTTCAGTCTATTTGCAATTCTTGTCCGGATCCGAGTCCGAGGATCCGCCCAGCAGCAGGCAGAAAGCAGAAAGAAGGCCGAGCAAAAGCAAAGGCCGCCTGACTAAGCCCACTCCATGATGCTGTCCACGTGATCCGCGCACGGGATCGACGGAGAAGGCTTCCCTGCCAGACTCCGCCCGCTCTGCTGCTTGTCCGTTGAGACGTTGAGCGCTGACTGGAAAATGCGACCGCTGGCATCCCGCGGATCGTAATTGCCAGACCTGTTTCTCTCATCCTGGTTGATCTTCCCTGCTTCCAGTATTTCCCCCGGCAGATCTCCCGGCTCTCTTGATCTCCAGGATCGATCCAGTCCGTTCCTGTTCCGCTTCATCCTGGTGGTACTGGCGTTTCAAAACGTCCCTCGGTCTACTGTGCGAGTCCCATAAAATGCGAAAAACCCAGCGCCACCTGCGAGACGGATGATATACTACGTGCTCTAGGCGCTCTTGGATGCGACCTAAAGCATGGAAACGCTCGTCGCGAAGCCTCGATGCCCATGGACCCACGAACCAGGCTGCGCAAGGCCTGCGATGCCTGCAGTATTCGGAAAGTAAAGGTATGTCTAAGACACCACGAACCTTACTGCGCGCGGAGAGAAAAAAAAATCAATGTGAATGAAGAGCTAAGTGGTCCGTTTCTCAGTGCGACACCAGCGGTCCGCCTTGTCGGTCGTGCGCAAGCTTGGATATCCCCTGCACTTATGAGCGACCGAGTCGACGTCGCGGCCCTCCCAATCGTCATGCAGAGGCCTTCAAGAAGCAAAAGCTGGGCCCTTCTCCAGCTACCTCCCCAAGCCCCTCGGATCAACCTTCGCCTGTCCGACCAGCATCGACAGTGTCTGTCGGAAACAGCAGCCCCTCCGCATTCTTTCCGTCATCTGTAGAATCAATATGCCCGTTTTCAACCGTGCAACTGTTGATCGACGACTACTTTACGTACATTCACCCTCTGATCCCGATCCCCCACGAGCCCACGTTTCGGGCGGCCCTTGACAGAAGAGAAGACCTTACCAATCGTACGTTCTTGGCCCTCACAGCCTCTATGATCGGCACGCTTGTGGCCTCGTTCCCTCGTCGGCCCAAGCTGCACTTGAAAACGGAGGCCGAGAGGGCGGCGTTCCCTCACTCGATGGCCATGGTCAAGAAATGTCGCGATGTTGCCGTGCAAGCCCGAGGCATGGGCTACCTTGATCGAAGCGCCACCGTTTACGACGCGGCCATCAGCTATTTCTTGGGGATCTGTTCGGGCTATATGTACAGCATGCGTCGGTGCCGAACGTACCTAGCTGAATGCTTAACCATGTTACATGTGTATGACCTGTGTCGACCGTCCCGTCGATTGTCCTCGTCTTGTGCAACCAGTCCCAATTCTGTGCCATCGCCACTATCGCTTGATCAGTTAGGTGCAACGGGAGATGCCCCGGGCGATCTGATTGAACAGGAACTCAGCCGACGTCTGTTCTACACCACTCTAGTCGGATACCGAACCCTGCAGCAATTGGGCTCGACAGACACCACCTTTCACGTCCCCCCAGAAACCCCGACGGATCGGTACCCCCCTCTCCCGCTCGAGGTGGACGATGAATACATCTTTGCTACCCATTTGGAACCCCAGCCTGCCCATCGAGTCTCCCGCCTCGTGGGGTTCAACGCTAACGTTCGAGTGTACAACTCGTACAATTCACTCTCGGCATGGGAAATTGCCTTCGGCAGCGGCCAGATCTATGACTGGGAACGACAACGTACGACCATCTGGGAATGCTTACAAAAAGCCAAGTCCGCTTTGGACGGGATTCCCCAAGAACTGGCGCTCCACCGGACCCCGGATTCCACCCCGTCGAGACGTAAATCGACCCTGGGAACCTTCCCCTTGGCAGCAGACCCGAATTTGGTTGAGCGCCATTACATTCAGTACGAAATTCAGAAGGCCAACATATATGCGAGTCAGCTCGGAACGCGGTCCTACTTGGTAGAAAAGTACTGGAGTCTCTACGGGGCCTGGCAGAGATACCAAATGCCGGCAGACCAACGACAACACTCCAAAAGCCCGTTGCCGATAAAGGTGGAGGACGAGCGTCCCAATCATTACCGGGCACCTAGCTCAGATGCCCAATTGGACGGTCTCGGAAAGATCATGGCGGAAGAACGCCGGCTCGTGATCCGCGATCTTTCCGTGCTGTTGCGATCCGTCAATGAGGTCAACATGGAGCCCAACGGCGCCAGTTTTGTAGGTTTTCCCGCATCTTTCAACCCATCTTTACGAAAAGCTAACTTACCACTTTCTAGTCGAGCAAAGTTCGCCAAGTTGCGTCAACTCTTCTAAATCTTCCCAATCCAAGGACGGATACATCAACCCCCTCCACCACCGTAGCCGCCGGTCCACAACCTCTCACCCTCGCCGAAACCGAATCCTACCTCCACGCTTTCATCGACACTCTTGTCCGACTAGAAGGCTTAGCCGCTCCAACACCCGGCGTCACTAGCGCCAGTCCCCCCGCTAAGGGCCGCTCAATGAGCTACCTGAGCGACCATGAACGCGACGAAGAGGAACTGCGCCAATGGGCCAGCCTCAAAGAATACCAAGTCAAATTCGCCGAAGGGGGTGGTATGTTCACTGAATTATGACGAAATACTTTCCCTTCCTTTCTAGATCTTATATCCTCGATCCTTTCCTTTATATTTACCATATCTACCTCATACCCCACCTTTACACTTTCCCTACCACTCTTCTCTTTCTCTGTGAATTTTTTCTCTACCCTGTCTATACCACGAAACCTTTATCCCCACAGTTACACCCCTGGATAAAGAAAGAATGGGCCGAGGGCGTTCGACCCACCGGGTCCTGATTGATTGATTGATTGATACTTTGCTGGCTGGGAGTTGCTCATTTGTTCGCTTGTTTTATATTTATTGTATACCCTATCTTTGGAGGTAGTGAGATGATGCTCCTCTGCCTGATCTGTGTCCAATGTTTGATATTTTATCTACCTTTGCCTATTTCATTTTCATCTTGATGTTTCTACCTGGTTCCGATCTATTACTTGTATCATACCTAGCCCTCTTGGCTGTCTGGAATCAAGAATCAAGATATATCTTGAGTAAACAACGCTCGATTTCGATTTCATAATCTTATTATATTGTCTTGTGTCTACATATTTTTCAGCGTTGTCCTCTTCTTTTTAGTCTCTTCTTGAAAGAGATTAATTACATACAAAAGACCTGAAGATTCTGTCCTATGGAAACCTAAAATCAATATAACTCTCCAATCTCAAGGAGGAAATCAAAAAAGAAACGAGCGGACCAATGTTCAACAATAAAGGAAAACCGAAGCAAGGAAGATAATCATCTCCAACTGACTCACGAACCAGCCGTCACCGTGAGCGTTGGATGTATATAGACCGTCTTAATCTCGGTCTCGGTCTCAGTTTCCGTCTTCGTCTTCGTCTTCGTTGTCGTTTCCGTCTTGGTTTCCGTGACGGTGACGAATCCCTGCGGAGTCACAGGCACGACTTGAAGACCCTGAAGGTATTCAATGGCGCCAGTCGGTTGTGCGGCAGAAGTGGTTGAGTATTCCGTGGCGGGCACTCCTCCCTCCGCAGTGGGCTTTATCTTCCGGGACGGGGACGGTGGGTTGGGGATGTCGCTGGCTTTTTCTGTCTGGTTTGGTGTTGCGGTCGCCTCAGGTTCCTGGGTGGTGGTTTGGGGGTCTTTTGTTTCTGCAGATGCAGGCGCCTCGGGCTCGTCGGAGGCAGGTACAGTGACGACTTTGGTTACCGTGGAAAAGGCGTGGATTGTCGTCACCGTGTCAGTCCCTTTGGGGAGACTACTATGTTGATGAGGTGCCGTTGGCTCTGGGATAGATGTCTCAGGATCTCTGGAGGGGCCGGTAGGGATTTCGGGGATGGCAATCGTCCCGGAGGGCCGGATGGTGGTGTGGGTGGTGGTGGTGGTGGTGCTGCTGCTGGTAGACGACATGGACGTGCTATCAGAAACGCGCAACCAGGTGTTGGTCCAGGATGTGGACTGTCCGGGAGTTACAATCACGATAACGGGATCAGATACCGATGGAGCAGTGTGTTGGTTGCTCGTAGGCAATCCGCTGCTGATGACAGACGAAGGTTCCTTCTGCGCAGAGTTGGATGTGATTGTAGCAGTCTCTGTTGCAGATTCATCTGCGTTGGTAGGCGGGGGCGTCTTGTGTGTTTGAGCAGAGGAGCTTGAATGGATCGTGAACTCGCCAGGGAAAGGAGTTGTCGTACTCAATCCCGTAGGGAGCGAACCACTAGGCTTACCAGTGTCGAGATTGCTCCCAGTGGCGACTGAGTTCGAATGTGCACCGTTTGTTGTCTCCAAGGGGTTTGGGGGAACGGAGAGGGAAGAGCCGCCTGAGACTTCTCCTGGCAAGAGTCCTACTACACCAACAGCCAAATTAGTTGAAGTTGCTGGAGGTGCCGAGGACTTGTGCGAGTGGCCAGTTGTAGAAGCAGCCACACTACCCGCTGGCGACGACGGAGTTGTAGGGGGAGTTGTAGGCGTCAAAGGACTGGAAAGCGAGGGAGACAGATGCGTTCCATGACCTGTTGGCTCGGTACGATGCGTGGTGCCGTGAGGGGTACCTGACGGGCCTGAAACAGACGGCCTCTGGGCTGAATTCAAAGATAGCGGCGGAATGGACGAAGATCCAGTTGAATGCTGTTCACTCGATTTAATTGCCGGGTTAGACACGGTTGCACTTGCACCCGAGGGTGTCTGCCCCGGAATTTGAGGCGGCGACGGAACAGGAGGGGATATAGTTGAATGCAGCCCGGCTGAATGGACTGAAGGCGGACTATGGGCCGTTAGGCTTGGACCTGATGGAACATTGTGGGAGGTAAGGGATGGCGATTCAGTTGGATTTTGACTGCTCAAAGTGATGTCGGTATGACCATGCACCGTCGGACTTGATTGGGATGGAGTGGCGTTTGAGTTCTCGGGAGTTGGAACTGAAGTAGACGTAGAAGTAGCCTCCTGGCTCGGGTGTGCTGTGAGATTGTCATCCGAGGTTGTGGAAACTGAAACGGTTGATTGAGTTGTAGTTGCAATTGTATGCGAGAGCACAGGAGCCGATGCAGATGACTGTTCAACGCTTTGAGTCGTAGGATGGGTATGATCCGCTGAACTTGTATCAGGTACAAGTGGACTTTGGGTGAGGGAAGGTGTCACAGGGATGACAGTTAAGAAATCGTTCTTTTCACTACTAACGAATCCCTGGAGATTATGCAGAACCAACGACGAGGGCTGGGATATGTGTGCCGATTCATCGCCTGGTCCCAAATCCCTAATTTTTGGAACGAAATGAGCGATCGGGCCAGCCGAACAGCAAAGGAGGAAAAGAAAATTAACGAGGGTCAGATGTATCAACTGCATTTTGTCATCGACAATTGATGGTGTCAATAAACTAGTTCAACAAGTGAATGAACGTACGCAAGCCGTTAAAGAGAGATATGGGACGATATGAAATATAATTTGAACAAAAACTGCATGTTGCACATGAAAATGCGTCTGGGTTGATTAGATACTCATTATTGATTAAAGCAAAAGCAAAAGAATCAAATAAAGCGAAACGACGACAGCGTCAAAAGAACGAAGGAAGATCAAAGAACGAGTGAGGTTGGTGACGGAAGGAAATACAGGCCAAGGAAGCGAACCTGGTCTTTTTAAGCACTCAGGGTCCCAAGTGGCAGGCAACTCCATTGTTTGCTGGCTAGGGTCTAGGCTGTCATTGTTTGCGATGCGATTCTGCAAGCTGTGAATGGCGAGATGAGAGGAACAATGAGAAGCTTTTTTTAGCTTGAGTGGGTCAGGGATGAAAGGATAATTGGTGGTTGCAAGCGCGTACTATAAAAATAGTCGAGAACGTTGCAGTAGACGCCGGGGTGTTTTCGGCGATTACTGGTTGATTGGCGTTTGCATTGGCAGGGGTATCGATGGTTTGAGGGTCCGTCTTTCTTGGCCATTCTGCAGGTATTGCCTCGTTGCCAATAATATGCATTCAGAGACACTTGCCCTGGTGACTCGGCGGCTCATCGTCCAGATGGGCCGGTGGCACAGAACTGCTGCCTGTGGTGAAGCTGGAGACCAGGGCTTACTGACGTTCATGACACAAAAATTTAATTGTTTGTTGGACCTCGCCTATCCGCATGATCTGACTAGGTTCTCCTGCGTCGACAACAATCGGGGAGCTGACGAATCCAATGTCCGAACCCCATTATTCCTGACTAGACAGCCACCTTGAAGGGGTGGCCTATGCCCTCAAAGGACGAAATCTTCCCGTCAATACTCTTAGAGTCGCCGTAATAATGCAGGCGGTAAGTTCCATCCTGCAAAGGGCTAGGGTTCCCAACGTCGTAGAAATCATCCTCGATATGCCATTGAAGAGTCACTTCACTATATCCCAGAACTGTGTTTGTTCTTTCCCACTGGTAAACAAGACTCCAGTCGTGGTCGTTTCGTACGACTTCCCAGGTGCTAGTGCCGGATTTCTGTCGTTCGACTGCAGCGAAAGTGGACTCAAGGTGAAGGTTGTTACGGGGATTCGCTCCTACAAAGGTCGCTTTCACCACGTCACCAGGTCCGTAGGTCACATTATCCGCCGACGGAATGACATCCCCGAATGCTTTGCCTGAGGGACGGCCGTCATAAACGACACCGGGGATGAACGTGAGTGATTTGTCGGTGTTTATCGGAGGGGTCACGCCGGAGGGAATTGGGGGTAGCGCGGCTGCATCCCCACCGAGATGAGGAAGATACGTCAAAGTAAGATTGATGTACGCAGCCAGGGTATTAGGACCATAGAGAGTGGAGGCACCCTCGTAGCGCTGGGCTCGATATTCCTCCTCGGTGGCTACATAATGCGCATAGCTGTTAGATGGAGCCCCCAATACGGCCAATGGGTTCTGAACCGAAAGGGTATCTTTCGACGATTTGACAATCGCCTCCTTCCAGCGCCGCCCAGACATAGTCGTCGCCTCACTTGTCGAAATAATTATAAACAGCTGGCCTACTCGGAGAACCTGAATGTCCACGATATTCGGGCTCCACGGGTATGGTTGATCGATGGAGCCCACATCCAAGAGAACCTCTTTTGGAGCCTGGCATGCTTTTTGTGCCTTTGAAGGCTGGTGAAGGAACGCTCGCGCCACGTACCACAGTGGATTCTTGTTGGCCGGTCCACTACTGTTCTGGGAGAAATCAAAGAAGCCCGGTCCATCGGTGGTACCGCCAGCAAATGAGAACCCCAGAGCCGCCGAGCATGTGGATAAAACGCTAGAGTTGAAAGGAGACACGAACTTGTAGCCGGATAGATCTTGATACACATGGAAGGAGTGCACATGGGAGCTGGGAGAGATCTGGATAGACTTGGAGTCCAGGTCGTCGTATAATTGTCGAGCAGCCACATACTGGCGCCGTCCGATGTCAAAACAACTTTTGGCGCCGTTGTCCTTTTCCCGGAAGAACGGCCCACGGCCATGACAGTCTTCTGTCTTCCCGCCGCAAGTGCTGTCGGAGTAACGGCATTGCTGCCCTGAGCCATCTTCGCACCATGCGCCCAAGGTATTGGGAGATGTGTCGCCGACATTGGACTGAGAAAACCCCGCAACGAAATTATCTGCAAATTTCCCATTGTTGCGGACACTCCTCTCAAATAGCCATGCAGCCACACCTTTGTTATCTCCAGTTACAAGCGTGTTGTTGTTATACATCGACGTGCCATGCACAGGGAAGAAAGTCAGAACGGCAGTTGTCTTGTTGTCCGACTCCCGATCAAACCGCAGCAGGGTCATTGATTTGTCTACATTGGCCGAATATTTCGCCTTCTCTTCCTCGGGGTTGTGATCGTAGGAATATGGACTCCTGTTCACATTGGCATCCTCGACGTCTATCGAACCGAAGTGCAGATGCCCGGGGGCCAGACTTTCATGGGCTCGTTTAATGGACAGCAAGACTCCATCGACGACCGCCCGATAGCTTTGCTTGTCGAATCCCTTATTGGGGATTTGAGGCAGAAGGTAATTCATCCAGGCGCCCGGGCCCGAATGGGAGTGTGTACCCGTGAGGGCTACGTTACTCTCGCCATAGCGCGAGTATTCGTTCCCTAGGCCAGCGAGGCCCTCAAGAACCCCATGGCGGATCCCCGTGTCGCCTGTGAGAGAGTCAATGATTATGTAGATGAACGTGTCCTCCGGTTTATCCGGATTGGCGAAAATAAAAGCGCGCGAGAAGATCCTTTGTTGTAAGCCGGTCCCGATTTGGTCCAAACTGGCGTAACCACCAAAGCCTACCTCCACTACAGGACTGCAGAACGATGTATCAACAAACCTAGAATATAGACTAGTCAAACGGAGAAGGGAGAATACCCAGTGATGTCCGCTTTGCCCGTCCCCAGCAAAAACACGCTGTCACCCCCATCTAGCTTCGCGGCTCTATCTTGCCATCGAGACCGAGTGTTGGCGCTGATCGGGCGACGCTGATCCGGAACGATAGTAAACAGCAGCAGTAAGACGAGCAGGGCTACAAAGGCCCCTGCGAAAGCAGCGTTCAACCTGAGATTCGCCATACATACAGTATGTGAAGCAAGGGTAATCTTGTTTTGACTCTCTTTCGGTCGTATTACAGTATCAAAGCCAGTAAGTTAAGCCAAGCCCCCTTTCAAGATGAGAAGAGCAGAGCCGGGCGGGGGAAGATAGACTACAGTTATAGTCGTGGCCGTCCTTTCCTGCAAATAGCTTTCAACAGAGGTGGAAGAGCAACGTCACAGCGTGTGACAGATGACAGCATCCGGGATGTGCAGCTTGCAACCCTCCAAGCGACGAGGAGGAAGTACAACGATTGGCGTAGAGACGGTCGAAGGGTGACATCGTCCCTGCCGTCTTACCTGAAGCCGAACTAGCCTCGATTGGGCACGCGTTCTTCAGGCCAACCCCGCCTTGTCTTTGCAGGGAAATGAATTTGTCACCGGTCGCATTATTTGCCCATTGGCAGTGTTTCGCAAAAAGCAAGCAAGGGTTGGTTGCTTTGGTTTCTCTTCTGTGGATGAATGGCTGGATAAATTGAACCTTACCAGGAGGGAAGTCAGTTGGAGGGTGTATGAGTCTTGTAATCAGGAGATCCTCAGTCGATCACCAGGAACGGATTGCGAGACAAGAGCTGCAAGTAGAAAGCTTGTGAAAGTGGTGGATGGAAGGCTTAGTACTCCGTAGGCCGAGGAGATATAGATCTGCAGCATCCATACTCCGTAGAGCGGAGTGTTTACTGCGTAGTGTGAACTGTGGAGTACGGAAGAGAGAGACCAGAAGACCAAGACTAAGAGACAGAGAGAGGGAGGATATGGTCACGTGGAGTTGTGCTGAGTCGGGTTAGCTATTCACCGCCCGGGTGCGGCAGAAAACGCCAACGCGATTCCCGAGGAATTTCATGAAGATGCTGAAGGTCGACCTTCTTTAACCTCATCGTCTTCCCCCATTGTTGACCTGCCGTGCTCGGTCTTGCAGTATACGCTGGACTTACTATCGTGACAAAATGCCTCTTATCAACGAGTCCCACGACTCCCTCCCGTGTGAGTCCCCCGTATCATCTACCTAACCGCCTTCCACCTTTCGTTTCCTCCCCTCTAATCGAAATGTTTTCTCCCCTCTACAGATATCGATGCTGGGCCTACTGCTCGAGCTCGAGCGGATGCGGAGAGGCTTATCGCCGCCGAGCTGCCGTCCAATTACTCCTCGTCAATTCATCCTTCCATCCCCGCATTCCCCGAGTCTCAGTTCTCCCCCCTCATGCAGCAGGAGGTCGAGCGGAAGGCCGCGGGACTGCCGTTGGTCGGCGGCATTGATCTCTCGCGATATGAAGCCCCCGAACCCCCTTCACGATCCTCGGATGCGGGGTCGACGCCGAATCTGGAGGAGTGGCGCCAAACCTTGCAAAGGGCGTACACGGCCAGCTCCCATTTGTCCATGCGACACGAGAATCTGGCGCTGCTCGAGGAGAACGGCAAGAACGCGTGGTTGATAGGCAACTCGCAACTGGAGGATATTCTACGCGGCTTGGAAAAGGAATTGGCCGAGACCAAAGAAGCTGCGGAGACGGTCAACAAAGAACGGAAACTGGCCCAGGAGGCTAGCAGAGGTGAGCTTGCGGGGCTGGAAGAATCCTGGAGGAAAGGAGTGGGTGCAACATTGGATGTGGAACTGGCTGCGGAGTCCCTGCGGATGCAAATCTTGGACCAGAGACGTCAGCTTGCACAGCAGCACAGCCGGTAAAGGCGGCCCTTATCTCACGGCCCGTTGGTTCGTTGGATTGCATTGGAACCAGCCCAGCCCCTGCTCACCTCGAGAGAGGGGATTGCCAAGTCATGCGAACCAGTTGCATCT